TTGTAAAAATCTTTAGTTTTCCTAAAATAATGTGTACACATTTGGTTTTTTTTAGAAAAAAAAACATGAAAAGGAATGACATAAGCCAGAAATATTCTAAAATTGAAACAATTTTTTTGCTAGGCTGCTCACTAGATCTGATTCTTTCTTTAAGTATAGCTGTTAATTGTTGAGCAAATGTAATTTTAAATTCTTTTTGAAGGTAGAAAGAGTATAAAAATGAGTAATTTTATGAGGTAAAGTGTTCCACAGGTCTGACCCAGTCTTCCTTATAGAGTATTTTCCTATGTTTTGTTCTGAATGTACTAGATCTAAGATTGTATACTTGTCTGGTTTGAATGTGGTAGAATTAGTGATTCTGAGTTTATATAATAAGGTTTTGTCTCTTGGAGCTGATGATTACACCATAATAAATTAATTACCCTACATATAATTCTGCATATCTCTACCTCCAGCTACTGAGAATTTGAAGATTCTACCTGATGCCTTTAAAAAGTTTTAGAGAAACCCTTAACTGTGAAGGCCTTTTGTACACCCCCCCCCCCCCTAAGAGCCTCTAGGGTCAATTGCTAATGAGATGATTAGTTAATAAATCCATATTTTGCATACAAGATTTTAATTGTTTATATTACATTTTAGCAATATTTAAAGCTTAAGACTGCTTTGCTATATTGATGAAGTATTTTGCTGACATCAGCACATTATATTTCGAATAAAGTTGACATCTTAGTTAAAAGAGTAACCTTGTTCTTTAAAACATTAATTTTTGACCATTCAAGTCCAAATTTATGGTTGCAAATTGATTAGATATGTAAAATCAATTGAAGTGAGAAAAATAACTATTACCATTGACTCAGCACTTATCACAGCATTAATTTTTATCTGTTTCAAGGTTCAGTTCAAAGTTAATCATGTAAATGTGAAATGAAATCACTAAAACCATGTAAAAGCAAGTATATAAGTATATAAGTATATAAGAATAAGTATATAAGAATATTACAAATTCTGCTGACCTTGCAGAAAAAATGCTCAAGGTAACATTACTGCATATTTGTCAAATCTTCATCAGAACACATCAGACCAACATATTATGCATTAAAACATTGTATATACTCCAAAAAAACCCCCCTTGGCTTTCTTCTAGATTAAAAGCATCTCAGTGGCCCAAAGTGGCCTCTAAAAGCACTCCAATGGCCCCAAACTCATTCTAGAGGCCCCAAAAGCTTCCCAGTTGCCCCCCAGTGACCCCCAAAAAGTGACCTCCAGTGGGCCCCAAAAAGCATACTAGTGACGCCCAGTGGCCCAAAAAAGCATCAAGTGGCCCGAATATGCCCCCTAAAAGCATCCTAGTGGCCCCTGAAAGCATCCCATTGGCCCCCTGTGGTCCCCAAAAGCATCTCAGTGGCCCCAGGTGGCCTCTAAAAGCACTTCAATGGGCCCTAAAATCATTCTAGTGGCCCCCAAAAAGCTTCCCATTTGCCGCCCCAGTGGCCCCCAAAAAGCATACTAGTGACACCCAGTGGCCAAAAAAGCATCCAAGTGGCCCCATTATGCCCCCTAAAAGTATCCTGGTGGCCCCCGAAAGCATCCTTTTGGCCCCCTGTGACCCCAAAAAGCATCTCAGTGGCCCCAGGTGGCCTCTAAAAGCACTCCAATGGGCCCCTATGGACCCCAAAATCATTTTAGTGGCCCCCAAAAAGCATACTAGTGACACCCAGCGGCCCAAAAACGCATTCAAGGGCCCCATTATGCCCCCTAAAAGCATCTAAGTGGCCCTTGAAAGCATCCTATTAACCTCCAGTAGCCCCCAAAACCATCCTAGTGGCCCCCTGAGGCCGCCAGAAGCATGCAAATGGCTCTTCATGGCCATCAAAAGCAGCCTGGTGGCCCCCTGTGACCCCTAAAAGCATCCCAGTGGCCCCCAAGCCCTAAACATATTCCAGTGGACCCCCGTGGTCATGGGGATGGCATATTCACCTGGTTACCATAGCTAACATAGGCATAGCCAGGGGGTGTAATGAGTGCACCCCATGTAACCAATCTGTAACCAATAAAAATAGAACCATTAGATAGAAGAGTTTTAAAATGCATTTGACTCGAAGCTTCTAGCTCAGTTTTGAAGGAAGTTGTATCAATTTTTGTAAAATTAAACAAAATCCCCCCCCACTGAGAGCTTGCTGCGCCCCTGATTAACAATTGCCCTTATGACATCAAAATATAACACAATCCAAATTAAATAATTTTCTATAGTTATTAGGTTATTTTCTGTCATCAAATTTTAAAAAGAATACATGTCAGTCAGATGGCCAAAATGTAACATTTCCTGAAGAATTCTCTTGTTTTCAGCGGATTGTTTTGCTACTTGCTGTTACCATAGCAACAGCGTGAATTGGACACTTTCATTACATTTATTCAATGTTTATGACCATACATGAATGAATGTAATAAACTAATAAACTCAACTAAAAGAAATAAACTAATTAACTAGTTAAAAGCATTAAAAATAATAATTTCGCAGATTTATACATCATGATTAAAATAAAATACAAAAAAACAAACAGTAATGACGTCATAATTAAGATGCAAATAACCTATTTGCATATTTTATGAACTGTTTGATTGCTTCATCTATTACCTTTCATTTGGTGCAAATTTCATCGAAATCTGAGTAACAATGACGAAGATAAGGGCCAAACACCGAAAAGAGCCCCTAAAAGTGGGTGTGGCATATTTACTTTGTTACCATAGTAACACTGCTGCGGATTCAGAATTGCCAACTTAATATATTTTTAGTGTGTTATCTATTACCTTCCATTTGGTGTGAATTTCATCGAAATCTGAGCAATAATGAAGGAGATAAGGGCCAAACACTGAAAAGAGCCCCTAAAAGTGGGTGTGGCTTATTGACTTGGTTACCATAGCAACGCCGTCGCGGATTCAGAATTGCCAACATCATTTTTCTTGGTAAGTATCACATATAGTTCATAAAAATATATGTCGCTTAGCTCGCCTCTAAAAAGGACACGGAATTACCTTTGCTCCCATACTAATATGTATATGGGGGTAGGGGCAAATACACATGAGGGTCTTGATGGGTCAGTGGTCCAGACTGTCGCCACTTTCTTTACTGGAGAAATTTGTGTTTTCCCTGAACACTTGATAATGGTCTGTCATTCCCCAACCACTAGGGTTTCTTTGGTTAAACTTAAATAGACAATAGGGAGTTTTAAGATTAGCGTAAATATCCCACTTACCTATACCTATACGTAGTTTGTTATTGCACTAAGCGGGATTTTACCCAAGTTACAGGGTTTGCGATACGTATTTACCTATAAATTGCCGAAGATAGGTAATTCAAATATGTATGTTTTTTTTCCAAATACTATGTGACTTGTAGATCAAATAGCATTCAATAAACTTTAATTTAGTTGTAACAAACATTTATTATTCGATCTGCATAGAAATTAGGTGGTCGAACAAAACCATTGATGCGATAAACGATGCCATGTGATGATGCATAAAATTGTTGAATTTAGACATTTTTCATCAATTTTTGTTTTGCTCACTGTGAATGTAGAAAATTGCTCATTTTGTTTTATTTGTTTAATTTTACTATTTTGTCATTCTCATTGCTGGGTTATGCTAGAAATTAACATTTCGCCTTGAGTCACTGCCCCATTAGCAACACGTACTCCCTCCCATTACAGTAGCTACACCACGCCCCCTCTCTCTGAAGTGTAAAACAGTTCTTGGTGGTGGCATATACTGGCGAACAAACGCCAAACTCACCACCGCAAGGTTTTTACCCCAAATTAGCATGTCATTTTTATCATAAATTGTTGAATACGATTTTGTAGCCCTTTGCGTTAATCTTAAACTCATTTTACAAAGCGCATTACCTATACGTATCCCTAACAAACATACGGATAGGGATAGGTATACGTATATTTTTACGCTCATCTTAACCTCCCTATTATCCAGCCTTCTTATACACAAATATGCATTTTCCAAACACAGGCCTCCAGAACTCGTAGGAAGTCATCGTGGATGCCCTGTATTCAGATGATGACAAATATGCTACATGATCAAGAAAATTGTCATTATTGGGAAAAGTAGGCCTAAACTTTCAAACTGTCTTAAATCCTTGAAAAGGTACCAAAATTATCAAGTCTTTTACCCTGAAATCTGAGATAAAGGCGAACCGTTATTGCCTGTATACATGTTAAAATACATGAAGTTCTTGACATGATGACATCCTCCCTTAATCATTAAAGAGAATATTGCAAATGAATATAATACCCTGTGGCTGGCATGAAAAAACTCCATTAATCACATTCACTTTTATCTTCATTTATGTCACCACCAAGAAGTATTGACATATTGTTATAGCCAGTTTTGTGGCCAGCATTCAGGAGTTGTGTTTATGTTATGTCTTATTGTTTTGACTTTTTATTTTACTATTTTTGTAAACTTTGTATTTCTACAAATGAGGTCACATCATTGGTCCAAAGATAGCTGTCAAAATTCCAATTGTCCAAATCCTAGTGGTCCAAATGCTAAACGTCTGAATCCCAATGGTTTGAATGCTATTTGTCCAAATCCCTAATAATCTGAATCCCACTGGTTCAAAACCCTGTACAAACCAAATGTTTGGGAGGTGTTCCACTTCCATTTTACATGAAGCCACACGATCATGAAACTCTGAGAAGTGATATGTAGGTGTTCCACTTACAGAGGTATTCACTTTACAGATTTTAGACTATTGGCAAACTCAGTGTTATGTTCAGCTTAACTCAAAGACTCATACCATAATGAGGCCTTGTTAGATACCATGAATCTGAGAAGTATCCTCTTTAGTGTGTAATTACTCATAAGAATTCCTCTAACTCTTTGTTATCGTCTCCTCAAATGAACAATTACATGTTTTCCTTACTTAGGATCAAGATATGAAAAAATGAATTATCACAGAGGTTGAAAAATGGTAATTTTATTTTTTGCAGAACTGTGACAAAACTAACAAAAATAAATTGTCGCTGAAGAATTTCATCATAAAGCCAATACAGAAAGTGCCAAGACTGGAACTTTTGATTAAGGTGAGTATTATTAGCTTGTCCCAATTATGCCATTAAAGATTTCACACACTCACTAGCAAAAATTTAAAACCTCTTTGTGGTATGTACAGTACATGCAAAGCGTTAGCTTGACCAAATTATGTCATTAGAGATTTCACACACTCACTAGCAAAAACTTAAAACGGCTTTGTGTAATGTATTGTTAATTAATCGACGATGTATACATGTAAAGCGTCAGCTTGTCCAAATTATGTCATTAGAGATTTCACACACTCACTTACAAAAAGTTAAAACTGATTTGTGCTATGTACAATTCATGTAAAGCATTAGCTTGTCCAAATTATGTCATTAGAGATTTCACGCACTCACTAGAAAAAACTAAAAACCGCTTTGTGCTATGTACAATACATGTAAAGCGTTAGCTTGTCCAAATTATATCATTAGAGATTTCACGCACTCACTAGAAAAAACTTAAAACCGCTTTGTGCTATGTACAATACATGTGAAGGGTTAGCTTGTCCAAATTATTTCATTAGAGATTTCACACACTCACTAGAAAAAACTTAAAACCGCTTTGTGCTATGTACAATACATGTGAAGGGTTAGCTTGTCCAAATTATGTCATTAGAGATTTCATGCACTCACAAGAAAAAATTTAAAACCGCTTTGTGCTATGTACAATACATGTAAAGCGTTAGCTTGTCCAAATTATGTCATTAGAGATTTCACGCACTCACTAGAAAATAACTTAAAACCGCTTTGTGCTATGCTCAATACATGCGAAGGGTTAGCTTGTCCAAATTATGTCATTAGAGATTTCACGCACTCACTAGAAAAAACTTAAAACCTCTTTGTGGTATGTACAGTACATGTGAAGGGTTAGCTTGTCCAAATTATGTCATTAGAGATTTCACGCACTCACTAGAAAAAATTTAAAACCGCTTTGTGCTATGTACAATACATGTAAGCCGTTAGCTTGTCCAAATTATGTCATTAGAGATTTCACGCACTCACTAGAAAAAACTTAAAACCGCTTTGTGCTATGTACAATACATGTGAAGGGTTAGCTTGTCCAAATTATTTCATTAGAGATTTCACACACTCACTAGAAAAAACTTAAAACCGCTTTGTGCTATGTACAATACATGTGAAGGGTTAGCTTGTCCAAATTATGTCATTAGAGATTTCATGCACTCACAAGAAAAAATTTAAAACCGCTTTGTGCTATGTACAATACATGTAAACCGTTAGCTTGTCCAAATTATGTCATTAGAGATTTCACGCACTCACTAGAAAAAAACTTTAAACCGCTTTGTGCTATGCTCAATACATGCGAAGGGTTAGCTTGTCCAAATTATGTCATTAGAGATTTCACGCACTCACTAGAAAAAACTTAAAACCTCTTTGTGGTATGTACAGTACATGTGAAGGGTTAGCTTGTCCAAATTATGTCATTAGAGATTTCACGCACTCACTAGAAAAAAATTAAAACCGCTTTGTGCTATGTACAATACATGTTAAGCGTCAGCTTGTCAGAATTATGCCATTAGAGATTTCACGCACTCACTAGCAAAAACCTAAAACCTCTTTGTGCTATATACAGAACATCTAAAGCGATATCTTTTATGTGTATCGTAGTGGTTATGAAAATATTTTGAAACACAATAATGTTAATTTTGAAAAACAAATTTTTTTATGGGTAGATCAATGGAAAGATTTCAGTTGGGTTTCTAAGAAGACATTGGTCTTTTGATGGCTTTCTTTATGTTTGATGTGTAATATATCTGATTTGTCACACAATCAAACCTGTCACTTCAGGCCTCCTAGACCTTTACTAACTCGACAATCAGTTACGACCTTGCAAACTATCCAATCCAACCAAACCACGGTTCTCACAACACGGGAGTGGAGAAAAATGTTCGGGAGAGAGGAGCTGGTGGTTCATGACTAAAATTGGTATTCGTGTTATGTCAGAACCATTGTTGTGGGTGGAAGTAACATAGTTCTCAAGGTCAGAACTGATGATCACATTAGTGGAAGTCAAGGAGGCCTGCACTTGTCCATGTTACAATGTATTGTGTGTATCTATCAGAATTGAATCAGGATTATGTTGCTGGTATTAAATCAGAGATATTGAACCAAGGATAGGCTTGTTACTGTACTTCAACTTAATTTGGTGCTACTTATTTTGGACGATTTTCTGTTTTGAACATTTGGCAACTACTTTATTTGGCGGACTTGCAATATTGAAATGTATAGACCATACAATTACTTAAATTATTGAATTTGGTTGGTACTTAATTTGGCAGACTTTAACAATTTGGCAGATCCGCTAAATTATAATGACTGCCTTATTAAGTAGAAGTACAGCATATAAATGATGATGAATCAACAAATAAACTTATGTGACTATCATACATTTTATGAATAATGATACAGCTAATTCCTAATATATTGACTTGCGTACCAATGGAGAATTCATGTCATAATCAAATAATTTAAAGTCCCAGTAAAATATCTTTGTCAGGTCATCAATAATCCAACGAGGAACCTCCTTATATTGTTCCTGTAGATATTTTGCTGTCTTTCTTGGCCCATCCTTGATTTTGGTTTTAACGCCTATTTTTTCTAGAACATAATTCGAATCTTCGGTGACTGTTTCTAGTTTAACTATAGCGTTGTAGTCTAAGTAAGGGTCACATGGTCGACACCATTCATAGTATTGTACCCAGTGGTCGTCAAGTCTACCAGACAATTGTTTTGGTCCATCTATTATAAATCTTAAAAAATCAGTAAATGTAAAACTTATATTTTCATATGGAATATTCATTGCATTTGAATCAGGATAATATCTGCTCATTATGCGGCGTCCAATAGTGTTCCTTTGTCGACTTATATATTTACTAGTTTCTTGATAGGTCATTCTGTTCGTATATGCCGAGAGGAGTCTTTCCCAGGGATCCCTCACATTTATAAACCTTACTGTTGTCAAAGTTTTGTTGATATTTTCCCGGAGATCAAATTTGAATCCTGAATTGATGGCATTGAGGTCTTGGAATGTGTTTATCCAACTTGAGTGCCCTGCTTTAAAACATGGACACCAGAGAACTCTGTTGGTCGTCTGACTGGGTGGAAATGTTAAATTTTTGATATAGAATAAATTATGGATTAATGTTGGGTGTTTATATTCTTTGGATTTTCTATATTCAATGCACATTTTTTGGATGTGCTGTATTCTTTTCTCTTGTATACTGCTTATGTCCTGGGGGATATCATTTATATCTCTGCTTTTATGTTCCTGAAAGAATACTCCAACTTTTTACCTCAAATATTTTATTTTAAATAATGCCCAATGATAATAATGATATAGTGTCCCCATTAATTTGCCAAACACTGAAATGGATTTAAAATTCGGTATTCCACATAAGATTTGATGGATTGAATATGTAGAACAAAAAGTGGCACTTCCAGTATTCAGTATGAAAAAAGTAAGAGGAAGATTTCTTATATGTTTAATGCTTTTTTTCTGGATATAACCTTTTTTTCTTATTCAATCGATAGTATCAGTTGCATTAGTAATATGCACATTGTGAAATCAGTATGAAAATGAATTTCAAATGTTTTTCTGGATATTGTCTTTATGACTCAATCATTTCACTCACCTTTTGTACATGTGTCCATAATCTTTTAATGTTTTGTTCTTTGTGTATCTTTATTTTTTTTCTGACTAAGTACCAATAGCAGGCTGCCATTATAAGCAGACATGCAATTATTACACCTTTCTTAAAGAACATTGTTCCTGTACAATACTAGATTGATATAAGTTTCGCTCTCAGATTACTGTCTGTTTCTACATATAACCTGTTATTCCTGCTTTATAAGTCTTTTAATGAGAGAATAACAAGATGGCACCAAAAATCAATATACTGTAGCATGCATCATATATTTATGTGACAGTTATTTCTTGGAATAATAAATACTTGGAATCATTTTTACAGTGGTATTGTATTTTGTTTACCACCAATGGTGAGCAATACCTCTTGGGTATATCCTGTATTATATACAGTCATAATTATCGTAATTAGCCTGGAAGATAGAACCAGAAACCCCTCCTTGAAGGAGCCCTGTGTTCTTTTATGTGCACTCATAACTAGACATACAAGGCTACCCATACACATACACACCACAGCCTTTTGTACAAGTTATGGACCACTCAGTCAAATTAAGTCTTGTCTGAACCGGGGATCGAATCCGAGAACTATTGCATAAGAGGTAACTGGGCTATCGCTGAGCTATACTGGTGGACTTAAAGTGGTCATTTATATATTTCCTAAATGTATTCCTCTTTTATTCTCATTATAAAACCATGAGGTTTATCAATAAAAATCATGGTACCACCAGTCATTTAATGCTTGATAAGATGGTAGAAATTGTTTTGAACCTTTAGGAACAGCTGTTATACATGTAAAGTAAAGCTTTTGGGAATAATATATTATTTATAAAGACATTCTAAAGGGGGGGGGGGTGTATAGAGGGTCTTGGAAATGCATATACAATATTTTTCAGCTCTCTTATACCATATACAATATTTTTTCACCATATACAATATTTTTCACAGCTCTTATACCATATACGATATTTTAGGTGAAATACAATATACGATAATTTTGAAACTGCTTTTGATTAAAGTTTGGATATTTATAAGGAAATAATATTAGGAGAGAATCCATGTACTAAAGTAAATGTATTATTATAAGGGAAATAGACTCCACATACATACCACAATGATTTCATTTATTACATTATGAATAAGACACCATTCGGGTACATCCGCATTTTCAGGTAAACAAGTTGATTTAAAACACATTTATGATATAAGATTCATGACTTATCTTTAGTGATTTCACAACCTACTTTGACCAAAAAACTAACTTTAACATTTCTGCAATTTGCTAAAGCCATTAGCCCATTACCTGTAAAAGTACCATAAAGATATTCAAAATTAGCACAAAACCTGCATCATTAGAATGGGTGGAACTCAGTGTTCCTCTTTCTTATGACCTACTTTCCCATGACATATTTTAATGTCAATGGAATCCTTCATAGTGAGCCAGGGAAAAAAATCCTTGAAACATAATTGATGCAAAATTGAGAATGTGGAATAAAAGATCATGTGTTCTATGAAAATAAAGTTTGCTGAGGAAAATATGTATCAGATAGGTAATGAAGATTCACAACGCACAATGATTTTGTAAAGCAGTTACCTGAAAATATTAAGTATTGAAAACAGTTTCAGAAATAAAGGACTTCACAAACTTCCATGTAGATAATTCATTTTTGATTGGACTCGAGTCTGGAAATTAGAGTTTGAAATAAAGGCAAGACGAGACTTGATTGTTTAAACAATTGAAACAAGAGACACTTCGGGGTTTCAGATAAGGCAGCCTTAAAGACAGTATAAGTTAAATAAAGGTGTGTCAAAATAAAGCAAATTTCCATAAAGTTCAAACCACATGTTTCACGAATGATTTCAAGGCAAAGATGTATTGATGAGAATGAAAACTACTCCATGCAACTAGAAATAACTTTCTTTTAAAGGACCACAGACGGTATTGCAACAGATTTCAGTCATATATTGGATTTTGGCTATTTTCTGAGGATTTGAACAGGTGCATACACTCCCCTCCATAAGTTTGGCAACCCTTTTTCCCCCATTGAACTACGTGTTAAAGCCTCTTTACCTTTGAATTTTTATTTACTTAACCTGCATTGAAAATACTTATACTATTGATGGAAACGTAATTTTACTTTAATTCCAATACCTCCAAATTTTCTCAATTTTTTTCCTCAATTACACTAGGTCGGAAATTGATGATGAATTTGATGAATTTTTGAAAATCGACATTCCCATGTTAACCAATGGGAAATGGTAGGTTTGCCGCAAGTCATATGACAGAATATCCATCCATCCGAGTCCTTGCAAAAAATATGAGTTAGGCAGGTAATTGAATTTGCTAACTTTATTTAACAAAAAATTGATATGTTTCTTCAGGTTCAACAAAGTTATAGGGCTTTAAAGTCAAAATTGTTTTTCAAAAAACCTCTCCCATTGAAATAACACAGGAGGCGAAAAATTCTTTTCAAAAATGACTTTGAAGGGCTGTAACTTTAATATTCATCAAATAAACTAAACACTTAGTGTTCAAAAAAGTTAGACAATTCAATTTTCTATATAAACATATTTTTTGCTGAATCTTTTACTGAAAAGATATCCTGATTTCTGATTTGCCCTGAACCCTCCATTTCCCATTGGATTACATGTGAATGACGATTTTCAAAAATTCATCAAATTTATCATCAATTTTCGACCTATTGTAAATGAGCAAAAAAATTGAGAAAATTTGGAGGTATTGGAAAAAAAGTCAAGTTACGTTTCCATCAATATTATAAGTTATTTCATCGCTGGTTAAGTAAATAAAAATTCAAACGTAAAGAGGCTTTAACACGTAGTTCAATGGAGAAAAAAGGTTGCCAAACTTATGGAGGGGAGTGTATGTTAGGCCAATGCATTAACTCCAGGACAAGCAATCATAGAGATTATAAAATAATTTGGACTTTAAGTCAGGGAAGGTGCAAATTTGCACCCCATCAACATGTTTTTTCTGTAATGTTGTCCTGATTTCCAGCCCTTTCCACACCTGTTTTTCAATGTTTGTTGCATCGATCACTCTGTTGCGTTTTAAATGAAAATATGATTCATGCAGGGGTTTAAAAGATATCAATTTTGAATGACCAAAATTTAGCTGAAAACAATGGATCACATGAGTTTTCCCTATGGGAAAATAACATGGGAAATACATGTACAGTTTTCCACTTTATCCCAAATAAATAAATAACTGTGTCTCAAAACTGTGTCTCAAAGTGCAACATATTGGTGCATCAAACATTGAAAAAACATATGTGGAAAGGGCTAAAAATCAGAACAAAATTTCAGAAAAACCTTCCCTGTCTCAAAGTCCAAATTATCATCAATTGCTCAATCAAATTGCTTGATCTGGAGTTAATGCATTGGCCTAACATATGCACCTGTTTAAATCCCCAATAAATAGCCGAAATCCAACATATGACAGTTTGAAGACCAAATAAAAACCTTTTGCTATATAATGCTATATTAGCATTGTGATGCGTGTATTAAAACATGCGCTGTATGAACACTTTATACTGAAATATTTTAATGATTTATCCCACATACCCCGAAACACGAGTAGCCATAGTGACCATATTTTTCATCAAAATTAAGATGAGTCAACGTCGCCAACGTGCAAATGCCAATGTTTTTGCTATAAATCAAGCAACAATGGTCTGTACGACCTGTAATAAATATATAAGCAACGTTTTTATCACAAAATTCTTTGCCGGTTTTTTAAAATAATTTTCCAAATGATAGATAAAAATAATCGAATAATTGAACGGAGGGGGGGAGGGAAAGGAGGGGGGGTGGAGTAATATGTCTTTAAGGTGGAAGAGATTTCCACAAATTCGTGTACTTGAAAATTGAACTCACTTACTCAGTAACTTGATGTTACAACTCTGAGAAATGAAAAATGTCTTATAGACATATTACTCCCCCCTCCGTTCAATTTTAACGTTAGATTTTAACGTTAGATTACTTTTTATATAACGTATGGTAACGTGTTTTACAAAACCAATGATGACAATAGTTTTGTGATAATTACTTCACTTACAAGTATTTATTACAGGTCGTGTAGACCCCTGTTGGTTGATTTATAGCAAAAAATTGGCATTTGCACATTGTCGACCCTGCACTTTTTTAATAGATATTTTATTTTAAAACTCCACAGTTCAAAAAAATCCAAGAAGACCTAACATACGAGGGGTGATCCAAAAGGCTTGGACGCCCCGCTTTAACTTTGCTATTTTCTAATATAATTACATGAAACTTTCAGATAATAAAGATAAACATCTGAACAACTTTGTGTATAAGTTTCAATAGAAAATCATATATTTTACTTATTTTTCTAAATATTTTTTGATACCGGGTCCTTGCTACCCGGAACGGTATTTAATTATAAGAAATCTCGTCACAACTGTTATAATATGGCAAATACTTTAGGTTCAGGTGCACAACCTAACACCAGTCATGATATGACAGATATTCAGATTTTCAATCTGAGTGTCATCTGCCATCATCCTCACATATTAAGACCTACTTTTCAACATATTTTCCACGAATTTGAACACATTTTTCATACCGCTTTACCAATGAATGAAAGATATTTATGAAACCGCCATTGTTTATGTGATACAAATGCTGCTGGAGTGCCACTCTTAACCTCATCCAATGAGTAAAAACATTTTCTTTCAACCCTCCTTTCGACTTGGAGAAAAGAAAGAAAATCACACGGAGCCATATCTAGACTGTTACGTGCCTATGGTAGTTGCTCAAGGTCAATAATAGTGAAAATATATTGTAGTATTCTTTGTTTCACTTTGATTTCTTTCATGTTCTGCATTTCAGCAGCCATCTTGGAGCAAAAATGATACCAGAATGTGGGTTGATTGTCTGATGTCATTTTCTTAGAACTTGACATATATGGCCATTGTCATATGTGACATTATGATTAAAACACAATTAATTGGTTGCCGAGTAACCAAGGAAGTAAACTAACATGGTTTAACATTCAAAATTTAAGAAAAGATAGTGGTCAAGACTTGCAAAACAAGTCAAATAGCGGCAACATTTAAGGCTGAAAGTTGTCATGTGCGAATACCGTTCCGGGTGGCAGGGTCGCTAAATTAATAACTATCGAGAAAACTACATAAAATATATCATTTCACCATGAAATTAATACACAAAGTAGTTAGGTTGTTGGTCTTTATTATTGGAAAGTTCAAAGTAATTTTATCAAAAACCAACAAAATTAGAGCAGGGCTTCCAAGAGTTTTGGATCACCACTCGTATTCCCCCGTCCACTGCGTCTATTCATTTAGCCATTCAATTGTAAACTTTCTCTTGAAAAAATAAATCTTCAAGATTTGTTGAATTTTCTACCAAAAATCAGCTAGATCTACCCCCCCCTCCGTTCATTTCTTCTGATCATCCGGCGTGATTCTTATTTGAGACGATATTTAACACCTCCTGTGAAAATTTGAATGAAAAGGGCACAAAACTCTTAGTTTGAGAAGGATTTTTTCTAAACTTACAGTATTGATTGACCTGGAATGTGGAACCAATTAGAGAGACTACTTTTCCATGTTTTTCCAACACGGTTACAGTAAGAGAGTTGGCACAATGGGGAACTTTAGGGTGCACTTTCTTCATAATTAGCCTTTTTTAATTCTAGATACCATATACCATATATTTTCTATTATACCATATACCATATTTTTTACAGCTCTTATACAATATACGATAAATTTTTCCCCCTCTTATACAATATACAATAAATTTTCAGCCTCTTATACGATATACAATATCTCTATACACCCCCCCCCCCCTCTAAAGGCTTTTATTATGTTGTACATTTTATGAATTTTGATACAGCTAATTCCTAAGATATTGATTTGCGTACTAAAGGAGAATTCATGTCATAATCAAATAATTTAAAGTCCCAGTAAAATATCTTTGTCAGGTCATCAATAATCCAACGAGGAACCTCCTTATATTGTTCCTGTAGATATTTTGCTGTCTTTCTTGGCCCATCCTTGATTTTGGTTTTAACGCCTATTTTTTCTAGAACATAATTTGAATCTTCGGTGACTGTTTCTAGTTTAACTATAGCGTTGTAGTCTAAGTAAGGGTCACATGGTCGACACCGTTCATAGTATTGTAACCAGTGGTCGTCAAGTCTTCCAGCCAATTGTTTTGGTTCATCTATTATGTATCTTAAAAAATCTGTAAATGTAAAACTTATCTTTTCATATGGAACCACCATTGCATTTGATCCAGGATAATATTTGAACATTATGCGACGCCCAATAGAGTTCCTTTGCCAACTTTTATGTGGTCTATTTTCGTGATAGGTCATTCTGTCCATATATGCAGAGAGGAGTCTTTCCCAAGGATCTCTCACATTTATAAACCTTACTGTTGTCAAACTTTTGTTGATATTTTGTTTCCAGAGATCAACTTTGAATCCCGAAGTGTTGGCATTGAGGTCTTTAAATGTATTAATCCAACTTGAGTGCCCTGCTTTAAAACATGGACACCAGAGAGCTCTGTTGGTTGTCTGACTGGGTTGAAATATTAAATTTCTGATATAGACTGAATTATGGTTAACTTTTGGGTGTTTATACTCTTGGGATTTTCTATATTCAATGCACATTTTTTGGAGGTGCTGTATTCTTTTCTCTTGTATACTGCTAATGTCCTCAGGGATATTGAGGTGTTGTATTCTTTTCTCTTGTATACTGCTTATGTCCTCGGGGATATCATTCATATCCCTGCTGTTATATACCTGAAAGAAATCCTCAATATTTTTACCTCCAACATTTGACAAATGTTCAATGATAATAATAATAAAGTGTTCCCACTGATTTGCCAACCACTGAAATGGATTTAGAATTTGGTATTCTGCATAAAATGACCTTTTCAACCTTTTATGCATTATATCTGTGAAACAAAAATGAGGATTTTGTATTATGTATTTTGAAATCAGTATGAAAATACATTTTAGAAAAAGTAATGCAAAGATTTCTCACAGATGCCAAAAGGAGAGGACCAAAAACTGTAAAGAAACCCAGCAGGAAAAGTAAACTCTTAAGTGTAAGCTTGTCATAAGAAAATAGGATCCTATGTATCCCAAAACCATGATCTAACATGAAGAGAAATAATGTCTAACACACACACCTAATGCGCTTAACTTTTTAATCAGGTAGTTGTTTCACTACTTAATGAATTTTCCAGGTATCTAAGCAGCTAGTGATGATTTTGATGAGAGTGATCTTTATATTTTTATGACTTACCAGCACAATAATAAGATATTACACTGTAGTGATGTCACCATCAGCAATTGTGCTGCACCCACTTGAGATTTTAATAAGAAGCATGCACCCACCTGAGAATTCGTTTGCACCAACTTTCCTTAGGGAACCTTAGGATCTGGTACTTGCAAAGTTATCTAACTGGAGGAAATGACAAGTAGTGTTTTGGGAGAACAGGTAGCGAATCGCTACCTTCGCAATGCTAATTTCGAGGCCTGCTAACACCCACCCCCCCTTCCAATAGAGGCATACACGATAGTTCAGAATGGCAACAATATTCTCACATCCCCTGTTGAAGAGCTCCAATTCCGGGAACAGATTTTTTACATCCGGGTTTTTTCCCCATTGAAATATACTGAGTCCGATTTTGAATACATCATTTCAATATTATTTGACATTCCTCTTCACGGATATTTGCACAATCGATAAAAATATAGGTCCTTATGGCAATCTGCAAAGCATTTTCACAATTTATTTTGAAATTGATGATAATCATGAAATGTTCTACCGTGACGTCACTGACTTAGTTCCCGGAAGCTGAGACTCAATGACTCAATATGAAAAAGAAGCAAATTATTGTGTATATAACGCGGGGTTGATGTCATGCTTATATATGTTTGACTTATATCAATCGTGAGGGTTGTAACTTGGAATTAGTATGACCTTTATCGTCCCGACAATACGCAAAAACATGGTTTAAAGGTTGGAAGAATTTGGTTTAGTCAACGGACCAATGAAAATTTGTCCCACTTGAAGTGATGCATTGTTAATTACCATGTTTTCATCTATCGCGTATTAGTCTATTGGGAGCCATTATCACAAACTAGGACCAGAAGACCTAGCCCAAGGGACATTTCATTCAAACTGAAGTCATTACAATACTTGTTGAACTGTTTTTCTGGATATTGCCTTTATTGCTCAAACTTTTTAACTCACCTTTTTTACAAATGTCCATATTCTTTTAACACTTTCTTCTTTATTTTTCCCTGAATTTATGCTTAGGTACCAATAGCAGGCTGCCATTGTAAGCAGACATGCAATTATTACACCTTTCTTAAAGAACATTGTTCCTGTACAATACTAGATTGATATAAGCTTCACTTTCAGATTACTCGCTGAATTTTACATATAAGCTGTTTTGGCATATCTGGCATATTTATCTGACAGTAATTTGTTTTTTTTGAATTATTTTTCAATAAAATCCTTTTGCCGATTTTATACATGTATGATGTACCAGATGTTGGGTTCAGTGTATGGTAGTGCAAAAAGAAGAAATATTAAAAAATGGTTACAGAACACAGCAAGACAAAGAAAACATCTAAGGTTATACCAGTCATAAGGACCCAAGCTATCTTGAATCACGATCCAATGTGTCTGATACCTCCTCCCCCACCATTCAAGTTCCAATATCACAATCCGAGACCATTACACCAAGGGACATTTCATCCATACTGAAGCCATTGCAATACATGTTGAAGGATAAGATTCAAATTTATAGCCAATACTCGAAAGATTAAAGACAGTGTTGATACTAATATTCATACAAGATAGAACATTCAGTCTCAAAAATGATGTGGGACAGACAAAATCCAATCTCGAAGTCCATGAGCATATCAAAGGGTCAACATCCATTCGCAGAACTTTTGCCATGATCTATAAAACACAATATTTCAATATATAAGCACAAATGCCAAAAGGGAAGGGTGACTAAAAACTAAGGAACCCCAACAAGAAAAGCAAACTGTTAGTGTAAATCTGTCATAAGAAAAGGAGACCCTATATATCCCAAAAACCATGATCTTACATGAAAAGAAACAATGTCTAACATCCCCCTCCCCCCTCCAATCGAGAACCAATATCACAATCCAGGACCAGAACACCAAGGGACAATTCATTCATACTGAAGTCATTACAATACATGTTGAAGAAAAAATTGAAAAATTGATAGCCAATACTCATAACATCAAAAATAGTTGTAGATACTAGTACTCATAAAAGATAGAGTATTCAGTCTCAAATGATGTGGGATAGATAAAATCCAGTCTCGAAGTCCATAGGCAATTCAAAGGGTCAACATCCGTTGCAATCAAAATGGTTAGCAGGAGAAAACAATTGCTGGTTAAGTTTACCCCTATTTCTCAATCATTGAAGTGTCACTAAGCTGGGACCCACCTAAAAAGCTGCCAAGTGAAAAAATTGTGAGTTTGGTGCTAATCTTAAACTATTCAGACATCATATCAAGTGGCAAAACTTGAAACTTCAAAATTAATGACTTGTATTTTTCAGCAAAGCCTAGAAAGTATTTCTTAAAGAGATCTAGTCATCCAGATTTCCCTCTCAGACAGTCAGTAATGTCCCATTATAATTGCTCATATTACATCTAACACACCTAAGATATATCTTGAGATCAAATTATGGGCACAGTATCACCAATTTATTGAGAAAATCAACGGGACAACCAACTGTCAGAAATGTACATAATAAGTCCAAACCAATCTGCTGGCATTCGAACCTCTGACCTCTTAAAATGCTATAAAGTCCTATACTCTATCACTTGCATCAGCGGACATTGTGCGTCTCTCATATTTTATGATTATATAAATAGTTTCTTAGAAAGTCATATAAATGCGCTGTTTTATTTGAAGATGATCAATTACATTACAAGTTATATTAGAATACATATTTTTGCAAGATTTTTCATCTAAATTTATAAATAATGATGCTTTATTCCCATCGTCTCTTGGTAAGTATACAATCGCATTGCCAAGGATATTGAACCCAGACAGCCAATCAGATTGGAGCAGATTTGAGTGGGTTATTTCAATTTCAAATTACTCGTTATGAGATTGGGAATTAATGGCTGTGAACAATTGTCATATTGATACAATTCATAAATTAGTGGAAGACTCCACATTGGTAAGTTGATAGACAAATTTATTTTACATCAAATATCACAGGAATATCAGGTGGTTACACTTATTCTGCTTTTGGGAGATGGGATCCCTTTAAGCTTTTTATAAGTATAACCTTGGCCTACGAGTTTTTTCACTAAAATATTGTATCTCGACTTAAAATCTAAATATGCCCTTATATGACCATGCCCTACTATATCTGTTAAGCTGGGATACATATACCCCACTATCCAAATGTTGCAAATTCATAATATCAAAATTAAAGTGACTTAGATATGATCATTGTCATATTTCCTCTTAAACACTTAAAGTCATTTTTATGGCTTAACTGAGGGACCTTCTCAAATCATTCATTTGTCTATTTCCTAAATGTATTTCTCTTTTATTTATTCTTGTCATGAGATTTATAAATAAAGATTATAGTACCACAAGAGAAATTTTTCTTTTGTTATATCATTGGAATTAAATGGTTCATGTCCCCAGTCATTTAATGCTTGATAAGATGGTAGAAATTGTTGTCTAGCCTATGAGATAAATTATTGTAAATTATAGCTCTTGGGTATAATATATTATATTTGAAGACATTTTAATGGCTTTTGAATTGTTATGTTGTATATTTTATCGTATTGATTCAGCTAATTTCTAAGATATTGATTTGCGTACCAATGGAGAATTCATGTCGTAATCAAATAATTTAAAGTCCCAGTAAAATATCTTTGTCAGGTCATCAATAATCCAATGAGGAACCTCCTTATATTGTTCCTGTAGATATTTTGCTGTCTTTCGTGGCCCATCCTTGATTTTGGTTTTAACGCCTATTTTTTCTAGAACATAATTCGAATCTTCAGTGACTGTTTCTAGTTTAACAATAGCGTTGTAGTCTAAATAGGGGTCACATGGTCGACACCATTCATAGTATTGTACCCAGTGGTCGTCAAGTCTTCCAGACAATTGTCTTGGTTCATCTATTATAAATCTTAAAAAATCAGTAAATGTAAAACTTATATTTTCATATGGAACATTCATTGCATTTGAATCAGGATAATATTTGAACATTATGCGGCGTCCAATTGTGTTTCTTTGTCGACTTATGTATTTACTATTTTCTTGATAGGTCATTCTGTTTGTATATGCCGAGAGGAGTCTTTCCCAGGGATCCCTCACATTAATAAACCTTACTGTTGTCAAAGTTTTGTTGATATTTTCCCGGAGATCATATTTGAATCCTGAATAGTTGGCATTGAGGTCTTTAAATGTTTTTATCCAACTTGAGTGCCCTGCTTTAAAACATGGACACCAGAGGACTCTGTTGGTTGTTTGACTTGGTGGAAATGTTAAATTTTTGATATAGAATAAATTATGGATTAATGTTGGGTGTTTATACTCTTTGGATTTTCTGTATTCAATGCACATTTTCCGAAGGTGCTGTATTCTTTTCTCTTGTATACTGCTTATGTCCTGGGGGATATCATTTATATCCCTGCTGTTATATACCTGAAAGAATACCTTAACATTTTACCTCCAACATTGGACAAATGTTCAATGATAATAATAATAGAGTGTTCCCACCAATGTACCAACTACTGAAATGGATTTAGAATTTAGTATTCTGCATAAAATTACTTTTTCAACCTTGATGTATGGTTTGAGGTTTTAGTATGTATAGTGAAATCAGTATGAAAATACATTTTAGAAAAAGTAATGCAACGATTTCTCACAAGTGCCAATGGGAGAAACCAAAAACTGTAAAGAACCCAGCAGGAAGCTTGTCATAAGAAAATAGGATCCTATATATCATGATCTAACATGAAAAGAAATAATGTCTAACACACAGGCCTAATGCACTCAACTTTATTTATCAGGTAGTTGTTTCGCTACCTTCGCAACACTAATTTTGAGGCCTGCTAACACCCCAATCCCCCCTCCAATCGGGAGCCATTTTCACCAACCAGGACCAGAACACTTAGCCCAAGGGACATTTGATTCAAACTGAAGTCATTACAATACATGTTTAACTTTTTTTCTGGATATTGCCTTTATTGCTTGAACTTTTTAACTCACCTTTTGCACATGTGTCCATATTCTCTTAACACTTTGTTCTTTATTTTTCTCTGCTTTTATGCCAAGGTACCAATAGCAGGCTGCCATTATAAGCAGACATGCAATTATTACACCTTTCTTAAAAAACATTGTTCCTGTACAATACTAGATTAATATAAGCTTCACTTTCAGATCACTGTCTGAATTTTATATATAGGCTGTTTGCCTGCTCATAGGTCTTCTAAATGAGAACATGATGATTTGGCATCAATAAATGTCATTTCTGGCATATTGATGTGACAGTTATTTGTTTTTTAAATTTTTTTTCAATAAAATCCTTTTGTCGATTTCATACATGTATGCTGTACCAGATGTTTGGTTTAGTGTATGGTAGTGCAAAAAGAAAAATATTAAAAAATGGTTACAGAACACAGCAAGACAAAGAAAACATCTAAGGTTATACCAGTCATAAGGACCCAAGCTATCTTGAATCACGATCCAATGTGTCTGATACCTCCTCCCCCACCATTCAAGTTCCAATATCACAATCCGAGACCATTACACCAAGGGACATTTCATCCATACTGAAGCCATTGCAATACATGTTGAAGGATAAGATTCAAATTTATAGCCAATACTCGAAAGATTAAAGACAGTGTTGATACTAATATTCATACAAGATAGAACATTCAGTCTCAAAAATGATGTGGGACAGACAAAATCCAATCTCGAAGTCCATGAGCATATCAAAGGGTCAACATCCATTCGCAGAACTTTTGCCATAATCTATAAAACACAATATTTCAATATATAAGCACAAATGCCAAAAGGGAAGGGTGACTAAAAACTAAGGAACCCCAACAAGAAAAGCAAACTGTTAGTGTAAATCTGTCATAAGAAAAGGAGACCCTATATATCCCAAAAACCATGATCTTACATGAAAAGAAACAATGTCTAACATCCCCCTCCCCCCTCCAATCGAGAACCAATATCACAATCCAGGACCAGAACACCAAGGGACAATTCATTCATACTGAAGTCATTACAATACATGTTGAAGAAAAAATTGAAAAATTGATAGCCAATACTCATAACATCAAAAATAGTTGTAGATACTAGTACTCATAAAAGATAGAGTATTCAGTCTCAAATGATGTGGGATAGATAAAATCCAGTCTCGAAGTCCATAGGCAATTCAAAGGGTCAACATCCGTTGCAATCAAAATGGTTAGCAGGAGAAAACAATTGCTGGTTAAGTTTACCCCTATTTCTCAATCATTGAAGTGTCACTAAGCTGGGACCCACCTAAAAAGCTGCCAAGTGAAAAAATTGTGAGTTTGGTGCTAATCTTAAACTATTCAGACATCATATCAAGTGGCAAAACTTGAAACTTCAAAATTAATGACTTGTATTTTTCAGCAAAGCCTAGAAAGTATTTCTTAAAGAGATCTAGTCATCCAGATTTCCCTCTCAGACAGTCAGTAATGTCCCATTATAATTGCTCATATTACATCTAACACACCTAAGATATATCTTGAGATCAAATTATGGGCACAGTATCACCAATTTATTGAGAAAATCAACGGGACAACCAACTGTCAGAAATGTACATAATAAGTCCAAACCAATCTGCTGGCATTCGAACCTCTGACCTCTTAAAATGCTATAAAGTCCTATACTCTATCACTTGCATCAGCGGACATTGTGCGTCTCTCATATTTTATGATTATATAAATAGTTTCTTAGAAAGTCATATAAATGCGCTGTTTTATTTGAAGATGATCAATTACATTACAAGTTATATTAGAATACATATTTTTGCAAGATTTTTCATCTAAATTTATAAATAATGATGCTTTATTCCCATCGTCTCTTGGTAAGTATACAATCGCATTGCCAAGGATATTGAACCCAGACAGCCAATCAGATTGGAGCAGATTTGAGTGGGTTATTTCAATTTCAAATTACTCGTTATGAGATTGGGAATTAATGGCTGTGAACAATTGTCATATTGATACAATTCATAAATTAGTGGAAGACTCCACATTGGTAAGTTGATAGACAAATTTATTTTACATCAAATATCACAGGAATATCAGGTGGTTACTCTTATTCTGCTTTTGGGAGATGGGATCCCTTTAAGCTTTTTATAAGTATAACCTTGGCCTACGAGTTTTTTCACTAAAATATTGTATCTCGACTTAAAATCTAAATATCCCCTTATATGACCATGCCCTACTATATCTGTTAAGCTGGGATACATATACCCCACTATCCAAATGTTGCAAATTCATAATATCAAAATTAAAGTGACTTAGATATGATCATTGTCATATTTCCTCTTAAACACTTAAAGTCATTTTTATGGCTTAACTGAGGGACCTTCTCAAATCATTCATTTGTCTATTTCCTAAATGTATTTCTCTTTTATTTATTCTTGTCATGAGATTTATAAATAAAGATTATAGTACCACAAGAGAAATTTTTCTTTTGTTATATCATTGGAATTAAATGGTTCATGTCCCCAGTCATTTAATGCTTGATAAGATGGTAGAAATTGTTGTCTAGCCTATGAGATAAATTATTGTAAATTATAGCTCTTGGGTATAATATATTATATTTGAAGACATTTTAATGGCTTTTGAATTGTTATGTTGTATATTTTATCATATTGATTCAGCTAATTTCTAAGATATTGATTTGCGTACCAATGGAGAATTCATGTCGTAATCAAATAATTTAAAGTCCCAGTAAAATATCTTTGTCAGGTCATCAATAATCCAATGAGGAACCTCCTTATATTGTTCCTGTAGATATTTTGCTGTCTTTCTTGGCCCATCCTTGATTTTGGTTTTGACGCCTATTTTTTCTAGAACGTAATTTGAATCTTCAGTGACTGTTTCTAGTTTAACTATGGCGTTGTAGTCTAAGTAAGGGTCACATGGTCGACACCATTCATAGTATTGTACCCAGTGGTCGTCAAGTCTACCAGACAATTGTTTTGGTTCATCTATTATAAATCTTAAAAAATCCTTAAATGTAAAACTTATATTTTCATATGGAATATTCATTGCATTTGAATCAGGATAATATCTGCTCATAATGCGGCGTCCAATAGTGTTCCTTTGTCGACTTATATATTTACTATTTTCTTGATAGGTCATTCTGTTTGAATATGCCGAAAGGAGTCTTTCCCAGGGATCTCTAACATTTATAAACCTTACTGTTGTCAAAGTTTTGTTTATATTTTCCCGGAGATCAAATTTGAATCCTGAATTGTTGGCATTGAGCTCTTGTAATGTGTTTATCCAACTTGAGTGCCCTGCTTTAAAACATGGACACCAGAGGGCTCTGTTGGTTGTTTGACTGGGTGGAAATGTTAAATTTTTGATATAGAATAAATTATGGATTAATGTTGGGTGTTTATATTCTTTGGATTTTCTATATTCAATGCACATCTTTTGGAGGTGCTGTATTCTTTTCTCTTGTATACTGCTTATGTCCTTGGGGAGGTCACTCATATACCTGCTGTTATATACCTGAAAAAATATGTGTAGCGATTGAGGTCTTTGGCAATGGCCAGTATAAAATATAAGGTCATAATTATATTTTCCATAAATCATAGAATTGTGGTTTGTGAAGATTCTAAAAAACAGCTATTTGCATTTGTAAATTGTCACATATCATATTAGAATTTTAAATAATGCCCATTGATAATCATATTATAATATAGTGATTTCATCAATTTGCAATATACTGAAATGGATTAGAATTTGGTACGCAACATAAAATTTTAAGTTTTTCAAACCTTTGATACATTCAATATGTAAAACAAAAATTGTACTATTCGGGATGAAAATAAATTTCAGAAAAACTAAAAGGAAGATTTCCTATTTGATAACTTATTTTCTGGATATAATCTTTACTACTTATTCAATAAATTAGATGTGAGTAGAAGTAATCTTGATTTACATCATTATCATTTAATATTCAAAATTTAGTCAAAGTGATGTCATATTTGAAATCTGCATGTAAAAGATTCCATGTTATAAAATCACAAAACGTGAAATATCTTTTCTTGTATTAAACAGATAACATTTTCTTTTACTGGAAATTTTTTAATTTGCATAACTATTAGATACATAAGGGTAATATGAAAATTGAACCACTAAAACAGGTGAATATTTAACTTAAACAGAACTTTCTACTATTCCTTCATGCTATCTGACCCAAATGAGCCACCTGGTGGGGAAACTGGTAACTACCTACTCACATCTGAGTTATTGAAAGGATATTTAGTTATATGCTTGGGGAAATGAGTATGACAATAAATTTCAGAAAATATGATAACTTTTTTTCTGGATATTGCCTTTATTACTCAATCATTCCACTCACCTTTTGTACATGTGTCCATATTCTTTTAACGATTTTCTCTTTGTTTGTCCCTGTTTCTATGACTAGCTGGTACCAATAGCAGGCTGCCATTATAAGCAGACATGCAATTATTACACCTTTCTTAAAAAACATTGTTCTTGTTAAATACTAGATTGATATAAGCTCCACTTTCAGATTACTTTCTGAATTCCACATTGAAACTCAAGTTGCTTGTTTTCTGAATATTTTTCCTTGATAAAACCTTTTTTGCTGCTTTAAAGCCATTATATGGGCTGCACACCAGATATTGGATTCAGACTTAGATACTATACATGTATTGTAATTCAATGTTATAGTACCACTTTAAACACCAGTTTTATGGCATAGCTGAGGGACATTCTCAAACTGTTCAATTGTCTTCCTCTCAACTGTATCTCTCTTGTTTTAGAACCATTTGGTTTATAAATAATCAAGATTCATGAAACCACAAAAAATTAATCTTATTAAAATTAGTGTATTAAATGGAATTAAATACCCTCTTCCCAAGTAATCTAGAAATGGATATGCTTTTAGAAATCGTTGTTGAACCTTTGAGAACAGCTGTTGTACATGTAAAGTACATGTACATTATAGCTTCTGGGTATAATATATTATTTTTGAAGACATTTCAATGGCTTTTGTTATGCTGGTAAAAAGAGTTCATTTCATGTGTAATTGATAAAGATGTAAAGGAAATTTATTCTGAAGGTTATTATTTAAACCAAATAGGAGCAGGAGGGGGAGGGGGATTGGGGGATGATCCATAGCCCCAAGTATTTATTTGTTAAAGGTTACCCATATGATCCTTGATATAATTATTCAGGTTGTAAAATTCTAGATTCCAGTTTTCATACCTAATAATGTTGACATTGACATTCAAATATTTAAGATGACTAGCCTATTTTGGCCCTCCTATTCCAAACTTGTCAGAAAAATTGTAAAAATTGACAAAAAAAGAAACAAAATGAATTTATATCTCACTAGATATTAACCTTTACCTTTGACCAATATGGCCTTCAGGAACATGTTAATTCAATATTTTAAACAAAAATATGTGGTGGTTCCATTTTGGCTTACTTAGCCATTTCAGTCCTCTAATATTGTTTTAAGCTATGTCAAAACTTACAGCTAGTATCAAAGCTACTATTATAAGGATGGTAAAATTGCAATCAACACTTCCAACCAATATGGAATATGTTAATTCAATATTTTAATCAAAAATAGCTACATTCTGATAAACATCCTAATTCAAAATTTTGTTGGACACTAATTGTACCTGTTTTGGACCAAATATCTCAATATTTCATTCTTTTGGCAGTGTCCATGCATATAGTCCACCCGCTATGGCTCAGTGGCAGAGAGAGTCAAGGTTACCAATATCGCTTGGCCCCGGGTTCGATTCCCGGTTCAGATAAGTTTGTTTGTGCGTTATGTAATTCTGGGTGTTTGACTGAGTGGTTCACGACTCGTATAAAAGGCTGTGGTGTGTACCTGTATGTCTGTGTACCTGTGCACATAAAAGAAAACAGGGCTCCTCCAAGGAGGGGTTTCTGGCTCTATCTTCGAGTGCAAAATACGTAAAATACGGAATATACCAATGAGGTATTGCTCGCCAAATATGGCGGTAACCAAGATATAATAATAAAAAAAATGGGGTGACAAAACGGGGTGAAGCTCCACAAAGTTGCTATATTCCTGAAAAGGGCACTATTATAAAATCGACAGTTTCACTAACTTACTTTATAACAGTAAGGCCAAAATAATGTGGTTCTCCAATTTTGTATTTTTCCAGAGGTTGATAAAATGTACACCTGAGGACCACCCAGATTATAAGCTTCTCAATGAGGCAGAGAACACAGTGCACAATCTAGCCCTCAAAATAGACCAGGTCAACTCAAAGAAGGATGAGGGAGAGTTACAAGAGACTTTGAAGAAGATTGAAGATATACTTTCAGTCGCAGATGTAAGTCAGTGAATTTATTCTGCAATTATGGGCAAAATTCTCATTTTAATTCTCATTTTCACACACCAGACTAAAATTGATCAAAATACATCAAGAATTTTTCAATTTTAAGTGAGTGCAAGTGGATTTTCAAATAAGTGCTTTATTATACTCGAACTATCAAATGGGTGAAGCCCCCACATTGCCCTCAACCAATCTACTGAAACAAACTTGCCCCTTCCCTTTGTACAAGATTTTGGTCTTCAGCCTTTTTACAGTGGTGTACTTTACTTCCAGCTTGCTTCCCCTGAGAGAGTTTACTTGAGATATGACATGGTCAATGTCATGGTGAGTATTTAGTTATTTGATCTAGCTCATTGATCTAGGTGTAGAATTCTAAATATAACAATATAGAGAGTTAGCTATAAAAGTATAATAATCTAGCAGTGAAAATGTAGCGATCTAGCTTTAAAGGTAAGCGATCTAGCTTTTAAAGCTCAGAGATCAGTGATAAAAAGTATAGATATAGGTAATGATTTAGCTCTTAAGATCTAGCTAAAAGTACAGTGATCTAGCTATGAAAGTACTGTGATCTAGCTATGAATGTATTGTGATCTAATTATGTTTGTAGAATCGCAAGGAGCAGACCTGCTGTATATGGTTGTTTAATGACTTGGTCATCTTCAGCACAATAAAACGCAAGAGTGGCCCAGTCACTAGGAAAAACACAGTCCTGCTGTAAGTCAAAATGCGTATTCCCTGAAATGGAAATGAATGTTTGGATATTTCATGTTTCTCATTCTGTAACGTTTTTTATAATAAAATTGTCCTTATTATGGGGGATATTAAAAAATTAGTGGATGAAATGTTCTCTCTTCAAAATCAGCCATATAGCAGTGAAATAATAATTGAATATTTCAGGGATTATTCTTTGGCTTTTTAATAGATATTTTCTATAAAAAAATATGATTTTAGTGATTTTGTTTTATTTGTATTTTTGTTATCTGTATATGGATTAATGGATAATTAAATGAATTACAGGAAATCTCCAACTGGCCAGGACTTTGTTGACAATATCAAACACAGACTGTGGCTAAGAGTTGGGCTTGATGATCTTGAAGTTATCAAAAGTAAGATTTGCTTATGCAATATAATCACAGTGAAACCTGTCTAATTTGCACACCTCTGAGACCAGCCAAAAGTTTTTCAGATTAACAGGTTTTCAAATTTCAAGGTTTTATAACATGTGAGGGAATAACATATTGGGACAGAGAACGAGTGCTCACACTGAAATGTGTTCCGATCATTCACATCTTTAATTTTCATATGGCAAGTTTTATATTTCACATTTTTATGTCACCACCAGAAGTGTTTTTGGATGGTGTTGGGCAGTCAGCATTCAGCGCCTGTAACAATTGGCAGGTAGTGGCATTTTGCATGTAATGTCTGTTTTAACATTGAAGTTTAGGCAGATTCAAAAATGTTCGCATTGAGAGTTCAAATAAGTGAGGTGTTTAGACATACACGGTTTACTGTATACCATATTGCAAAGTGAAAAGTTATTACATTGTTCTACTTCTGTAATATGATGGTCTGTTTGAGGCATTTTTACAAGTCTTTATATGTTAAATTATTCATTAATGCAATTTCAAATACAAATAATGAATAAAACTACTAGCTTAACACAAAACTTAAGGCCTCCTCACAAATGAATGAAAAACTCCTCATGTCAACTTGCATGTACTGGTGAATAAGACTTGAGTAAAATTTGTTTCCATAAGTAATTGTATGCTGTACATCATTGGGGTGTTTGCATGGGGAAGTACCCTTTCGGAGAGCTGCACACAGCTTCAGAAGCATACGCAAAGTTGTGCCTAGATTCACATGTTTATGTTCCCAACCGCTAGAATTTACCCAATTCGCAAATCTGCGTTTAGTGTATTTATTCTTGATGAGGAGGTCTTTAACACTGTGTTGCTATTATTCACCATGAATGACACAGTACCTTACAGACCTTTATACCATGTCAATTAGCATCTATTTATGATTACTAATCATTAATTATTTTCTTTCCTCTTTTAGCTCCTGGCAATCTACAGAAGAAGGCATCTGTAGACAAGGCCCAACTGGAGGAGGATTTTGCACTACTCAGTCAGATCAGTGAACTCACTAATAAACTTGCATGCCAACATCAGGTAATATATATATAAAGTAAAATATGAAAACGTGATACAGGGAAAAATGATTTTATTTACTTTTTATTTTGATTTAGTTATAAATGATTTTCTGAATTCAGCATGTAACCCCATGTATTAGTTTACTTAAGAGGAAACTTGTGGTATCATTAGGTCAAGCCAGAACCCTTAAGTGGGCAAACTAAACATTGAACAAAGTTATCTGTGTCCCACACAAGTGCTCAATGAAACAGATTAACATTAATATCTTATTTCCCTGTGAATATTATGCATCCTGATATGATACATGACGTCGCAATAGCTAGAACAATTGATTTACTAGTCTATAATGGAGTATGTATGACGGCTAAAATTCATAAATGCAAATAGTCGTGTTTCTTGTCTGTTTATCATATTAGAATCGTAACAAAGACCTCTATTTTATGATTTCAGTCTTTTAACAATGAACAGAATAAAATTTTTGGTCATATATTACTCCATAAATCATAAAATCTTGGTCTCACATTCCTTAAATATTTTCTGAAAGAAGAATTTATTTTTGATATTCCAGAATTTAGATGAGCAGGTGAAAGAACTTATAAATCTAGTCAATAAACAACTGTCAGACTTCCAGCTGAAGAGCCCACCACCAGAAGCCCCCAAGCTGGAGTTATTAGCCACTACACCGTAAGTACAACTGTTATTAGCCACTACATTACACAGTAAAAACAAGGGTTATTAGCCACTGCACTGAAAGTACAACTGTTATTAGCCACTGCACCGTAAGTACAACTGTTATTAACCACTGCATCGTAAGTTCAACTGTTATTAGCCACTACACCATTACTAAGTACAAGAGCTATTATAAGCCAATACACCATAAGTCCAAGAATTATGTGCCCCTGCACCATACGTTCTCAGTTGAAAATTTCTGTTTTTTGAAGTTCAAACATTTCAAGTGGATAGTCAGTATAGGCCCAATTGCTCATTTAACGTAACTATTTTCTTGAGAAGGATCAAATGTCATTTCCATACAAGGTCACTTAATATTATATCATATTTAGTATGTACAATAGCCAGATTTCTTTTTTGACGCTTGCTTCCTCATTTTGTTTTGGAAAATGATCAGTGTTATGTTAATGTTATTGATTATTATGGGATGTACATGTATTTTCTTTATGTTAATGAGATTGATTATTATGGGATGTACATGTATTTTGTTTATGTTAATGAGATTGATTATTATGGGATGTACATGTATTTTCAGGAGTGGCTTTAATCACATAGTCGCAATCTTCCCTTCTGATGACAAGAAAAAACAATGGGAGACTGCATTTACTCAGGCTAAGAACAAATTATGTGAGTATATCATCCTGTCCCTTATGCTTCACTTCATTGCTTCATTTTTGGATTTCTCCGATAACTTGTTTACTTGTTCACTGTGTATATTTTGCAATCGTTTCAAATTTTCCTGTTAATACAGGCCTGTAGCCAGGATTTCTCCAGTGGGGTTCTCTTTTTGTTAAATTTACATCCAGATTTGCACCGCGCGCAATACCTAATTCAGTTACTTAATTATCATTGACATACTTTCCTTCGGATAATGAATGGATCTTAAAGATATGCCTATCTTCGTGGTCAGCCTGAGCGTTATAATCAAAGATGTAACCGTCTAAAATTGTTTGCAATAACATATACGTCTTGCAAATTCTGCTGCAAGATTAACTTTTAATGTCAATTAAGTTAGCTTTTTTGTCACTAGTTTGTCTATATGGGCCAAGACTCAGCACGATCAAATATTGATCATAAAAGAGTATAAAGTTCGATCCTTTCTTTTTTAATTGTTATACAGTTATATGTAATCAGTTCATTCTGACACTAATCTTATTTTATTTAAGATTTAAATTTTAAAAATACACTTCATTAAAATATTGATTCTAAAAGATATACTGTTGCGTCATTGTGAATTCGTAACCTTTCAGAAAAAACATCATTAAAAATTGAATTAAATGGCCAATTAGTATTACTATAATATTCGGATAAAATGATTTTGCTTCTAGACACCACATGAGCTCCAATTACAGATACGAACAGAACTAATATGTTACATATATCACAGTAAATGGTTGAATTCTATTATAGCACGATTGAATATTGATCATAAAAGAGTATATACTGTTCCTACAATTCTCATTTATTAAATTGTAATAGCGTATGTAATCCATTTCATTCTGACGCTAATCTTATTTTATTTAAGATTTAAATTCAAAAATACACTTCATTATAAAATATTGATTATAAAAGATACACCGTTGCTTCATTGTGAATTCGAAACTTTTCAGAAAAAATCTATTGTTATGATTGAATTAAATGGCCAATTACTGTTTTTATCATAGGTTCTGGGCCGATATAAAGATGGCAGCACCAACAGAATCCAGTATTATCTTTTTCTTTAAAGAGAAACACAGATAAACACAGAACGATTACCATGCCATCTTTATTTAAAAATGATTTCTATCGCCCCTGAGCCTATGGTTTAATATCCTGATGTCGAAATGATTTTGCTCCTACTAGACCAGGTGTAAAAGGGTAGAAGTTCCTATCAAATTATGGTCCTACTCTCCGATTTATATGGTAACCTAAATACAACTCTTTCCCTCATTATCTTATACACAATCAGGGCCAGTAAGGGCCGATAAGAAAGGGGACCATAATCCCTGGGCCCGTCCCTGGGGAACCATCATTTCTTTCACACCGGCCTTGTTATAGTTTCGAACAGGACACATGCCTTGGTCACATTTGCTACGATTTATAGGAAACAAACAAATATATATAAAAATGCATGTTATAATAATAATATTAATCTCTTAACATAAGTATATACAAACATGTTGGCATCTGCATGGGCATCTCATGAATTGACTGTGACACTCTCTTGCGTATGAAGTCGCGTTGTTTGCGGCTTGTGAATGAAAGTTGAATTCTCCTTCAAGGCAAATGAAAATCAGTAGCCCGATAATTATGTGGATGGTGCTATATTTGAAAACACCATAATGTTGATGGTGCCGCGTTAGTCTGAAAGCGCCATAATATGGATGGTACTTAGGTCTGTAAGCCCCATAATGTGAATGGTGCTTGGTTCGTAAAGCCCATAGGTTCTGGGCCGATATAGAGATGGCAGCACCAACAGAATCCAGTATTATCTTTTTTTCTAAAGAGAAACATAGATAAACACAGATCGATTACCATGACATCTTTATTAAAAAATGATTTCTATCGCCCTTAGCCTATGGTAAAGCCCCATAATGTGAATGGTGCTGGAGTCTGGAGCGCCATAATGTGGATGGCGCTCGAGTCTGAAAGCCCCATAATGTGGATGGTGCTTGAGCAATTGCGCCATTATTGGGGATGGCACACGCGTTTGAAGCGCCATAATGTGGATGGTGCTAGAACAGTTGGATTCCATAATGTAATGGAAGTGACGATTGAGTGCAGATTGAGTGTTTTGTTCAAAATTGAATACAAATTTGAACGAAACACTCAATCGGCCGGACGCCTGCCGATGGATCGGAGCAAATGTGACCCAGGCATAATACGCTACATAGCCCCACATGAGCACAGTAAATGGTTAAATCCATTCTGATACTCATCACATTCTGCCTTTAACAAGAAATATGAAGGCCATGGTTTCTCATTGATGGGTTAAATCTTATCTAATTTATTTCATGAACTTTTGGGAATTTTTGACCGGGGGTTCGCACGAACCTCTCGAATCCCCGCTGGCTACAGGCATGTAATATATGTTACACTTTACGGGTAATGATTGGTTAAATTGATGTATGGCTAATTAATAGGAAAAAATCAGGGTGCTTTAATGTTATCTGAATGTTATTTAATATTTGAATACCGTATTTAGCTTGTTGTTCTCCTACATATTCATGTATGTGTTATTGTGATATTTCACATTTTCCTGTCCATATATAGACGTCGAATGTTCTCTCCAGGAATTTGACCTAATATGGGTGCAAATTGACTTTTTCACAAAATCTGAACAAAGTTGGTCAATATGCCAATATTGTGAATTCTCATTTTCCATCAATTGAATGCAATTAGGATGAGCATGGGCAGCGCCTACTTGCTTCAGTGCTGGGGAGATCACAGATTTGTTTAATCAGTCGATACGAGACCAAATAGACCAACCATATAAGCATGATTGTACAATATTCCCATATGAACATGAAAAATGCCCATATATGGACAAAAAATGAGAAATATTATTAATGATATGTTTGTCTAAATCCCAATTGTGAGTCCCTAAGTCTATCTGAACTTTCTTGAAATTTTATCTCCCCTTTTACCATGTAAAGAAATGTTGTAACCAGTCTAAATATTCTACCACTTTTTGCACCTTAACTTGTGAATAATAAGTTTGTTGAACATACTGTTTGTTAATACATGATGAATTAATTTTTTACCACACATTAATTTTTAGCTGGGGCATCTTATATGGAGAGTAAGGAAATGTTTTCACAATTTTGAGAATGCAAAATCTGTCCTTTATATTAACCCTTGGGTGTCAAATGCTTTGCTTTTTAACCTCTATATTACTAGGGACACACTGTTTATTGAAATTATCTCATTTCAATGTTGATTGAAATTATCGCATTTTAATGTTGATTGAAATTATCACATTTCAATGATTATTGAAATTATCTCATTTCAATGAACTTAAATTGTTTTGAAAGTGAAATTACTATAGAATAGAGTCTTTTAGATTCAGACAACACTGCTTGTAATCATTCATTCACAGTCACTACAATTTTCACATAGACCTGGTTTACTTCTTAATATAGACTATAGCTCTTGAGTATGTCATTTACATTACTAAATAAATGTACTAAATCAACCAAACATGTAAAACACGTGTGTGATATTATGGTACAGTTTTATTATTTTTTTTTTGAATATCTGAAAAAATCTACTTCTGTTGCTTCTTTGGTTTTCAATATTCTCCACAATGGATGAAATATTTGTTTTATGCCTACCAAATATGTTTGCACAGTTCACTCGCTTCACATTGACTTACTTGTTTATTTTTTCGAAAATCTAGAATGTTGCATATTGCATATTTTTATCTAAAATATTTAATTTGATGAACAATCCTTAACACTACTTCAACTGGACTACTAAATGATGTCAGCACTTTTGCTCTAATGTCAGCACTTTGGCACATAATGTCAGTTCTTTAAGTGACAATAATAATACTTTAGATTTTTTTTTAAGATACATTTAACACCAATAATATGAGTCATATACCAGAATGCATAACAGTGTAGCTTGGATGATACACAAAAGACGAGTCTAAAGACAAGAATAACCTAACACACTAATACCAAAAACAAAGTTAAAGCTTAACATTATCAGATTTTAAGCTAATCATTAAAACAGCAAGTTAGAAACACTAATACAGTTCTACACTTTCTTAAATTCATATCTGCACATAAGATTGTTTGTAGCACACTCTAGCACATTCATTGTATCCACTGTGTATGTTTTGTTTATACTTTCCCCGAATTTGTTTACACTGTTTTACATGTTTACACTATATTATCACTGTTTTTTGCATACTGTTATCACTGTTGAATATGATTGCTTATAAGAAATTTCACAGAGTGGAGTTATTAACTATCATGGTACATTGTTATTTTTGTTCCTGATAAAATAATGTAATGGTGGTAACATTTTGAATAATGATTTGATACTGATAATATCATCCTCCGAACACAGGCCTCTGGTGATGTTTTGAGCGCTGTGTTCAGAGGAATAATGGGTATATATATTTTTGATATTACTTTCAAGACATTGAAATTAGATATGAAAGGAATGTCAACCAATCAAAGCTGGAAGACCAGATTTTGAATGACATATTCTTAAGCATCTGTTGTAAGGCTAAATCAAATTTATTTTTTTCATTGAATGAATGATGATGAAGTTCTCTTTTAGAGCTCTTTCACACTGAAACACTTATTAAAGTGTGTTGGCAACGTGTGTAATTTTTTTAAATTAAGAGAATGCATATTTTGAAATAAGTGTTGAAAATAGGCATTAACAATTATCAATTATGGCTTTATGTTGCCAAATTCAAGCAAATATCCTTTTTTACATGAGTTGCCTACATATTCAAATCAATCTCCAGGCACACTTTTACCATATATGGATGCTTTTCCTTATATACCCTGTGTGTTACCCTTTGATTAGACCCTATGTTAACATGTAAAGTGTCTGATGAACTCCTTTTGAACAAACCCCATCAATTCCTTCAGCACATTGTTTGCCATATCCTGTGTTGGACAAATGAAGCACTATATTAAAATGTTTTTGAGGCCCCATAGTAATCTAATGGCATCTTCAAAACATGAGTGCAAGTCATAGAATTCAATGTAAATACATGAATTTACATAAGGTTGCATTTTGGAGATGGACAAAAGATGGCTTTGGATGTAAATAATTATTGTAAAGTACCTGTAATTGAACACCTTGTGCATTGACTATTAAGTATGTGTATTTCTTGCACTATTTTTACCACCAATGTTTGAATTGTTTGTCTTAATGATTAAAAGTGCTATGTTTCTGATATACCCTAAATTTTAAAATCTGTAACTGCCTCTAATTTGCACTATCGATAGACTTTAGTACAAAGCTTCTTTCTTGAAAATGCCAAGGCTTGAGAAAGGTTTCTCACCCTGTAAGCAGCATGACATGTGTAAATTGTAAGGGTGCATGCACCTCTTATAATTTGTAAAAAAGAAGGTACATGGACCCCTTATAATTTCTTAAAATTGATTAATTCTCCAAATTTCAAGCTCTTGTATTTACAAGAAGGTTTGTAACAAATCAATTGATGATGCAAGTTAAGCCTCAGTCACATTTGCTTATCTACATCCTACTGCTTAACCCGATATATTATGCTGCATATTTCTCTTGATTTTGGGAAGCTACAGCTGCCATAAGGTTGCCATAGATCAAATGTGACTGAGGCATTAATACGATTTTGGGGCTCAGATTTTATATTTGGTATTTTTTAGGATCAGAAATATGCACTGTACCACTTTAAATATGATTTGAGGCCTAAATTAGCATATCTGTTGCATTGTTTTATAGTAGCCAATTCAGGCCTTCGAAGACCACCAGATTTCTCACAGGCTTTGCCAATCACCAAAACACGTGCAGGGATGCAGTTCTCTTGTGCATCACCAATAGATGGCCTCAGTGCAAACAAACATCGTGACGTGTGGGTATGTAACAGTGACGGCTATGTTGGACATATGTGTCTGCTGAGTCTTCAGCCCGAGCCTATTGTCACGCTAAATACTCCAGTGCCAGGATGTAATGCAAGGATACTTTGTATCTGTGCTGTGCCAGGACTTATGGAGAAAATAATGCGAAGGTTTGTATGAAATTTTTGGCTTATTTAGTTTGATTATATGAACATTGATATTTATTAAAAATTTATTGCCTACAATATCTTCAAAAACAGTCATTTTAGTGCTATTTAAATTGTGATAAAAGCACACACCAACGATTTTCCACTCAACAATACATGATTGATATTTGTATAATTTCAATTTTATAGGAAAGGTAGTGTTAGGGCTCGTGCATCAACGTTGCCTAGCAACATTAGGAAACCCGCAGCGCCATCTATCAACATCCAGGCTGCAGACGACAGTAGCTCCAGTATGGACAGTAGTGACGATGAAGATGAAACTGACCTGGATGAAAGGACTGTTGGCTTTAAACTAGGTAAGAGCAAGATGAAGGTTTTTAACTAGCTAATAAGAGATAAAAACAATCTTCCAGTAAAATTTAGTAGCAAATTTTGTATTTATTGTTTCATTTGGGAATGATAAGTACAATATAGGAGAACATGCATTGCTTATAACAGTGTCTTGTAATTGGATTGGATCAGGAAGTTATACAAATCTCAATATTAAAATATAAAATATTTTGCATCGGTGTCTGACAGTTTACTTGATGTAAGTATGCAAAGCCCATATCAAGTTAAGTGGATTGGCCATATTGTTGATTGTTTTTCAATTTTTCTTCATGCTTAATGGCCTTTATTAAAGAATATCCTCGTTTTTCAGTTTTTTCATGCTTAATGTCCTTTGTTTTTTCAGAGGACCAGAGATCAATGTCTACATCTCCTAAGATGAGTCCAGGATCTTCTCCCCGTGGGAGCATGCAACAGCTTGACTTACATAAGAGTACCATGTGGCTGGGAACTGAGGATGGCTGGTATGTCTCTTACATTAATACAGTATCTAATACTGAACTTCTTCTTAATTCGGCAGCCATTTTTTTTGTATTGTGGATCCGCCAATTTGTTAAAGTCTGCCGAATTAAGTAGCCGCCAAGTTCAATATTTGATATTTCAATCATAAATATGTATAGTATATATTATATACGTTTTAATATTGCAATTCCACCAAATCAAGTAGCCGCCAAATGCTCAAAATAGCAAATCCACCAAAATAAGTAGCGCCAAATTAAGTAGAAGTACAGTATCACTTGGACCAGCCAAAAGTGTTCAGATTAGCAGGTGCTTACATATCAAGGTTTTATTACATTTGTAAATATCCTCAAAATAACATTAAACTCTGATAATTTACATTTCAGCATCCTGATATTCCATAGTACAGATAATATAAAGACCACCAAGAACAAAGTGAAGATTCAACACAGTGCTGGTGTATTAAATATAGTGTAAGTACACATATGTCCTTTAACTTGTATTCAATATGGTGTAAGTACACATATGTCCTTTAACTTGTATTAAATATAGTGTAAGTACACATATGTCCTTTAACTTGTATTCAATATGGTGTAAGTACACATATGTCCTTTAACTTGTATTCAATATAGTGTAAGTACACATATGTCCTTTAACTTGTATTAAATATAGTGTAAGTACACATATGTCCTTTAACTTGTATTCAATATGGTGTAAGTACACATATGTCCTTTAACTTGTATTCAATATGGTGTAAGTACACATATGTCCTTTAACTTGTATTCAATATGGTGTAAGTACACATATGTCCTTTAACTTGTATTCAATATGGTGTAAGTACACATATGTCCTTTAACTTGTATTCAATATAGTGTAAGTACACATATGTCCTTTAACTTGTATTCAATATGGTGTAAGTACACATATGTCCTTTAACTTGTATTCAATATGGTGTAAGTACACATATGTCCTTTAACTTGTATTCAATATAGTGTAAGTACACATATGTCCTTTAACTTGTATTCAATATTAAAGTATGTGTATATCTTACAACTTGTAGCATGATTTATTGTTGATAATAAAAAATCCACCTGGTAAGGGAATTTCATGTTTGAATAAAGGTGAGAGAATGTTTGAAAATGTTTTGGCAACCCTGTTTGTTACACCTGTTATAAAACACATTATTACTTTATTCTTTATCTTTATTATGCAGGCATTTAGAGAGCAAGGTGTTTGTATCCCTGGCTAATGGTGAGCTGGTTGTCTATAACAGAGACGGAGGTATGTATAGTAAATTTATGTGTCACCACCACAAGCGGTGACATATTGCTATAATCTCCAACTTTTTTGTGAATGGTGTCAGCAGTTGGTGTTCAGCCGATAGTGTTTGGTGTTCAATGGTTGGTGTCTAACAGTGACATATTGCTATAATCTCCAACTTTTTTGTGAACGGTGTCAGCAGTTGGTGTTCAGCCGTTAGTGTTTGGTGTTCAATGGTTGGTGTCTAACAGTGACATATTGCTATAATCTCCAACTTTCTTGTGAACGGTGTCAGCAGTTGGTGTTCAGCCATTAGTGTTTGGTGTTCAATGGTTGGTGTCTAACAGTGACATATTGCTATAATCTCCAACTTTCTTGTGAACGGTGTCAGCAGTTGGTGTTCAGCCGATAGTGTTTGGTGTTCAATGGTTGGTGTCTAACAGTGACATATTGCTATAATCTCCAACTTTTTTGTGAACGGTGTCAGCAGTTGGTGTTCAGCCGTTAGTGTTTGGTGTTCAATGGTTGGTGTTTAACAGTGACATATTGCTATAATCTCCAACTTTCTTGTGAACGGTGTCAGCAGTTGGTGTTCAGCCGTTAGTGTTTGGTGTTCAATGGTTGGTGTCTAACAGTGACATATTGCTATAATCTCCAACTTTTTTGTGAACGATGTCTGCAGTTGGTGTTCAGCTGATAGTGTTTGGTATTCGGTGGTTGGTGTCTAACAAATGGCAGGTGCTGACATTTAACACGTTAATGCCTGGAAGGCTTTTACATCAAGTGTTAACCATAAATACCACTTGGTGGTGAATAATAAACCAAATACATCATTCTTTTTTTGGAATACATGTTGCAATATCAATGCTTCTTTATGATGAATTCCTCTTTTATATGTTAACTCTAAGCAGTCTTAGGATGAGGTCTGGAGTGCAGAAGAACCCAGACTGCTAAGGGTTAAACATGTTATGATCAACAGAAACTGTTAACAACACTTGTTGCAACATGAAAAAGACACCATTGCAAAAAAGTACTCATAACATTGTCATTTCAGATGGTTGCTGGGACACAGAGACATATGACATGGTCACCCTTGGCAACGCTTCATCTCCTGTCACTAGGATATTATCTGTTGGAGGGAAACTGTGGTGTGGGTGTCAGAATAGTGTCATGATTCTAAATCCTACTTCACTCAATGTAGAGGTAAGTTGAACTCACTCGCTGTGTAAATTTCTGTTCTTTTACAATACATATACATGTATATGAATACATAGAGTTGATTCACTGGGAAGGATTGAATATTGGTTTTATCCCAAGGGCCAATATTATAAGCTTAGTATCTATAAGGTATAAAACCCACGTTCATTCCCATTTTATAAAATGACAATGAATGATTTAAGTTGTGTCACTATAACCTGTAGGCTTTATCATATGAATGAAAATAATAATGAATGAATGTATGAAATACACAGTCAAATATTTCTCTGAGTAATTTTTTCTTTATGATATCCATTTAGCAGTGATCTTCAAAATTTGATATTTATTACTGTGTCTCTCTTTTTAACCAGTGACTAACTATTGTAATTTTAATGCTCAATATAACAATTTTCCTAGCCAGTTCCTCACCAATTGCATTTGCTTTTACAGGGCTCATTTACTATAGGAACAGACAGTAATAAGTCTATCCACAGTATGGTGTGTGCTGGTCAGGGGGTTTGGATTGCTACCAGCAACAGTTCCAAAGTGTCCCTTTATCATATAACCACACATGAGTTCCTCCTAGAAGTTTGTGTAGCACAGGCTGTCAAACAAAAGCTACAAGGTAAATATGAACTGTGGTTGTTACGATAACCATGTTGGTGTAATTCAAAGTATTCAATTCTGATTGGACAATCAAAAATTGAGAACCTACCCATTCTACCGAGCGAACAACAAATGTTTTCTGAGAACTAACAAGATTTATTAATTTATTGAAATTCTTGTTTAAATGGAAAAAATGAAATGCTTGACCACATTTGAGAACACAAGTTCAATTAAGTTTCACTAATCTTGAAGTGGGACATCTTTATCAGTAGAACGTCTCCATTTTATGGAACACTTGTTCCCTTACACAGTTACTGTACATATATATGAACTGAGTAACAAATAATTTCTGTTCTCCCATCTTTAGGAGCAGATGACATCATCAGGCAACACAAGACGGCATGTTTGCGTATTACGGCACTGTTAACCTGTAAAGACCTTTTATGGGTGGGAACTAGTGCTGGAGTCATCCTTACTATACACATGCCCAGAATCTGCTCCAATACCACTAAATCACAGATCACTGTGCCCACAGCTACAGGTATGATCTTTTTTAAAAAAACTATATTTCAAGAATAAAACATATATAGAATTATACATTATACATAGGCCTAGTTACATTGTTTAATTTCTATACAGTTTTTCTTTTTCAAAATATGCATATATACTGCCAGTTTTGTCTCTATTGAAAGCTACAGGTATGATGTTTGTATGTGCTAGTGGGGGAGGGGGATATTTTGTTATTTTTGATTAGAGGGGTTACTGGTTCATAGATTATGTGATCTTAAAGTCAGCCAATGGTTTAAAACTTAGAATTAAGAACTGTCTCATGCTGATTGGCTTACACTATTTGGGTTGGTGAGTTGGCGCAGCATAAATTTTTTTTTCGATAAAAAGTGTGATATTTGTCAGTCTGTCTTGTTGAAACTCACAAAGTGTCATTAAGAATTTGGAGAAAAGCTGAGATAAAATGTCATTACCAAATAGAAAAACTATATGCTGATATAATAGTACTATAATATTATCCATTGCAATATGTAATAAAATTTTCTTAACATTCCAGGTCTAGTCCATGGCCATACAGGACATGTAAGATTTCTAACATGTGTGGACATGCCCGCAGTAGTAACACATGCCAAATATAGTCCTGCCAATCTGAAAACAGACTCTGTAGCCTCCACTGTTAGGCGCACCTCAACTACGGCAATACCAACCCTAGCCACGAAGATGCTCGTGGTGAGTGGCGGGGATGGCTACGAGGACTTTATCAGTAGTGGGGCTAATGAAGCAGCTGGTAGGGATGACAGTACGAATCATCTACTACTTTGGCAGGTCTAGGAATGATTGTATATCTAAGTCAAATTGTGAATTTACGTCATGGCTGTAGTGCTCGTTTCATCAAAAAGTTGTGGTATGATGGCTGTTATGGTTTAAACATCATGAATGCTGTAGAGATAAACACAGGAAAGTGGATAAGTGGAGATTACTTATATTGCTGCGATACCAGAAAGTCAGTGAAGAACATATCCTGAGAGCAGTCATTTTAGGTCCTGTGTATGGTCAAAGGGACATCCTAGAATTTGTGAGAAACTCCCAAGATATGAATGTCCTTAGTGGGTGCAAAGTGAATGTGTGAGAACTAAAAGGTGTTAGAGAATTAGAAAGGGATCAGATGATAATATGAAAACATCTGATCGGATTAGAAATAGTGCAAAACCAGCAGTTTCTACGAAAATGTACTGAACGTCAGTAAGATGTAGTGACGTCAAGCCCTTATATGGCAGTTGAGTACTAAAATAATGCCTATCTGTAGTAATACAGTAAAGTCTGTGTAAAAGAAACACCTTACGGCTTTGGTACATCTCAAGTGTTCCACTTGGAAAATGTTACCTTTACAAGGCTCATTTAGTCAGATTTGAAGTGTTCCACTTATGGAGGTGTTCCATTTACAAGGGTGTTTCATTTGACAGTGTTTACTGTATATGACTGTCTAATGGAAGGAAGTGGTTCAATCACGAGCCATTTGATAGAATTGTATACAACTTCAAGGTGTTTGAATGTGGTACTGGTGTCATACTCATGACCAGCCAATGTATTTCTAAATGTGCCATCAGAAACTAAACCAAAGGATTATATGAAGAAATTGTAAGAAATAAACAGAGGTTTATTATACGAGTACTACATCATTATCATTGAAGTACAGTAGTATTGTATTGTTATTGTGTTGTCATGGTGATTATGTTAATAACCCACTGTGAAATATGATGAGGATATTTTCTCCAGCTAATATATTATCCCCTGCAAATAGCCTAATATACTCTTTGAAACAATTTTGTTACTGTGTCGACCTCTCTTTGGCATTTCAAGGCTTCAGTCTTAGGTAACAGCTCATGAATATCAATTTCTTTTATGATGTTCTTTGTTTGATTTTATGATCATTTCTAACAAGCTATCGACATATGTTAGAGACACTAAAGGCTAGTAACTAAATATGGAGGCTAACAATAACAACAAGAATATGCCACTACTTCTTGGTGATGACATAATCATGTCACTTCACAGTATGGTATCATAATCACCATGACAACCAGATATTGCTTGTTATGTTACGTTTCTATGTACTGCTAGGTGATATGTATTGTATTGTGACAACATGTTTTTCATGCCAAGTGCTATGACAAAGTACACATTATATTTTATTTCGCAGTCAAAAAAATGTTAAGTTAAGTAAAATCATATTTCACATTTTGAACTTACTTCGAATAACAAACACAATCCAAAACGGAGATTACACCCTAGAAAGAATTGTGGCAGACATTATACCAATAGACCTTTCCAGAAAGCCATGGCACCTCTTGGTAAATCAAAGAACCTATGATACATTGACTAGATTGATGAGGTCATAGGTTGTTCTTTTTCAAAATTAGCAATAAGTAAATCCTATTTTGCTTGGATTCCTACCAACAACCAATGACATCATCAGTCTGGCCAGTATATATCCTAGTTTTTTTTTCATTTACAAAAGGTAGCAGGACTTATTGGAAAGGTCTATTAATTAATAAAATCATACATGGTTAATTTATATAATTAGTAATTACCATAGAAATACAGCATCATGTTTTGCACAATTGTTGTTTTCAAGTGCTTCATAATTTTACTTATCAACCAACCAAAAACTGAGTCAAGTGTGCGAACAAAAAATCAGCATTCTATTTCTAAAATATATAAAATATTGTTTCTCTTAAAATGCCAAAAATGTAAAATCTTGCCAAGACTCTGTCTACAATTCACGAAATAATTTACCAAATATGATGTGTGTACAGGTTTCTTTGTTGATTTGTTATATCCCCACCACATAGTGTGGGGCCATATTGTCGGCCTAGGCGCGTCCGTCTGTCCGTCCGTCTGTCCGTCCGTCCGTCCGTCTGTCCGTCCGTACGTCCGTACGTCCGGGAGTTTTCTCCAAAACCGCTACAGATATCACCTTCAAATTTTCAGGGATAACTTATGAGTGCATACAGATGTGGATGAAAAAAAATTAACTCGATACCTACTTCCTGTCGGCCATTTTGAAGTCAAATGCTAAAATCCTTGTCTGCAAACTTTAAGAAAAACGGCTTCACAGTTGCTTTTAAAACTTTAACATCTTGTTCAGCTCACTTCATTCTAGATCTGATTAGGTTTTGGACCTGTTAGCTCAGTCATGTCAGCCATTTTGAATGTCTTAAGAAAAGTTAGCGCACGATAATACTTTGTATCATATTGAATGGTGTTTTTGAGTTTTCATATTCTAACTATTTAGTAGCTTTATAAATAATTTCAGATGTACTTTGTTGTTAAAGCCTATGTTGTTGTTAACAGTATTTATATGTGATAATTTTGTAAAAAGAAATCAGCAAAAACTCATGATCACTTTTTTATTGTCAGCCATTTTGGATTTTTCCGTCCTAAAATCTTGTCTGTGGAGTCTTGTCTACGTGTTTTCAGGTGAACCGTTTGGTGGATCAATTCTTGATTTTCAGGGATGATTCTTAGTATAAAAATCTAGATCTGATTAGTTTTTTGGCATTCTGGGTAAATGTCAAGGCAGCCATTTTGGATTTTCCGTCCTAAAATCTTGTCTGTAAAGTCTTGTCTACGCGTTTTCAGGTGAACTGTTTGGTAGATCAATTTCAATTTTTCAGGGATGATCCTTAATATGAAAATGTACAACTGATTAGTTTTTTGGCATTCTGGGTAATTGTCAAGGCAGCCATTTTGGATTTTCCGTTCTAAAATATTGTCTGTAAAGTCTTGTCTACGCATTTCCAGGTGAACAGTTCTGTAGATCTATTTCAAATTTTCAGGGATGATTCTTAGTATGAAAATCTAGATCTGATTAGTATTTGGGCATTCTGGGTAAATGCCAAGGCAGCCATTTTGGATTTTCCGTCCTAAAATCTTGTCTGAAGAGTTTTGTCTACGCATTTCCCGGTGAACCGTTTGGTAGATCAATTTCAAATTTTCAGGAATGATTCTTAATATGAAAATCTAGATCTGATCAGTTTTTTGGCATTCTGGATAAATGCCAAGGCAGCCATTTTGGATTTTCCGTCTTAAAATCCTGCCCGTAAAGTCTTGTCTACGCGTTTTTAGGTGAACCGTTTTGTAGATCAATTTCAAATTTTCAGGGATGATTCTTAGTATGAAAATCTAGATCTGATTAGTTTTTTGGCATTCTAGGTAAATTTTAAGGTGGCCATTTTGGATTTTCCGTCATCAAATTGTGTCGGTAAAGTCTTGTCTACTCATTTTTAGGATAACCATTTGACAGGATCACCCATAGGTGGGGACATTTTGTACACATTTGTGTTCTTGTTTTAAATCTTTGTTACATGATTAAATGCTGTCTATTAAACGGATTTTGTATATGCACATTTTGTATATTCAACTAATTTGTGCACATTTTGCACAATTACCAAGAATCGGGTGCCAAACTTTATGTTCGACGCAAGCTGGTGCCAGTTCGGGATTTTGTCTCAAATTGTAAAAATGTAAAATATAGTGTTTTATTTTACATCATAGTACAGTGAAACTGACATTATTGTAAATAAAGATCATAAAGTATAGTACTTATTGTATATCGTGCACAGAGTCTTACAGTATTTCTAGATATATTATACAGATTTTTTTACCTGTACATGGTACTTTTGGAAATCATTTACATCGCATATACAGTAAAATTTGTGTAAGTGAAACACCTCTGAAAACCTCAAAATAGTGTTCACTTTAAGAGGTGTTTTACATGCAGAGGTTCATTCTGCATCATTGTCATGGTAACAAGACTTGAGAAAGTGTTCGGTAACAAGACTTGAGAAAGTGTTCCATTTACAGAGATGTTCCATTTACAGCTGAGTTGTTTCACATTACAGGTTTTACTGTATATTGTAGATTATTACTGCATTTTGCAGTTTATACACCTGGGATGGGGTTGGATGTTGGCTGGGGGCTGGAGGCTTGTGGTATAGGTTACATATATATTTGAGTTCATTTTACAACACACATGTAAATGTACTGTACATATTTTATGTACATATTGTATGGTCATGCAAGTGCACATTACAGTTCTATATAACAGTTTACACTTGTCAGATACTTGTACATGTATGTACATTATATATACCACGTGATACTGCACATTTTACAGTACAAATCGTCAGCTAATTGTACCTCTTTTAGACTATGCAGGAACATTTTTAGTTTTTTTTTAAATACACATGCGTATATCGTAAGTTATTGAAAGAACATGTACAGATGTATATTGACGACTATACAATACACTTTTACAACTTTAGATAATTGCAAAGTAGTTCGTTTGAATTGCAATGAAGTTTTACATTTGAAGAGTGTTTTGGAATTGGAAATGTACAAAACTTTTCAAAATATGTCATTTTAATCCAAAATTATGGTCTAAACATTTGATGAATGAAAATAACAAACAAAAATTTGATTTTACAAATTTAAGTGTATGTATGATTATAGCCTGAGAACTGAACATGCATAGCCATCAAAGACTTATCAAACTTGTTAAACAATTGCAAATAACATCAAACGGAAACCATTTTGTCTAATAAATTATTTAAAGTGAACTTGATTTTAATGTCTTGATACCCTAAAGGATGAGGTCAGCATATGAGGGGTTTTACTTTTAGTTTTATAGAAGAAATGAAAAGAGGGGAGGGGCACCAAAATGATTGACATTTAGGACCACCTTAAAGGATGAGGTCTGTGCATGAGGGGTTTTACTTTAAGTTTTATAGAAGAAATGAAAAGAGGGGAGGAGCACCGAGATGATTGACATTTAGGACCACCTTAAAGGATGAGGTCTGTGCATGAGGGGTTTTACTTTTAGTTTCATAGAAGAAATGAAAAGAGGGGAGGGGCATCAAGATGATTGACATTTAGGACCACCTTAAAGGATGAGGTCTGCGCATGAGGGGTTTCATAGAAGAAATGAAAAGAGGGGAGGGGCACCAAGATGATTGACATTTAGGACCACCTTAAAGGATGAGGTCTGCGCATGAGGGGTTTTACTTTTAGTTTTATAGAAGAATTGAAAAGAGGGGAGGGGCACCAAGATGATTGACATTTAGGATCACTTATGCTCCATTAATAGCTGCAGTGTGAATGTATCATTATATGCTTTATTACATATTCAAACATGTTGGACAGAATGTCAGTACAACTGCACCCACCTTCTGTCCAACATGTCTGAATTTTACCATGTTGAACCATAAAAATACTTCAAATTTTCATACTCCTGTCTTTGATTTCAGTTTGAGGGAGGAGTTTGGCCTGTTTCCTCTCATTGGGATAAACATGAATATTTGTGACATATTGATTGAAGGTGGGAAGAGGGGGAGGGGTGAAAGTAAAATGAATGGGATGTATCGGATCAAGAGCCTCAGCTTGGTCAGTGGTCGCTGTGATTTTATATTAGTACAGGCTGTAAAATATGTTGCACAGACTGACTATTATATTGACACATTTGCTGTATATTGGGCACGGTACAGGTTTAGTAGAGTAAAATATATTTCAATTATTATACAGAATTGTAAAATATACAAATGCAGTGAAACATTAGATAATCTTGTGTTCGTTTTTGTACTAATGTGATATGACAGGGCTCTATTGATATGACAGGGCTCTATTGACATGACAGGGCTCTATTGATTTGCAGGGCTCTATCGAAATTATCTGGCAAAAAGTACATCTAGCCAATATACCCCAATTTCCTTTGTTCACTATTTTTTCCAATAATTTATTTTTGCTTCCATTAAAGAGTTTCGTCTACACTTGAGTTTGAGATAACCCATTGATATAGCCTTACCTAATCAGAATGATGGAATATGTCTTCATCAAAATTTAGCCACCCAATCAAAATAGAAGTCACCAAATGTTAAGCTTTCATAATGGGCATAAGAACAGATCTACTCTTATGCCGGGCATAAGAATTGAACCTAATTTGCCCTAACCTCATGTTTGCTGAAGTCCGAGTATTTGTAGGATTCCGAGTTCAAATGTCGGGGTGTTACCTGGCTTTTATTACACATTGAAACTCCCATGGCCATAAAAGGCCACATACTTTATAACAACAGATACTTTTTGGTCATTATGTCACCACCACAAGAGGTGACATATTGTTATAGTCTTTAATATTAATTTTTTGTGGATGGTGTTCAGTGGTTGGTGTTTGGCATCTGGTGGTTGGTGTTAAGCATCTCATTATTCAAAATGGGTCAGGATTTACTGAAAATTCTGATTTATTCAAAATTCTCCGAAACACATTCTTGAAAAAAGATACTGGCGAGTCATACTTCCCAAAAATTTGTGGCCTGACATCAACCTGATTATATGAATGAAATATCGTCAGTATGTCATTAACAGAACTTTCGTAAAGTTGCAAAAGTTCTTTTAATGACCCCCAGACTATCAACTAATCTAACACATAAATCGGTGTATTTTGCATTTTGGTTAACATTTATTTTTATTGAATGTATAATATGGTAAGTTACCCATAATTGTAAATTAAATAACACAAAACATGGAATGTTACATATTGATACATTTAAGCCTCTGCAATTAACTGCATCGTATCAATGATTTACAAATACAAGACAAGATGTAAATATACCATTGGAAAGATCCAATTTGTAATGTATAATGATACAAACATTGACAATGTAAAACATAACAGTTTAGAAAAGCCCAATAGATGTTTTAAAATCAGAACAATATTACTATACTAAAATTTATTGTTTATTGGAATAAAATATTTATTGTATGGCACTAAAACAGTATATTGTAGAAATTCATTCTCATCAATTATACCATCTAAAATAGCTGAAAAACCCTTAATAACATTTTAGATTGATATAACGAATTGTAGAACCACCATTCCAACTTCAGAAAAATATCACATCTAACAAAATACCAACAATTGGAACTCTAGAGTGAAAAATGTAGAATAAACTATTTATATATAACATGATATGTAATAGCATGTGGCCCTATCAGTATAGAACCAGCTGTAGTGTACATGTAAAGAACCAGCTGTAGTGTACATGTAAAGAACCAGCTGTAGTTCAGAATGTTTATATATCAGTTAAGGACCAGCCGCTAGTTGTGAACTCTGCACTTTGAGGATCTTCCTTCATAGCCTCTCTCCTCTCACTAACAGCCTGGAAGAATAAACAAACAAGACATAACATTACAGACACTGACCTCTGACTGGCAGATACCATATGGCCAACACAATCCACAAAAAGTTGGAGACTACCACGATATGTCACCAGTTCACCATGTGTGGAGGTGACGTAAAAACAACTTACTTTCAAGAGTACACATATTTTTAGCATATATTTGACAGTATTAAGCCTATATGGATTGCAGCGAACTACACACTTCAATTATGTTTGCATGAAATCCACAGTCTATCTACATTGAGGCTTCATCCAAAAGCTGCCAGATGCAATGTTTTGAAACACAATAAATATGGTTGAGATATCTTACCTTTCTCAGTATGCTAGCTATGCTGTCCAGTTGTTCTTGGCTGACATCACTCAAATCTCTCAGTTGGTTAGGATGCGGGGAGGATGTCGATTTTAAGACAGTTCTTTGTTTGATTAAATCATCTCTTGGTATATGCCAAACTGGACCATCATTTTTCATTGGAGGTTTTGAATGCCTGGTTTGACCTTGGCTTGTAAGGTGACCTTGACTTGTTGGCTGACCTTGCCCGAAGGTCATTTCAGAGCTGAGTGATCGTTTTCTCTCTCGCATTTTATCCAAATGTAATTTCAGCTCTGTGGCACTTGGTAGTGGAGGTGGTATGGGAACTACAGACAAGGGAGGTCTGGTTTGCCCAGTATTATCCACCTCAGCCCATGCAGACATGGGAGGCATTGTTCCAGCTTTGCTAGTTCTAGCTGAGTTTAGTTGAGCTTCACTGTGAACAGATCTAGCACTAGAGGGATCAGAAGACACTGTCCATGGATTATAATAATTATCTTCTAATTTAGCTGTAAGAGAAAAATCCCCCTCTCCTTGCACGGGCTGACAAATACTCTGAGGAAATTCATCCTCCAAATGGGGTTCGATCATGGAATGTGGAGATTGAATTGAGCAATGTGTTGGATTAGTTTGTGATTCAGCAGAAAACAATGAAGCCTTGGCGACTGAATATTTGTCCATGTTGGGTGCCACAGATCTCAATATAGAATGCATCCTTGGACTGATTTTTAAAACATCAGATGGGACACTGTATGTTTCATCCGAATCATCCAATGAAAGCCTTAATTCTGAACTAGTTGGCCTGAATTCGGAGCTTGGCTGCCCAAACTCTGAGCTTGTCCTGCTTTCCAAGTTATGTCTCATTTTTGAGCTAGCAGGTTTGGTGTTAGTGGTTTTCTTCCTATTGGGCACTGTTTGTGTTTGATTTGATGGTTTGTCGCTTAGTTTGTTTGTAATACGGCATATTTCAATGGCATTCTCATATAACCGATTCACCATATTCTCAGGAGTCTTCTCGCAGTTTGATGTTTCATTAAGATATGTCTTAGAGTCTTTGTGAGCAGCATCAACATTACTGTGTCTACTTTGCCCCAATGAATCCGAAAACTCGCTTCCTGCAATATTATTTGAGGTTTCCAAGAACAGTCTGTTGTTGTAACCTGGGTTACCATGGAGAGTGGCTCCACTGTTGGATTCTGGGATACCATCCAGAGAGGATCCACTGTTGGATTCTGGGACACCTTCCAGAGTTGTATTAACAAGGTTGATAATGTCCCTTGCAGATTCCATGTTATGCAAGGCCTGTGGGGGAACACCTGCTGTGTTGAAGAGATTTCGCCAAGACTGTGGAAAACTCATGTTTTCTAGTGTCTCTAGAATAGCCTAAAGATAAAAAAGATTTAAGGTAAAGCAATGAGGATTTGAACTTCTCACAGATAAGCATTGTACACTGTCAATATAGGAAAATCTATCAAAGAGTTGTCATACTACAGCACACATACTTTCGATTGAAAGTCACATGATTGAACGCAATAAACTGAATGAAAACTTTTATATAAAGATAAATAGCATGTACAAGTATTTAACTACACATTTAATTTCTGAGTAGGAGCCTAGCAGTCCAACTTTAGAAAAACATAGGTATATTTTACCTGGAAGCTAGGTCTCCTAGATGGACTTTGGTGCCAACATGCTATTATTAGGGACTCCACTTGACCAGGACAGCTAGCTGGAATGTCTGGACGTTTGTTTTTCCTGACACGCTCAATGATCTGAAATAATGAATCATTGCAATAAGTAAATAAATGTTTCCTTAATGTTCATTGTCTAGTGGATTCAAATGTTTTAATACAAATAAATACAATCAAGATTATATAAACTTACATGAACATATCGCATGCAGCCTAAATGAAAGATTATTCATTGCTAGCAAGTTAGTATCTGATAAAAATGTTTCAACATAATTCAAACATTTGTGTCCATCAAGATGATTTTATTTGAAGATTCAACTTAACCCTAAGGGATGGGAAATAAAAATCCACACAGCAAAAATATTGAAAATCTTTTTGATAACATTTGATAATACATATCCTAGATATATGACCAAATCCTCATTTAAATCAAAGAAGCATATAATTTTCAGCCAAGCAATGCAGTTCAACATCAACGATGGTTAACCAATGACAAACCTGGAAGAGTGAGCATCCCTTATAAGGATGTTGCCTGGTAACCATCTCCCATAGTATAATCCCAAAGCTGTAGACATCAGACTTTGGCGTTACATCCCCAACGCTCAACATTTCTGGTGCCATATAACCAGGAGTGCCCCTTACTGACTCTTTGGTTGGCTTCACAGCTGACTTTGTAGGCTTCAGAACACTAGCATCATGCCTAAAAAGTGTTCAATGATTTTATGCAACTTATCTTTATAAATAGAGGATTGCAATAAAAAAAGAGCAATCTTCTGTCTGAATGTTTTACTCTTACAGAGGATGCATGTAAATGAAAGTGTGACTAGTTCACAATAACTGGACATTAAGATACATGTGATGTGTACTTTATGCATCACTAAAAAGTATTAAATTTAACAACATACTAGATTTAGTATCATTAAGAATGAAACAAGCATATCAAGAGTGAAATATTTTATTGAACTAAATAACTTGATTTGTCAGGATCTACATAATTATGTATATTTTGAACTTTACCTAAATTTTGAGAATCCAAAATCTGCTATTTTCGCTCTACCTTGAGCCCCCAATAGCACATTAAGAGATTTGAGGTCAAGGTGTAAGACACATGGCTTGTGTTTGTGAAGGTAGTTCATGCCTAGTGATATGTCTCTAGCTATCTGGTAGAATGCTACATGGTCTAAGGGGTCTCTGAAATAAATGGGGTTTACAAATTGTGAATCATGGTCTGTTCTATAATAATGTGATGAAAGGATTTGATCAACAAAAAAGTAAAGTATCAACAAATTATTGTTGTTGATCATGTATATATTAGATATTTCTTGTATCTATTTTTCAAAAACATTTTTGATGAGTACCTCAGAAATTTTCTGAAGGACAAAATAATTAAAAACAAACTTACTGTGTATGGTCATGTAGAACATTATAGAGGGATCCACCAGACATGTATTCTAGTACCATAAGGGGTAGCTTTGTAGTGGTACATACACCTAGCAGTAACACAACACGTGGATGCCTCAGCTCTCTCAGGAGGCTAACCTAAATATAGAGATAATATTAAAGAAGGGAACACCAGATATGTACCCTAGTGCCATGAGAGGTTAAACCAAATGCATAAAATGTATGAAATGCATAAAATGTATAACTAACTATGATGAGAACAAAATGCAACCTCAGTTTTTTACCTCAATTCAACTTTTCAGTGTTCAGTGAATCTAAGATGAAATGAGATGTACATGGATCCAACAATATAATCGAGGATACGGGATTTTAATCTTTAGGGGAAATGTCACTGTCCTCATAAGGAGGTGGTAAGAAAATCTGGAATAGAGTAAACCCTAAGTGAATGAAGGACCCACGGTCCTATGCTCACACAGTTTGGAACCTTCAGAGGAATTTATATCCTGACTTTCAAACAAAAATATTGATTTGGATTTGTAGTCTCGAACTTTGAGAAACTTAGATAGCATAGTTATGTGACCTAGTTTGATGACCTTTGACGTTAAAAATTATACTTATTCAGAGCTCAGTAAGTTCTTTTGTGATTAAGCTGACCAAAATTTACATCCAAAAATCAATTTGAAAAATCAACTTTTTTGACCTTTCGAAGGTCACTGAAGGTCAAGTAAAGGTCAAATCCTAAAACTAATGTCAGATTTGAACTCCTGGCAACTTGTAGATGATTTTCAAAAAAAAAATTTGGTCAAATTGAAGCAAGTTGAAAAATAACTTATTTTTACTGTTTTTTGACGTCAAATATTTCAAAAACGGTAAAAATTTAATGCTGATATATATTGAGAAATATGTAGGGAATGCTTAAATCTATTAATGATGTAACTTATTGCAAGAAATGATCAAGTATAAGGCAAACTTTAAGAATCTTGTCAATCACAAAACCTGCCTGACTTTATACATGAGAAAGTTTCCTGAAAATGACGAAGTCCTACTTTTTTTCAAATTTTATAGAGTAAACACCAAAAACCGTAATTCAAAGAGCTTTGAAATCTTCAGAGGACATAAGTTGCATATACACCAACTACTAAAAGTTATTTGAAAGTTCTACTTCAACAAAGTGTCTAGTATTTACAGAAAAGTTGACTTTTTGACGTCAAAATCCGCAATTTCTCGGAAACCGGGCGAACTTGGGAAATGGCCATGATAGGTCAAATAGGCATTATGGATATACATAAAATGAATGTGGATATGACTCAATCCGAATAGCAGTTTTAATTTGTGCAGCCAATGTTGACAGACGGACGGACGGACCAACGGACGGACGGATGGACCAACGGACGGACGCCTGGTCAATCCCATAGGCTCACTGTGTGAGCCAAAAACCTTTGATACCTCAAATAAGTGTTCCCCATGGGAGTTGTTCCATGCACAAAAGGTCATTTTACATTAAGTTATGAGAAAGGTTATTTTGAAAGGTGTTCCTGGCTTATGGATGTGTTTCTTTTACAGTGTGTTCACTTCATAGGTTTTACACTACTTCCTTTGACATGTTATTTAAAAAGCTTACCTCAGCTGCAAAGTAGTTTTTATCTTGGGAGGTCAGCGGAACTTTAAGTTGCTTTATGGCGACCTCTGACCCCTGGTAGCTCCCTCTATACACCACTGAGAAAGCACCCTCACCTAACTCATCTAGAATACAACGAGTGCTCAGAACTGTATATTTATTAATACTTCGAAAAAAACGTTTTTTTTCTTTGTGGATATCTTACAAGTGAACTGTAAATTGTATATTGGAAGGTCATTTTCAAACAACACCACTAGAACATTTTATCATAGACTAATATAAAGATTCCTTGGTTAAGTGACACAGTACCTTGTTGTGTAAAAATGATATCTTCTGTGTTCAGTTCCACCTTCCCAACAGGGTTCTTATATTTCACTCTCTCCAGTTCCGACTCCAAGTGCCTGTGATAATCATAAACACAAAATACAGGGTGGTCAAAAAAATGGAAACCCTGCATTTTCTTAATATCTTTGTCATTTTAAGGAATTACTCCCTGATATTTCACACATTTGTACATCATTCAATTTCCTACAACCCTACCAAATTTCATGACCATCGGACTGATAGTCAAGTTTGGCCATCATCGCACTGTAGGTAAAACTGCACAGTTGTCAATGGGCCGAATGCATTCCTCAGCAAGTATGGCCTGAATGAAATGGATGATCTCACTTTTGAGGTTTGCGGTTGTCCTGAGGTCATCCTCATACACTTTTTCCTTGCCATATCCCCACAGGTAGGGACATTTTGGACAACGAGTGCAGGTGGCCCGACAGCGCAATAGTGGCCACTAGGGCATGTTCTGTAAAGTGCTGTAACATTGTGACTATCAATCCGATGGTCATGAAATAAAGTAAGCTGGTAGGAAATTGAATGATGTACAAATGTGCAAATTATCAGGGAGTTATTTCTTAAAATGACAAATATATGAGGAAAATGGTGTATAATGACTAACATACTTCAAATCATCAGGATGAGGACTTGTGGTAACAAATACATATACATATTATCATACATGGAATTTGTTCTACTTAGGGAGGTGTTCCACATTACATGTTTCATTGTACAATTTCATAAATAAACAGAGGGGTTTATTGGGGCTAATATGTCTGTCAAATTTACTCAAAAACTTTGAATTATTAGACTATGGATTTACTCTTACCGAATATGTTTTCTGCTTTCATCTTTGTCCCTCCTTGCCTGGTCCACCAATTGTCTCTTACTCATTGACATAGAAACACTCTACGATAGGAAGTAAGATACACATTCTTTTTAACAAGAAATCCAGACTGATAATATATACATGTATGTTAATGTATGTTTTTTGATTATTTTCTCATACCAAATCACATTATAATCTTTCAAAGATATACCCAAGAATGTGAATAAAAGAATAGAGAAAAATGTGCAAACCTGAAATTTTTTGCTGTTTTCTACAGAATTTTTACTACTTTTAGTGACCCCATCACCACTTTTAGATGGCGCTAGTGACTGGATTGTCCCCGGAGCATCAGCATCAGAAGATGTCATGCCCATACCCATCAATCGTTTTTTCTCTGAGATTTGCTGCTGAACCTAGATAAAAGTAGTTGGTTAAGAATGTTATTCCCCATCTAGTGGAAGACGTGGTTATCAAAACTTCTGAAGGTTATTCTGCTTTCAGGTCTGTTTGACATTATTCATATGGAGCAACTCCCAGAAAGTGGGGAGTTCTCTATATACTAATAGATATTTTACCTTATGGAGAACTTACCACCATCTGTGGGAGCAACTACTGCCAATGATATTCAATGTATAACTTGAAGCAATCAACTTCTACAACCTAGCATTTTTAAATATACCATAATTTATGTAAATGTACATGTATACCAGTGTACTTACTTGTTTTAATTGACCTTCCAATCTGTCAATCATTTCTGAAGTCATATGTTGCTCTGCCCCTTCTTCACTCTGCAGTCTTTGTACCTTGAAAACAGTACAGGAAGTAAATAACAGCAACACTAATGTCAAGGGAATCCCACTAAAACATCTTGTCAACTGGCAGTGTTTGTATGTTAACATCTTGCTCCATCTGATAAACCTCCAAACTATATTTTTCATGAATATTAGTCTGCACATTTAGTAAGCAAATAAATTACTTTCTAAAATCATTAGGATTGTAGGACAATTTGTCTTATAATATGACTTGTTTATACTGCTAACAAAACAAGCAATTCTAATCTTTAGTATTTACAGAAAAGAAGTTTGAATCAGAATTCTTGATTGTGCAAACTCCAGACTTGTATGAATTTCTTTAAATAAAATGGGGTAATTGGGTCATAGTTAGAGACTGAGCCTTTTTGCTACTTATTCAAATGAAAATGAACCATCTATACCTGGGCCTCTAAATTCAGTAGAACAGATTCTGTGCTTATATCTGCTATGTTAGTAGAATCGTCTTGTTCTCTTTCCTTTCTAACTGGCTTATTTGTCGATTGTATAACATCTCCAGTCACTTGAAGTGAACCCCTTGGCAGAGTGGTACTTTGCTGTATGCTGGTAGTAGATTTGGGGGGAGCACTCTTAGCTGTAAGTGAGATAATAAATCGTATTGTGCTAAGACAAACATAAAAGACAAATTCTGTGCAAAATTGTGCATGAATTCATGAACTACGCGATAATTTCTGCAAGTAAAGGCTTCATCTGAACTATCACAAAATTTCAGAGAATTCAAATTTATTTGACATATCATATATGAAACACAGAATTCTAGCATGTGCACTAAGATTAATTGTATATACTGTATCAGGTACTTCTCCACTGTTCCAATCTGAAACAGGACTGAACAATATTATTTCATACATCCCTTTTCATTTTGATGTGATGCAGAAAAGATGTTAACAAAGTGTTTAATAGAAAAATCAATGTATAATTCATGAGACGTAGTCATATAGGGTTGGCGATATAAAGAAAAATAATTTGTAATTTTTAGTTATGAGGATGATATCCCAAATAGGGAATCTTCCACTCAATTTTTTGTATTCCTGAAATATTGAAATGAGAGAAAACAGAATTTGATTTGACTGGTAGTGACATTCATTACATGTAAATGGTGTTCCTACCTGTTCTTTTAACTGGAGCAGATTTTGCTCTTGATGCCCCTGTTGCTTTTAACAAACCCCCTCCACCTGTTGCTTTAGCTTTCAGCAAACCACTACTTCCTCTAATCCCACTTTTAGAAGAGCCTGGTCTAGTTGAGTGATCTTTCAAAGTTCTGTTTCCACCAGATTTTTGAGCAGAGATTTTATTATTGCCTCCAGATTTTTGGAACACTGGATCTACCTTTATTGAAGATGAATTCTCCGAAATTTTTGTTTTGGTTTCTTTGACTTTATTTCCTGAGATCAATCCCCTTTCTTCCATATTCCTTGCAGTTAGCACCTCTTCAATGTCTTCCCCTCTGAGCTCTTTTATAGCAAATAAAAGTTTGTTGATAGCACCAATAGCAGTAACACCCATCTCTCTCAGCTGCTCTTCAGTGACAAGTTTCAGACTCTCTAAATCTAATTCATGTTGGGAGAATATTGCCTCATATTTTTCAGGGTTTTTCAGATGTAAAGTCTGCAACCAACATGATATATCCTGGTCACAATGATTTGTAGAGGGTTGTAGTAATAAAGGCGGAATGGATATATTTTCAATGTTTGGAATGTTGACAGTACCGCTTTGTGGAATGACTATAGGCTCTGTACTTGGAATGTTCTTTGTTATGGGCTTCTTTTTCATGTTAATTTGTAAAGTAGAAGTTGGATCAAAATTAAAAGATCCAAGACTTTGCTCTTTTGGTACAAAATATCCATCCTTCGATTCTTCTGTTTTATTGCCAGCTCTAAGAGCACTTGAACTTTTATTTTTAACCTGTGCAGGTTTCTTGAGATCCACTTTATCTACAGATGGGGCTAAATCAAGCTGTCCCCCTGATACGGTTTTCAGATCCCCACCAGTTGGTATTGAATGTTTACTCTTCAGTTTTCCACCAGATATATTATATTTATCATGCGTTTGATTGTCTTTGCTTCTCTTGACACTGCCTGCTTTAGAATAATGTGTTTGTGGCTTTGTTGATTGCTTGAGCTTCAGGTCTCTGTTTGATTTATAGTTATTAAGTTTGCCTTCAGCACCATGTTCCCACGTACTCCCTCCTACTTCACGCCTGGAAATACAACCAATGCTATTCATACAGGGAAACCATTTTTAATATCGACTTGTTTGGCTTAGGATGAGAGCGATCAGTATTGGTAAATCTAAAAATTTTCCATTAATAACATATTCATTCCAGGTCAGGAGTGGTCAAATATGACACACCCTACCTTTTCCGCATATGGTTCATTTAGTGTTTGATATAAAGAATGCTTGCAGCCATATATAAAAATAAACATTAAGCTGCCATTACATCACTTTCTCTGTGAATTATAATTTTAATAGGAGACAAAATAATGTTAAAACCATAAAAAATGATCACAAGAGTACAGATGATTAAGATTGCTAAAGAGGTTGTGTTCATCTTCATAAGTTTGTCTTGTAGCAAAGTCAAACCTATTTTGAACAGAAATTGTAAGGGAACAACAGGAATCAATTCTCTTTGTTAAAATCAGTAGTTTCTTTGTGCTGTGAACAGAAAGCAGTGTTCTCCACAAGATTTTTTCTCAAATTCTCATGTTCACAATTCAGACCAAAATTGGTCAAAATATTTTCAAGTGGGTGCGATTGGATTTTCAGGTGGGTGGGTGCAAGCCAGTTTTTAAAATCTCAGGTAGATGCTGCGCCCACTTGATCAAATACTGGGTATGGTATGCATTACTCCAAATTTACGAAAATGTATATGTACTATCTACCTGATTAATCCTCTTACACTTGACTGTTCTGCATTTTTAACTTTCTCGAAGTAATTCAGACCATCAGTTAGTTGACTTATATCTTCTTCCAGTTGCGCATTCTCTGCATTCAGCTTTGCCATTAGCCTTAAAGAAGATAATAATGAGGTCATGGCAATGAACAAAATCAAAGTATATTCACTTCAAATGTGAATTTACATGATTTCAGACTTCATCAGCAGCCATTGACGTGCCTCAATACTTCCGCCAATAGATCAATACCAACACTGGGGTGTATCATCCTTCTAAGTACATACAGTAGTTTTAAATCATCATACTATGCCTTTGTCAATAACTGCAATTAAATAGGTGTATTTTTAATACAGATCTATTTTTATCCACATCACTCAGCTCATTATTTTAGTAAGAAAAAGGTCCCCTGTGTACAGCAACAAGCCTGCACTTCTGGTGGACAGTGGCGATGTCAATGCAGTAGCCTGACAGTCATTCCAGGGTATTGTAACTTAAAAGAACTTCCTAGGGGGGTACATGGACCAACCAGGGAGTTTCGTTTCAACTTTAAAATGAGTTGTAAACCATAGATCTATCTTTTAAATGGTAAGGTTTAAAGTATAGTCTATTCAAATTCTATAACTGTCAAATTGTATATCTGCTATTGTTATTAGCCTTTTGCAGGTTACTGACATAGACATCAGAATATTATCTTACGATCTGTGCATGATTGAACTTCTCTCCTATCAAACTTGGTTTATCGAATCCTACCACCCCTTTAGATTGTGGCTAGTCTATTGTCCCTCAAGCTTTTTTATAATAAATCAATTAGACATGGAAACATGAGAATACTTGGGAGGCCTAGTATGATAAACTAGTAAAGTGAACGATATAATATTAGTACCTTGGGTTTATGTCTCCTTTAATTCGTCGGGAACCCATGTTTATCACAATAAATACTCCTATTATCGCCCGTCTAAAAAACAGTAAAATTAAAAAATATAAAAATCAATTTGTCTTCGGATTACATCATCTTCATCACATGGCATACGTGTTAAATATATTCCTTTGGCTCCTCTGAATATTCAACTACTTTAAATAAGTCTTACTTATTGGCAATTCGGCTGCACTGGTGCTGTATATTGAATAAAGTAGAAATGATTTTGAAAATTACCCGCCGCCATTTGTAAACAATTTATGACGAGCATAAGCAATGTTGATAATATTTTCTATATCGATAATTCTCAGATTTATCAAAACTTTTTCGATACAAATTTAGAAACACATTATGATCATATTAGTTTAAAATAATATGATTAACATTTAAATCCCAAGTTTGATAGATTTCAAAAATACTTATTTGGCTTGTCACTATACCGCCAAATTCAAAAGTGACTTCCGGCAACATTTTTAGAAAAGTATTTAGAAACATAGACTTTATTTCAATTTGATTGATGTGAGGACAAGACGTGAAAGGAATTTCATTGTACATTTGGCTTATCATCTTGCTGTTTACACAGTCTATTCTTATCTATTGGGTTTTTCACGATGCCAAAATATTACAGTCTCAAAAATAAGCAATCAAAGTTTCAAATCTCAAGTCCTGGCAGCTGGCTGAGACAAAATCATTATTCAGATTATGCTTATAAAAAGAAGTCACTATTTTAGATTACTGTAGATTACAGCTTATTTTACTAATTTTGGTAGAGCCCATGATTCCACATGATCTATCACTTATTTTGTTGTTGTGTTGTATATCTATTTCATCGACGGAGTCTCTTTGTACTCTGGTTTTCATGTCACCACATCATGATGACATATTGTTATAGTCTCCAACTTTTTTGTGGACAGTGTTCGTCGGTTGTTGGTGTTCCGGGTGGTGTCAGTAACAAATGGCGGTCAGCGTCTGTCATAACAAATGGCAAGTGGTGACATTTTACATGTTCATGTCTTGTTTCACTTTGTGCTCTCTCACTTATGTTTAATTTGTTGCAAAAAACCAGGGCTGTAAACATAAATTCTTGGTATCAGACTATCAGTCCTATTTTTTCCAAATTCCATTTTCTGGAAATACAGTGTTGAGCTCTGATATGAAATACTCCATTATTATTTTCAGTGCTCCTGTCTTAAAACCTCCTGTCTTAAAACCATGTCACTGCAGAGTATCCTAAAGAACATTTACTCATTTATTGAGGTGCTTCAAAGTTGTCGAAGTGATGCTGTCAAAGGCTGGGATGAACAAGCACTGAGCAATGCATTCAAGTGGGCAAAGTATTGTGAACAGGTATGCTGGGGCAGGGGCAGGGGGGTCTAGGGTCAGGGAGGTGGGGGTCTAGGGTCTTATTATGTGTCTTTGGAAACAATGGACTAAACTTTTAACTTTCAAAGCTATTCAGATACATGTATCTAATACGGGATCTGATATTTCAATGTGTTTTTATTACAGACTTAAATCATGCGTTTTACAGTAAACCTCTCAAACTTTCGCAATTTAGATATTGGTCACATATTTAAGTCCAAGAGAATGGTGAGAAAAGTTTCCAGAATGAGTTTGGTATCTCAGAGGTTAACATCCCATCTCACATTTCAGATTTCATCCCAAGCATTGGGGAAACATTATGAGGCAAGCCTTGATAACCAAATAAGGAAGATGCGACAAATCCCATTAGCTCTCGGGGAAGTGGAACCAAACTTGCAATTATGTAGTAATGCATGTCCAGTTCTCAGACAGGTACAAAGTATTTTAGTTGCATTATTTCAGTATCAATATGAACATGTACAATACAATTTTTGTGTTTTCTCAAATATCTCCTCATGTCTTATTCTTGCACATGGTGTATAATTTTCCCTATGTACCAGTTTTAAAATATTATGTAAAGAATTTTTATAATTTTAGCTGTCCTGATTTTCGTTTCCATGGTTTTTATTCTTTTCTACTTTTAGGCACTCCTCCAGAATCCATACCTTCCAGACTCTCTTTTTGCGACTATACTTACAACATACTATCCAGAATCACCAGACACCCTTGACTCGATCCTAGAGGAATGTTATACCATAAGTGCCCCTAAATCCGGACTCCAGTTGGCATTATGCGACAAAGAATCTATGACATCACACTCTGTTGCCATAGCAACCAATGATAAAACTGATATACCACAAGAGGCAATAGTTACCCAGGGTATTATTTTAGCGCAACATTTAAGTCGTGTTTGCAGGGAGTCTAGTAGAAGGGAGAGGACTGAAAAATATACCAGAGAGAAGTTAGATGAGATTTATGCTGCGCCAGAGGGTATGGTAAGTTTTCTAAAGCTCTAGACAAAAACTACTATGACCTTATTTGGGCAAGGGTGTGTTTTCCTTGCTAAATAAGGCCACATCTTATTGTTAAGATGAGAGTGTTTACTTGGAGGTTTCACAGACTTAGAAATGTCAAGGAATTTTGAAGTTTGGCCAAAATAACTTAAATGTCTGGAATTGTCTTGAAATTTTGTAGTTGGCTGGAAGTGCCTAAAGGGTGTGTGCATAATAGCATATCTAGGGATGAAAGGGTGCAAATCAACATTTTTACCCAGCTCCCCGAAAACATCCCAAATACTGTTTACTTCTAGATAATAATATTGGAAGCTTTGATTGCAAGTGATGATCCAGAGGAGGTATCAGCATCCCAGCATTCATCCAGTTCACGGCTTATTCTTAATTGGTTGTTACAGAAATGCGATCCAGGCATTGGTAACAAGTAAGTCATTTCATAGTTCAATCTTGTATTAACACCGAATTCTGTTACAAGTAAAATACCCAAGGATTAGAAGGATCCCAGAATGGCTATGTAGATGTAGATTTATTACAGAATTTTCACTTAAATTGCTTTGACAATTATCCAATCTACACAAATTATTATTTCAACTTTGTGTAGTTGCTCTTTTTCTATTAATTTCAAATTCTCTTAGGCCCTGATATTAAAGAGGTAAAATGCTTTGGTCTTAATGGTCTAAGATCTCTAATATGTAGAATGCAAAGACACTTTACTCTGTATGAACCGAAAAAAGACCTACATGTATCACACATTCATATTTGTGTCTCAGGGTGTGGCAATGTAATCCCAAGATGCTTAGTGAGGTTGCTAGGAGATACCATACATTCTACCAAGTCTATGTAGCTCACCTGGACCTATGGGGCAACAACATGGTGCCTGTATATGGGGGCCACTTCACTGATGGTTTCACATGGAGGTATGATATCTAGTCTAAAAGCATGTTATTAAAAAAAAGATAGATTGAAACATGCCAGTATGTATTAATAAATGAAGATGATTCTGTAAGGATTGCTATTTTGATCCCTCTGAATAAAATCCATATTCATTCCCTCTTATTCAATAAAATCTGTATGTTTTCATCTGTAATTTATCAAAAATTGACGCAAACTTGTTTTGGGAAATGATGGCAAAATATCTAAGAACCAAATTAAAACATGTGCCAAATTAAGCTGCAGTCATATTACAGTATTTATTGGATTGATCATTTTTCCAGGATAAAATCTTCACCAGATTCCAGCCACAATTTTGAAGGGTTCTTTACTCACATTGAACACATGGTGAAGTCTTCAGATAATGTAAAAGAACACTTTATAAAACACATAGAAGATGAAGCAAAACAGTCAGAAGTTAATGCATGGAGAACAGTTCAGAAATACAGGCAACGTGACAGTCTGATGTAAATGGTAGACATGGATTGTACCCTAAACAAATAAATGTCATTTAGCCTGGTCATGGGAAAACTTGTCTGATTACAAAAATTAAAATCGTGCTACAGAGCAAAAATGTGCCCACCATTAAGAGGAAAATGTGCTAAATTCAGATCCGACTTTTTGGTCTATATATGCAAGGAAAAATTGTTAAGACATAAGCCATGGCTCATCTGTGATAAGACCCCTTTTCCTGTGGCCTGGCTCAAATATTATACTGAATGTATGGAGCACAATCTTAGAATATAATGGCATTCATTAATTCCAACATAAATCGTTGTTAATCTCAGCATATATTTCTGGCTTTTGGCACAAACGTCAAACCCATCTCTGCTTTGTTCTACAAGTATAATATGTGATATGTGTGCAATGTTATCAGATGATCAGGAACAAAACTGTGAGAAATCAATTGTACTATATTAAGAATAAATTATATACAGGAAGGTAAGAAAAACCGAACTTGTTCGTTTCAATTAGAAACCAATTGTAGTTGGTGCTTACTCACTTCATTTGGAGTCTTATTTTTAAATTGCTCTAAATATTGCTGCGAAGACCTGACCCATCGAACTAAAACACCAGAGCCATGCCTGGGATTAGGATGTGAAGGTAATAGATCTTTCTTATAGACTATGCCATTTTTGGTGTACTGAAGAAATCAAGTTATGGTTGGTCAGATCATCGATGTCATTATCTTGGGGGTAACAATATTTCAAAACAAAGTACTTACAGTAAAACCTAACCCTACTATCACACCAAACTAGTTCTCACTACGTTCTCGAAAACGGGCTTAAACTTTGCACGAACGGATTTGACGTACTAAGAACCCACTAAGAACCGTTTGGGATCTGTTTACAAACTTCATGAAACTACTAGAACGAGTAGGTCCTCCAGCACTTAGAGCATGCTCAAAATATTCTGGTGATCGTCAAAACGTTGCCGAATCTGTTTTAAACTGTGTGCGAACTGAATGAACGTAGCTACAACGTTCTACAGTCTGTTTACGAACTTCATGGACTTTACCGGACGGGGTATGTAATTTAGAATTTTGAATCGATTCAAAATTTGATGGCGACCATACCGTTCTGTAATCAGGTCATGATGACCTTCTATACTAAGGGACGGTTTATACTACGTTGCACACCGACGTGGTGCGACCTGAACGAACTGCGAATGAGATGGACGTATTGAAGACTGTTTATGAACGAAGTAGCTAATTATTTTAGACACATTTCCCAACCACAGCCAGATTGAGCCCGTTTTACGACGTTTTCGTAGGACTGGCAAGAACGGGTAAGAACTAGTTTGGTGTGATAGGGGGGTTAGTGGAACACCTTTGGTACCTCTAAAAGTGTTCCACTTGGAAGTGTTCCTTTTGGGAAATGCTTCAATTTTAGAGGTTCGTTTAACATTGAGTCAGTTGGTCTTGGGACTCTAAAATGTTTTCCAGTTGGGAGTTGAGGTTCATTAAACATTAACTTAAGTCAGTTGGTCTTGGAACTCTGACCACTTCTTCAGACCCTGAAGTGTTCCACTAACAGAGGTGTTCCACTTTGCGTATTAACAGATCATTCATTTTCAAAAACTACAAAGAATTCAATGGTGAATGTATTTGCACTATATCAGTTTCTGAGTAAATAGTCAGGATTTGTGTAGTAAAACAGCCTATGATGGCATTTTGAATCTGTCCAATGTGTCCTGGTTTCTTTTGTGTAGCAAAGATGGCAATATTATGAGTTTGGAATAGTTCATACATATACAATTGCATTAACTTGCAAAATGTCACTAGCTGCCATTTGTTACAGATGCCAAACACCAACCGCTGTCCTCAAAAAAGTTGGAGACTAACAATATGTCACCACTTCTGGTTCTGGTGATGACATTACAAATAGAACCACTGAGTTGGTCTATAGTAAATATAACACCAAACAATTACTCTCACGACATAGAATGCACATTTATTTTTAAAATGCTAGCATGGGTACATAGTGCAGCGTAGGCATTAAACATAATAGTTTATGATACAATTAGCATAACATTTTAAAGAAATTGTGCGCACATTGATGAAAACTCAGTTACACATTCAAATGAAATTGACATCAAAATTACATTCATTATTATTTTCCATAAAAATCCAAGCTAGATATTCAAAGCAAATCATGCATCATACCACATACAAGCATGGCAGGGTGCACAGAAAATGCACACTACACCTACATTTTTCATTAAAAACTCTTGTCTCAAGTCGAACATGATTATTAAATATTAATTATCATTGTATGTTGTTTTAAAGATATAAATATAGTTTTTATGTACATTCTACTACTCAATGGTGAGTATGTGTGTATAATAATTACAGTATGTACAAAATGTTACCATGGTTACATTGTTGACAGAGTGACATGTGTGTATAAAATGTACAATTTTAATGTAACTTGGTAACCATGAAAAATGAGTGTTGCGTCACATTCATGTATCGAATGGTTCTATTAATAACCACTCCGATAAACTGAGGTAAGACTGATTATTCTTACTTTCAGAAAATACATGTATATCAATTCCTTGGGAAATTACGAAGTTATACCGAAAAATCTCATGAGAAAATCAAAATTATGAAAAATTTGAGACAATATAGCCCAATTTTTCTAAAATGAATACAAATCATTCCATGATTGGATTAAATTAAAGAATATCTTCAAAAGTAACTTTTATAGAAAAAACACGTTATCATAATTACAGTACCTACAAATACAATCTTCCGAAGGTGAAAGTATAATGAAGAATATAGAATGTGATGCTTCGTGTTCTTTGTCATTTATCTTTTAAAAAGAGGTAATAGGCATAAAAACATATTAAACATTGAAAACAAATGAGTCGTATGTTTTAAGCTGGAGTGGAATATACTATCAAGTGAAAAAAAACTTCAGAATCCATTATTTTAGGATGTTTCCAGAAATGTACCTTACATGTTGTAATTGTATTTCAGAATACATGTTTTTTGTTGTTGTAATTTTGGCTTGTTTCTAGATAAAGGCACAATGACCTCTGTCAAATTGAACACATTTATAGTTGATCACATCCAGAATCAATGGTATTGAGATACTCATACTTTATCCATGAATCAATGGTATTGCGCTACTCATACTGTATCCAAAACAATGTCCTGACTGTCTGACTGTATTATGGTTTCCCTAGTACACTCCTTCACTGGCATTTATGTGTATGCAATACATACAATAAGTCCCCATGTTCAATCCCTATATAACATGTATAATCCTAAATGGGCTTTATTCCATATATTCCATTATGTTAATTTCCTCAAGAAGCATCCAATATATCTGTACTAATGTATTGTATTTCCAGTAATTGTTATGTTGAACTTCGATGGGTTGTATGCATGTATGTTTGTGCTAGTAAGAAGCCACATGGTAGACTTCAGATCTGATTTGTGGTTACATTCGTTCAGCTAATTTCTGCTCCCAAGGGGTTTTCTAGAGTTCTGGAAATAAAGATTATTGACATGAGTAATCAGAATTTCATCATTAAAGAAAATATTGTAATTAAAATGATGCATAAAAAAATCAAATTATTCACTTAAGCTTACAATCATCACTATGCCTACATTGTAGGGTGTTCATTTGTACCATAATGAAAAGTTTTATATTATCAATGATATTTTTTAAAGTATTTTAGCCATTTTTAGGTGAAGAAGATGCTTGGTCTTAAAGTGTGCGCCAAAGTTTAAAACTGCGCAGGCGCACCGCTCTCGCTAAACTATATAAAGAGATTACCGGGTACACGATTCAGAGGTAAGCCAGGAAGGCGAACGATCTTCGTCTCGTGATGATTTCCCATATAATAGTAACCAGGGAAGTTTCACCATTGAAATTGAAAATTACTATTAGATATTTGTAGATTTGTAGATGTTATTTATGAAGCTATTTAGTGTTTGCATCAATCAAATGGCTCATTTTGAACATATAAAAAGTATTTGTGTTTTGTTTCCCAGGGAATTGTATTGTATGTAGTACACACATAAATAGTGTACATTATACAGTACTTGAATAGCCTGGTTTACATAATATTGAAGGGCATGCTGATTACATGCACACGAGTACATGAATGAAGGCCTAATATTGATATACGTAGCTTGCATACCTAAATAAAAAATAAACTCTTCTAATCCCCTAATGTAAACACGGCGGTATACGTAGCCCGATTTATCGGGGACTTTAACAGGAATTTGGGTTGCAAAATTTTCAGTTTACATATACTAATAATTGAAATGTTCGCAACTGGTCAAAATATTCACATTTTCTAAGATTTTCTAAAATTCTCAACTGTTTGCAAATATATTTTCAACCAGATGAAATATTGACATAGTTTTTTGCCTCACGTGACTCTCATACCAGGCCATGTGTGGCCAGGAGGATTCGAACTCCCTCCCTGGCCAAAACTTCAAAATCATTTCAAAATCATGCAGTTTTTCACCATTCTGAGCATTTGCAAGTGGTTTTGGCAGTTTTGGGCCAAAGTTTTCAAATATAAACCCATCCTGGAAATTTTTAAAAAAGCTCAGACTATGAGCCTCTCTACTTACATGGGCCTTGTCTCCTGTCTTCTGCCTCACTACTCTCATGCTTCTTCTCAAGGGGGAAAAACCAATGTCGAACTTGATTCCCTTTTTCTTATCCTGTATAATACATTGATGTACATATTAGTATGCAATACATTAGAAAACTTAAATTAGAAATGGCATGGCATGCTTCAAAATTGAAGATCCTGAAAAAATTACTTACATGTTCTATCATAACAGTGATCATCTACTTAAAACAGGGCTTAAAGATATCTATGGATTAGATAATCATTTTTAAATGGATTATCCAAAAATCCTAAAAAGCACCAAAAATCAAAGTTCAGGCATTAAAGAGAGGAAATTTTGATGCCATGTCTTGAAATCAACTCCAAAAATTTATAGCTAATAATTTCTGAAACAATACCTTAGTAATAAAATCATTGTCGGTTGATGGTTTTGCACGTTTATTAGGCGTAGCCTGTTTTCCTTGGCCTGTCCTGTGCCTCTTTCTACCAGAGCTCCCAGGTGTGTTGGCAGAGATAACTTGACGTATGGGAGTCAACACTCCATTAGGATTACGACGTGTCCTTGGCCCACTTGACTTCTGGGAAGCGTATTTAGGTAAGTAACGCACCCCTGGGGTTGAGGGACCAGACTGAAAGAAGTTTGATACAATAGAAAATTTTAGCCTCATCGATCCTCAATATTCTCATATGTAAATAGACATAGTAGGCCTATCACATCTATAATATACTCAGATTGTGCTGAGTGTGATCTATGCCTACTATCCTACTTACATTAATTCATGAAGTAAGGTATATTAATTCCATTAATATTTATAAAAATTGATGTTTGCATACATAGTGATAATTAGTGACACCTTTGACATGATAATATTATCCTAACCCAAGCCACTGATTATGCACATTTTGGTAATGTTAAAAAAGCACGGTCCATATTATTTGATCCAAGTCTTTAATATAAAAAAATATTAAAGATAGAATAAGGTTTGAAGTAATCCAACTTCAAACCACCAATAAATAAATTGCATTCACACCATTGCACATAACACACGAAAAGCATCTCATTTTATGACTGCTGAAATTGCCCAAAAACAGACAGTCAGAGCCACTAATGAAAAATATCAAGTACCTTATTCACAGTGGGTCTGTCTTCAGGAGAGGCCCTTGTGCTATGCCTGGTTTTAGTGGTGTTTAATTGGCTTTGGCTCTTACTGGTGAGAGCGTGTACATCAGAGGGCCGACCAGAACGTAGTTCATCCTCAGTCACTTTCTGCTTGTCTTTAATGTTCACCTGAATATAAAGGTTCATTTTGGAGTTAAAAAGCATAGAGATTTCCCATCACTGTAGCAACCCTGAATTAGTACATGATTTCTGAAGAGTTGTACAAATGAAAATAAATTATTATTTAAAACATGGTTTTGTTGAATTGGTATGAGGGACAGTTTCCAATTTTTGATGAATTTACCGAATATCAAATGGGCGCGAATCCATTTTTAACTATGAGCATTGTGTAGGGTAGGGGATATTGTTTACTCATAAAAAAACAAAACACCAACAACTGAATACCATCCACTAAAAAGTTGGAGATCATAACACTACGTCTCCTCTTGTAAAAATAGAGGCCAACTATAATATTTTCCTTTCTTCCCCTCCTTTCAGAGTTCCAATCTAACTTGAGCCAAATTAGTATACCTCTGTTGGATAAGCTGTCCTCTGGTGTGGGAGGCAGAGTGTGTTTCGCCTCTGGAGTTCACCCAGTCTACCAAATCCACTGTCATATGGTTCATCTTCAATGCCAAAGAATGAACCAGCTCCAACTGAAAAACATTCAAGTATTAATATAAATGCTATTGCATTATAAGCCACAGATACAATGTAATAATCAGGGTAAAGCTTATCCATAAATTATACCTTAAAGCAAAGTTCAAATAATTCATACATGTGTACTGGTATGTTGATTCATACTTTTAACCTAATTTATGTCCCATAAATTCCCCCTGGATGCATGCTCTTACCATCATTCTGAATGATCGCATATTTTAGTGCATGTACAATATATACATTTTACACGGAGAGTAAGATCATTATATACTTTAATAAATAATAGTTGGTGCAATATCAAAGAAGTCACAAGTATCGTACAAAGAAAACCATCATTAAAATCTATTGGTGTCTGCCTAATGAGAAACATTTACAAAGCATTAATATGCAAAATGTCACCACTTGCCATTTGTTACAGATGCTGAACACCGTCCTCAAAAAAATTGACTATAACAATATGTCACAACTCCTGGTGGTGACATAATAAGTAGAAAGATTTAGAACCCCTACCTGGAACTTGGTTGGTCGACAAGAAGCTAGCTCCGGTAGTGTTCATGCTGTAGTGAGCAGAGAGGTTGCCTCTGGCCATTGATGTGCCGCTGATACTGCTTAAGTCACTCACATTTAGGTCTTGCTTGCTCCAGTGAGATGGACAATGTGGCGTCTTGCATTCCCTGAAAATAGCAAATAGTTTTCATTAAAGATAGTGGCCGGGAAATCTTGACTGTTTTACAATTTAGTAAGTTACTTCCACAAGATTTGTTTTAGGACTAGACTAGACTAGACTAGACTAGACTAGACTAGACTAGACTAGACTAGGACTGGACTAGACTAGATATTATAGGTAAACTTACTTAGCTGAAGGACCAGGTGCTCTGAAAGTGTCATCCAACCTTGAGGCGGTTCTCTGATTGACAGGTGTCTCCAGGGACATGTCATTTAGGTTGGACATCAATGAGTCATTCAATGCTGAAAATGAAATGTATGGCTCATAAATATTGTAAACAGTTTATCATTGAGAGGCCCCAGTTAATTAAACAAAGGCTTGTTACTCTCCTCTTGCTTTCTTGAACCTGATATACCAACATTGAAGACAAATATTATCACATATCTCATTATCTACATTTATATACTTTTAACCTCTGTTCACATGCAATCCAGGGCTATCTAATTTGATAAGCAAGGCCAGTGAATATCATCTGATCTTCATGACAAATGACCCAAATTTGACCAAATCAAACAATTGCAATCTTGTCAGTGGTATAAAAACATATTTTTTGTGTTTGAACTAAATTGATATCCCATAAACATGTACACAATAAACAATTAAATAAACGAAAAGCAAAATAAATTCCTTACTTTGTTTTTTATTCCTTTCATTTTCTAGCTGCTTTTTCAACTGAGCAATTTGGTCCTTTGCTTGTGATATCTCAAGTTTCAGTGCATCTATGGTTCCCTCCATCTTCTCATTAGCTCCTGTTAGCTCACTAATGGTCTCTTTCTTCTTGTTGTAGTGCTCCTTGTATTGCCCTATAAGCTCTTTATTGTCTGCAAGCTGTTTCTCTCTCTCATTCATACGGTCCATTAACTCTCTACATTTCTCTTTAGCCTTAAATATTAACAGTATTTCCAGATATATGCCAGGATAATGCCAAAGTAAGATCTTTGAACTAATTTGATATGTCAAAATGAAATGAAAACTTTGAAGGTTTGAAACAATTGATCACTTTACATTTAGGAGGGAAATACAAAAGGATTATTAACATTTTCTGATTGCATTTTGGAGAATTAATGTTTGCCATTCAAGTTGTTGATGTATACAGGGAAACAAATAAATCAGTGTTTGTCTAAGTTCATTGCACAGGAAATACAACAAGAAGAGTGTATGTAACTAGGACAACTTATTCATGTTAAAAACAGAGATCACTCAATGCATAAGTGTCTAAGTATTGATCCAGACCTGATACCACCTTAGTGAAACAGTTTTTGGCTCACATAGAAAGCTGAAAGAATTGCCTTTTATGGCAGATCTACTCCACAAGTTTTCTCAGAAAGATACGAACAACATACCTTTTCGTATTTGCCCTGGTACAAAGTCAACTGCTGCGTGGCTTCCTGAAATAAGAAAACACTTGTTTTATGCCTAAAATTGTGCTGTATGTAAAAATTGTACAAAGTATTTATGTAACATACTTCAGATGTTTTTATCATCTATATTTGGACTTCAATTTTCATGTTGATATGACAGTTGATTTTCTTTAGTAAATATTGAAGTGAAATGCAAATGATCAACAATATGAGATGATCCCTCAGAAACGTCTCTGTTTGTGAAGATTTAAACTTATGACAGGGTGATTTATAATGGGTGTCACCGCAACTTTCCAAATCATTGTATTCAATTCGCATGCACAATGGTGGACCTCAATTTAGTCGTAACTTGCAGCATCTAATGAGACTCACTCATGTACAATTTTCCAACAGAGAAAGAGAGAACAATAAAAGTTATAATGGTGGTGTCTTACCTGTTTGCCGCCATTTTGTTTCTGCAACTCTGCAACCCTGTTCTGCAGAGTGTTAATGGCTTCTTGTTGTTTATTGTTGGCTTCATTTAGCTCGATGACTCTCTCCTTGTTGATGTTGTACCTATCTTTGTAGTGTCCAATCAGCTCCATTGTCTCTTTGATGTTCTTCTCCTTTTCTGAGAGCTTGGCAAGTAGTCCTTGGTATTTCTCTTCAGACTGAAAAAATAAAAATATTCAAAATAAAATATATTTTATTCCTTTTCTGAGAGCTTGGCAAGTAGTCCCTAGTATTTTTCTTCAGACTGAAAAAATAGAAATATTTAAAATAAAAAAGATTCTTCTCCTCTTCTGAGAGCTTTGCTAGTAGCCCTTGGTACTTCTCTTCAGACTGAAAAATGGAAATATTCACAATGAAAAGGATTAGAATGTATGATAATACAAGTGAATAAGACCTGCCACAAGAGTTCAAAGACAGCATGATTATAAAGTAGCTTCATGCATATTGGTAAATGAATTCAATGAAGTTGGGAATTAATTCAAACAAGACTACTCTGAAGCCATGACTTGGGCCCTAATGAACAATACACTCTACTATACCTGACCCCTAGAAATGCATAAGATACTCTGTTTGTCCAATTGTATTGTTTAGTATATTTTTGAAAGTACCTTATTAACATCTAACGTCATCCGATAAACCATTCATAAGGAACAACCACATAAAAACAAATAACACAATCATTACTAATAAGCCAAAAGGGTTGCTCATGAACACCAAATGCAAGGTATAGTAAAGCGAATAGTAGTTCAATGAAGGCCCTGAATCAAGCAGTGGTAATTTCACTTGATTTTTAATTCATTTTTTATGTCTTCTGTTTTTCATTTTCCATTTTTATCCATTTAAAACTTTAATTAACTGATCGAAACCACTATTAATTTCACTTGTTTGATAATTCATTCAGGTCTTTTGTTTCCATTTTCATCCATTAAAAACTTTAATTAACTGTTTGAAACCACTATTAAAATGCAATAATTATATCTAAGAAGTTGATGATCCAGAAATTGACCTCAAGTATCTCCATTTTCACTTTGTTTGAAAATTGTAATGAGAATGCACAAATAAAGTGTTATGTTGCAGATCACATATATACAGGGTGACCCTAAAAATACAAATATCAATTACATAACATGACCTGTATTTCAGAGAAATGTACGTATATTCATACCTTCATTACAATAGAGATAGGCTAGGTGAAATTATCTTAAACTCACTTTAATAGTTTCTTCAAGGATCTTCTGGTGTTCAGCCTCCATCTTCTCAAGCTGTTCATTATGTTTCTGATTTAAAGCAACAGTCTCATCCTGGTGACATTGTTGTAGAGCAGCAGCGGTGCCTTGGTAACGTTTCTGTAAAGTGTCACCTCTTTCAATAAGAGCCCTTTTCATCTGAAACACAATGTTCAATTATGACACCATGTTGCTCATAAAAATTGTTAAGAGCAGTGGTGAGATTTCCCAAAGATGAGCGTTGGTATTGGCATGCTCGATAACCAATTTTATACCAATGAAATTGACCTTAATGTTTTCGCTGTTGTTTTATGAGTAGTTTCTACAAAATTTCAAATTTTACTTTGTGCATGCGAGGCTCTGAGAGAACACTTGCTCATGATTGTTCATGTGATCATATCCTGCAATTTGATTGGACATCATATACTGATGGATGTGATTTAAATAAATGTTCATGAATACGTAAGAATTATGGGGGCTACTCATAAGAATTGTTTTCTGTAATTTCTAGTTATAATATCCCTGATAATGATGTCTTCCTCTCCATATATTGAAATTACTAGATTTGAAAAAAGAAATAAAAATAATGCATTTAATAAGCATTTACTTACTGTGCTTTCAAATTCAATTTGCTGTTCCTGTAGCGCTGCCTTGACTGATTTGTCAATTTCATTGTCCAACTCCATACGTGTATACATGCCTTCTCTTGTCACCTTCAGCTCCTCTCCAAGACGGTCCAACTGTTCACTCATCTACGACAGGAAAATATCAAAGCATTAAATATCTATAGAAGTTCCAGTGGGAACAACACTAGTCTCCTCTTATAAGGACCTGGCCCAAGATATTAGTTAAACTTATTCCATGAAACCCCTGACCCCCTCTTCCAGTCTTGTTGAGGAGTCTAGAGTTGGCTTTGGGGAGGGGGAGGTGGTTTAGTTATTACGAAACACCATGCATAATATATTTTGTTTTGTCCAGTTATTGTCAAGTGAAATTTTGTATTTGCCCATTGCTCATCAATTCTTGGAGATTAACATGACATTCATGATGTGCAGGATACTAGAAAACTGAAATTAATTGAAACTTTATGTAACTCACCTTTACTTGGATTTGGTTATATTCCTCCTGCGATTTAGCCAACATGTCCTCCTTCGTGGCTAATAGCTGGTTAGTTTGGTTAAGAGAGTTCATTGCAGCCTCTACTTTTCCTTCCAATTCAGCAACAGTGTTTGCATGAGCAGCCATTAATTTGGCATGATTATCAATATTAAGGTTTTCAATTTCGGCAACAGTTTTTTCATGATTAACCGAGTTGGCTGTTAGGTCTTTTTGAAGGGAGGATATTAGAGATTCCTTTTCTTGTAATTGAGTCTGGAGACATCTCAGCTCTGTTTGAACTGAATTCGTATTTACATCCTTCCCTTGTAAGGAAGCTTGTAACAATTTAATCTCAACTTGGAAAGAGCTTATCGACAGCTCGTTTTCTTGCGATATAGTCTGCAGTTCAGATTTGAGGTTATTTATGTTTGCTTCCTTTTCTTGCGACGATGCTTTCAATGATTTTATCTCTGTTTGAAGTGAATCAACAGTGTTCTCATTTTCTTGGGAAAGTGTTTTCAATTGTGTATGAAGAGCCTGAATATTGTTCTCCTTTTCTTGAGATAGTTCCTTTAATTCAGTTTCCAGTGATTCTATAATGCTACCCTTTTCTTCAGTCTCAGATTTCAATTCAGACTGTACAGAAACTAATGTCTCATCCTTTTCACTCAATTCACTTTCTAAAGATTTCATCTCAGCTTGTAGGGAGGTTATCTTCTTTTCCTTTTCCTGTGAAAGACTCTGGAACTGCAGCATCGCGGTTTTCAGGTTATTTATTGATTTATTGCTCGCTTTCTCCATTTTCCTCATCTCCTCTTGCAGTTCTGTGACTTGATTCATGCTCTGTGTCTGTGAGGATGCCAGCTCTGCGTGGAGAGAGCTCATTTTCAGCTCATTCTCTTGTGACAGTGTCTGGATCTTTGTCTGGAGGCTGTTTGTGGTTGCTTCATTTTCTTGCAACGATGTTAACAATGATTTTATTTTGGCTTGAAGGGAATTTATCGTTACATCTTTATCGTGTAACACTGTCTGTAGTTCAGTTTGAAGAGACGATGTGTTTTCCTGCATCAAAACCTGCAAAGTTTTCACCTCCGTTTGTAGAGCCGTTATTGTTAAGTCCTTCTCCTGCGACAATGCTTTTAATTCTGAATTAGTTGACTGGAACATCATGTTTTTTTCCTGCGACTCAGTCTGTAAAGATTTTAAATCTGCTTGTAAGGAAGATATTTTGTTTTCATTGTCCTCTGAAGCACTCTTCAACTGAACGATGACATTGTTTAAATCATTTATGGATTTACTACTTGTGTCCTCTAAGTTCAATAGTTCTGTTTGTTTTTGCTCAATTTCAGCTTGGAACGACTTTATATCTGATTGAAGGCATTCAATTGTATTTTCCTTTTCTTCAGTCACAGATTTCAACTGTGTCTTCAGGGATTCAATTGTGTTTTCATTTGCTTCAATGACAGTTTTCAACTCTGTTTTAAGGGAACAAACAGTATTCTCATTTTCTTCAGTCACAGTTTTCAATTTCAGTTGAAGGGAGTCAACTGCATTATCCTTTTCTTGTATCGCAGCTTTCAAATTCGACTGAAGGGAATCAATTGTATTTTCTTTGTCTTGCATCACGGATTTCAACTCTGACTGGAGGGAGCCCATTGCCATTTCCTTTTCTTGCGTTACTGATTTCAACTCTGTCTGTAGTGAGTGAATAACATTTTGCTTTTCTTGTGTTACGGATTTCAATTCTGATTGAAGGGAATTAATTATGTTTTCCTTTTCCAATGTTACAGCTTTCAACTCTGTCTGGAGAGAACGAACTGCAGTTTCCATTTCTTGTGTCAGGGATGTCAGCTCACACTGCAAAGACTGGATCTTGCTCTCTTTTTCTTGTGTTACAGATTTCAAATCAGATTGAAGCGAATTGATTATGTTTTCCTTTTCTTGTGTTACAGATGTCAATTCAGACTGTAGAGAATGGATTGCAGTTTCCTTTTCTCGTGTTACAGATTTCAATTCAGATTGAAAAGAATAGATTGTGTTTTTCTTTTCTTGTGTTACAAATTTCAATTCAGACTTCAGAGAGTGGATTGTGTTTTCATTATCTTGTGTTATAGATTTCAAATCAGATTGTAGAGCATGGATTGAGTTTTCCTTTTCTTGTGTTACAGATTTCAATTCAGACTGAAGAGTGCAGATTAAGTTTTCCTTTTCTTGCGTTACAGATTTCAATTCAGATTGTAAAGAGTTGACTGCATTTTCCCTTTCTTGTGTTACAGACATCAATTCAGACTGAAGCGAGTGGATTGTGTTTTCTTTTTCTTGTATTACAGATGTTATTTCTAACTGAAGAGCCTGGATTGTGTTTTCTTTCTCTTGCCTCACATATTTCAACTCAGACTGCAAAGAGTTGATTACATTCTCCTTTTCCTCTCTCAAAGCTTTCAAGTCAGACTGAACAGACACCAGGGCTTTGTTTTTCTCCTGTGATTCATTCTGAACAAACTTCATTTCCGCCTCTAAGAAATGGATTTTCTTTTCCTGCTCTTGGGAGAAACTCTTGGATTGGAATACTGAGGTCTTCATGTCATTGATGGTCTTCTCGCTAGTTTCCTGCAAGTTTCTTAGATCATCTTGAAGTTGTGTGATATTGTTCTTACTCTCATTAAGCTCAGCTTCCATCTGTTGAGCTATCTTATCTTGTTGGCAAAGTGTGGTTTGGTATTCATTAATCTTCTCCTGAAAACATAAGTTATGATCACATTTAACACTAGGTAATCTCCTTCTTGATATATACTCCTATATATAATAGACATTTCAATGAAACTCTGCCACATTTTACGCACAAAAGAAGCTAGAATATATTGATCAGATGCCAGCAATTTTTATGAACAATATTTTTCCAACATTTTTAGGAAAACCTTAACATCAAGGCCTGGCGAAGATGCAAACTATGGGATAGAACAATTTTACCCAAGGCATTAACATGCAAAATGTCACTACCTGCCATTTGTTACCACTGAACGCAGTCACAAAAAGGTTGGAGACTATGTCATTACTTCTGATGATGACCTGAAAATTGACATCTTTAGAGGCAGAGAGAGCCCATTTGACTGCAAACAAGCTTATTGGAAGTTGTAAGAATTTGTTATTTGTTGCTGAACCTAAATTGTTATAGAGGTCGAACCTAAACATCGACCACCAAACACCATCAAGTAAATACTATAGTACTAACAATATTTCACTTCAGACAGGGCCCATTTGACTGCAAACAAGCTTACCAAATGTTCTAGTCTGACTTGACGTAGAGTCTCAAGGTCTGCATTAAGGGCATCCTTCATGGTTGGATTGAGCCAGGAGTTCTTCACTTCATAGAGCTCCATCTCTAGTTCAGCCACTTGTTTACGTGTAACTTTAGACATGCACTCGCCACCATTGCTGCTCACACCAGAGTTACCTGGCAATAAATAAAATATCATATTATTGTCATGCTTGCAATTGCATTGATTGGTCAAAAGTGGGTCACATATCAGCAGAGATCATGTAATATGCACTGGACATTATTTTAAAATAAGACAATTGGTTACTGACTAAAAATCGGGATTGTTGGGAAAAAATTGGAGTGAAAATCTGAATTTCTATAAAAATGAGGTTTCTAAAAATTGAGGAGAAAAATCGGGGTTGCAAAAAAATAATTTGATAAATCGGGAGTTTCTAATAAAATCGGAGTGCCTTCTTGAAAAATCGGGAGGTTTTGATGAAAAATAAGGGGATTATGTGAAAAATAGAGATTTTTGAAAATTGGAGTGAAGCACTAAGAAATCAGTATTTCTCACGATTTAAACAAGGACTTGACAGGTGAGAGAATGTACCTTGTTGTTGGGCATACAGCTCCTCAAGCTCTTCAATCCTTTCTTTACACCTCTGTTTTGTTCTTTCAATCTCACTGAGTGCAACATCCCTCTCTCCAGTAACCTTTTCCAATTCAGTGGCATGTTGTTCCTTTATCAGCTCTGTTGCAACAAGCTGGAATGAATACTTTATATCTTATTTTTTACTTCATATAAAACTGTACATGTTTTGTCAACATTGACGCCCTCTATTTTTGTAATGAGGTCGTCCTTTGCCAGTATTCACACTCCATTTTATTTATATCCATTAAATCAAAATACTAATTCACTACTGAGCTTCTAATAAACCCTATCGTTTTTAACTGGATATATCCAAGAAAGTTCCAGGGCACTCTTAACGATTCATGACTTCCTTTGTCAATTGTTTAAAATATTTTTTCCTCAGAAGCAAACCTCACTCACCTCATGCTGTAGCCTGACACATTTGCTACTGTACTCCTCCAGTTCAGCATTGAGACTCTGAGTAACTCTTAGCTTTTCCATCAACTGATCTTTCTCTGCGTACACATTTGAATTTTCCAGTTCAAGCTCAGCACAGCGTTCTTTGTATTCCTTAAACTGCTGCATTTTACCTTTCAAACTGAAATGTATGCCAAAATATATAAGCTAAGGTGTGAAGTTGCGTCAAAATATAATTTAATAAACCAATGTTCACAATAAATTTGATATTTAGCCCCTCTCCCCAAAATTATTAAACACATAACTGAAACATGCAAAATGATGTAGCTTCAAAATGTAATTTAGGAAAGAAATATTCATCGACATAATGAAATTAACTTTTAGCCCCCAAACTATTAAAATATTATCAAACTTATTACTCCAAAGCATGTCAAAATATATTTAGGTTAAGTCTGATATTGCGTCAAAATGCAATTTAAGAAAGCAATTTTCTTTCAAGCAAATTAGACCCTCCCTCAAACGATTAAACTAACATCAAACTCATAACTGAAACATGCAAAATATATTTAGGTTAAGTCTGATGTAGCTTCAAAATGTAGTTTAGGATTTGAAATGTTCATCGACATAATGAAATGAACTTTTAGCCCCTCTCCCAAACTATTAAAATATTATCAAACTACCGGTAATAATATACAAAGCATATCAAAATATATTTAGGTTAAGTCTGATGTAGCTGCAAAATGTAATTTAAACTACTATCACACTCATAATTAATCAAACTGAATACTCATGTACCTTTGTAGCTCTGTCTCAGAATTAAGCTTGTCTTGTTTTAGTGATGAGCACTCTTCTCTCAGGCATTCGTTGTTTCCTAATCTCAATTGAAGCTCAGTCAGCTGACGAGCTGCAAAGAAACCATGTGATGTTTGTTAAAATAATAGAGTAATGATGTGCAATCAAAGTGTTCCCCTTGAATATATGGTTTCTATTTTTACAAAAATAATTCTTATATGTGAATTCATTTTTCAGTTAATGGGTACATATGATGTCAAGCCCCCACAATGGTGAGTGAGGAAATCCAAATTGATGGCATTTTCATATAACTGAAAATCTGTATGTACATATATATAAAAAAAACACCTCTCTAGTCTGAACACTTTTTGGTCCTATTTTCTAAGCGTTTATAGCTTCCATGTGAAAAGACATGAAATATGAACACCTGCTTGAGATATGAACACATGCTTGAGATATGAACACCTGCTTGAGATATGAACAACTGCTCCATACAATTTTGAATGGTTCAAATGGCATTCATGTTTAACTTGTACTAGCATATTTAGAGAACATTCCACAATTACCTTTTCTCTCAACAGCCTCTGTCTTGTCCTTCAGCTCTTTGGCCTTGGCAGCGAGATCTTCCTCAAGGTCTTCATTAAGGTGGACCTGCCCTTGTAGTTCTACTTCAAGCTTCTTGATCATGTCAGATTTTTCTTGAAGATGTTGGTCTTTTTGCCTTAGCAACATCTGAATAATTAAGGATGAATATCAGAGATGCTGTTCAAATATCAATGTAATTTCAAGAACTCAAGTAATCTAGTTCATTTGTGGGGGTTCTAATCTAAAAAAGTTTATAGAAAACCTTCAATCTCACAGTAATAAAAGAGCACATGTATTAATCAAATGTATATTTTATATTGCATTTAATTTAATCAAACTCTAAAATGAAAATCGATTCTATATTTTATTTATTTTTATTTATTTATTTTGACATACGCTTTTTTAACAGCGGCACACTATTATTAGGTGCGTCAGTATTTGTAATCTACATATATATTTTATAAGCACTAAAAATGTTTACATAAAATACTACAGTATCTCTTTAGGGAAATTTTTTCTGTCTAGTTATCTGACCCAAATTAGACACTTGGAGGTAAAACTGGACATCCTTCTGATAACAAGAAAATTCTGTTTTACAGACCACATACATTTTTGTACTTATCTAAAGCATTCAATATGATTGTATTCTATGTCTACAAGCATGAATAAGCAAACTATGAACCTATTAAAGACATTTAATAGATAATCTACAAGTACAAACCTCAAGCTGTCTTCTTTCTCTAGAAGCCACCTGAAGGTAAAAAGCAAATTAACTAATGAGGTGTCACATCACTAAATCAGTGTCTCGTGATTTATTGGTGTGATACCTTACAGGGAAAAAGGAGTCTATGAGGTGTCACATCACTAAATTGGTGTCTCATGATTTGTTGGTGTGATACCTTGCAGGGAAAGGGGAGTCTATCTAGATATACTACTACTACATAAATCTATCTTTAAAATAAAGCATCCAAAAGAGGAAGGGATTTTGAAGCACTCAGTTTCAAGAAGTGGCACAGTTTACAATCTACATCAGTCATGCATGTCTACAACTACAGTAAGACCTGTCTAACCCAAATACAACTGGGGCAGACTAAAAGCACCCTATGCAGACAGAGCCTGTGGGAAATATTGGGTGCGGAGCAAATGAGCGGAGGGTGCGGAGCTAACGGTTATTTTTGAATTTAAATTTGGGATATTTCTGAAACTAAGCCGTTTTGGGACTTCAAATATACCAAGATATGTGTATTTGACACCAAATATCAATACAATTGTGAAAATAGTAGCGCAATTCATTCTATAGCGACGCAGTGTGCCTTAAACCTTTCCCAGACCTATATATTTTGAAATTATCGTTTTAATACTGAGTCCCCAGCATTCATAAAAAATGGTGTTCAAGGTGCACTATCTATACAAATTAATTTTGCATCTTGGAAGCCAGGCAGTATCTGTGTGATTTTATAAAAATTCGGAATTTTTTTCAGATATGAGCCCCCTCTAAATATTGGGTGCGGAGCAGCTCCATAAACGTAGCTCCGCACCCAATATTTAGAGGGGGCTCATATCTGAAGAACATTTCCGAATTTTTATAAAATCACACAGATACTGCCTGGCTTCCAAGATGCAAAAATAATTTGCATGGGTAGTGTATCTTGAACACCATTTTTTATGAATGCTGGGGACGCAGTATTAAAAGGATAGTCTCAAAATATATAGGTCTGGGAAATGTTTAAGGCATACTGCGTCGCTATAAAATGAATTGCAATACTATTTTCACAATTTTATTGATATTTGGTGTCAAATACACATATCTTGGTATATTTGAAGTCCCAAAACGGCTTAGTTTCAGAAATATCCCAATTTTAAATTCAAAAATGACCGTTAGCTCCGCACCCTCCGCTCATTTGCGCCGCACCCAATATTTCCCACAGGCTCTGTCTGCATAGGGTGAAAAGTGTGAATTCTAAATTTTAGGAACACGAGGAGGTAGTTCTGAAAGTCTATTTTCGAAGGTAAAATTAAAATACGGGTGGAAATAAGCAGGGTCATGAGAACGATTAGACTGCACAGGTGTAGCAGGATTCTCACTAGATGTTACTATTTTTTCATTTTTCTTTTTCTTTATTAAAAAATCTGAGATAAAAATCTATCAAATAAAGAAAAGACTCATCCTTATACAAGTAATGAGAATCTGTCCACAGTATACACCTAAATTTACGAGTATGTTACCTTGGCCTGCATTTGTGGGGACTCTAGCATCATCTTAACAGGAGACATACCAGGAGTCATTGGGGAATAACTGAACACTCGTGGCGTACACCGACCATCTTTCTGTTGGAACCCTTTTGCTTGAGCTATTGGGGTAACTCTTCCATCTGATTCTAAAGAGTGAAACAGTATAGTAATTAGAAATATGAGTCGTATAGTTAGATGTCAAAATAGGAGTGTTTTGAAAACTGGTTATGTTCCTCATTGAAGAATAAAACAAGCCTAGAAGCAATTACTGCAGCTAAAATTGTTAAGCACATTGCACACATCTAAGTATTAGCACTCAGTTAATGATAACTCTTGTTTAGTGTAAAATATTGTAGACATCAATGATGATAACTTTATACCTCTTGTTGTTATATAGACTGCCTTTACCTTGTGATCAAATTACCCCTTGTTGAAAAGAAAAATATATGGCTTACATTCAACATTCTGATATGAAACCACAAAATCAAAAAATTCAATATTCTCATATTCAAAAATAATTCTCATTCTAAAATATAGACTGTTCAGTGGCACATACAGTAAAACATGTAGTGGTACATGTTTTACTCTAGGAGTTGTTCCACTTATGGAGGTTCATATTACATTAAATCAGTTGGTCTTGAGACTCATAAAAGTGTTTCACTAACAGAGGTGTTCCACTCCTAGAGATGTCCCACTTTACAGGTTTCACTATACTCACCTAAAGTTATTCAACTAATATCTTACAAGTAAAAGTACCATTGCATATACAGTAAAACATGTAGTGGTACTTGGTACTCTGGGAGGTGTTCCACTTATGGAGGTTCATATTACATTAAGTAAATTTGGTCTTGACTCTTAAAAGTGTTCCACTCCTAGAGGTGTCCCACTTTACAGGTTTCACTATACTCACCTAATTTTGCAGCCAAGACACTATCAAACCCATGTGGCAACTCAGAATTCTTCGAGTCCAGAACGACAGACTCAATGATCTGCTTTATTTCCAACTGATCCTTAACATCAAGGCTGAGTGCTGCCTTCACAAATGTTTGACGCCTGCCACTTTTCTCATCACATTGGAATGAGGCCACTAGTAGCAATAGGATAACCTAGAGTAAGACAAGGAATAAGATTTAAATATTGACTTGATTCCCTGACATTTAAGCAACTGGACCAGCAGCATGTATCCATATAGTAATTGATAATTGACTTGAATCCAGTTGAAATCATGCAAAATTTTGAAGATTTCTTGGTAGCCTTATTAAGTGATATGGATAGCTGCAATGCGTGTTACAATGTAGAATGGTTAAAAATATTCAAAAACAAGATCTGATGTCATTAAGTCAAAAAATTAATATGGTTTTTCCTTAGTTGAGTCAAACAAGGGTTATAAAATAAAATACTTGTATATCCTTACAGGTAAGGTTCAACCTACCTTAGCTATGTCCAAGTCACTGCCTACAGAGCTTGATGTGATGATGTTGCTAAAATCAATTTTGCTTTGTACATCCTTCACACTAAAGAAACCTGCAAAGACATTTCTTGGTTCCATTTAATTGTTAACCAAAAAGGCCCACTATTTGGGGCCTTCATAGGGCCTTTTTGGCACAAAATTTTTTTTGGCCCAATTTTATTTTCTGGGTCCACCCAAGGGGGGTGGGCGCATGCCCCCATCCTGGATCCGCCACTGCACATAGACTAAATAAACATATAAAATAAAGACCGGTGTATGAATTCTAACAATTTAAAGTGATGATGGCCCAAATAAAGGTAACAGTGAGGAATCTTTGCTATCAAAACCCAAAACCAGAATGCTACATATTGTGAGGATTATAGGATCCACATTGAGCGCGTTATTTCACCAAGTTCCATAATTAAGAAATATAGACCGAAGAGCAAGGCTACTAGTTTCAAATACACCCCGCAGGGTCTAGGCACAAACATTGTTTGTACCCCGAACGACCGAAGGGAGTTAGGCTAGACCTAAGGGGTGTATTCGAAACTAGTAGCCCTGCTCTGAGGTCTATATTACGATTCGAACATGAAAACTCACCAGAATATTGCACAATCTTCAATTTCGATGTTCATTTCCACTTTTTCATTTCTACTTCCGGTTGAGCGTTTGGCTGTTCCAATTTATTTACTTACCTCCTGACCCCGACTTAAGTTTTTTATTGACATTTCGGCCTATTTTATTGGTTTCACGCATATCTACTACATGTACATTGATAATTATTGAAATTATTGAGATTACAGTTTACAAATGCTCTGACAGAAAATTTTGGCTCCGGACAATTTCTCCCTGCCATTTTGAATTTTGCAGACAAGAGGGGGATGCGAAAAGAACAGAACGGCCTAAACTGACCAATTAGTGCACTGAACGAAACACTTGGTACAGAGCCGGGTTATTGATCTCGAATATAACCCAGCTGAATCATTGACTTTGTTCATAGTTTATTTTTTTATTGATAATTGACCAATGAGTATACAGTGCCTCTTTCAAACTTCATAATATAAGGCTATCAGAATATAAATAGGATAAAAAAATTATTTACCTTCAAAGAATCTGCTGACATGTTTACAGCGAAGATATGGTGACTGTGGTTTCTCTGTCTTGTATGTATCATCACTGAAAATATAGAATAATTTGAAGTTGTTACACATTTAAGTATTTAATACTGGACCCAATGAACCAAGTGTAAGATGATATTTCTGAGGATTACTCATTTGAATCAAATATGTCTATATCTATATAATACATTGTCTGGACATGTATGTTGATTAAAGTTTTTTGAGCATCTTTTGATTCTTTATAAAGTCATCTATGGAATGTAATTATTGTTGTCTTGGGCTTTGGATTTCAACTCAACAAACAACTAGTAAGGGAGTCCCCTATTTAATTCGTCCTATGTGAAGCACTGTATTTATCTATATGCACTAGTATATGAATATCATTGAGTACCTAACATGTCTTAGTTTAAATAAAATATCACAAATTCACAATTCAAAAATGTGTTAAATCCGCACCGTACACGCAAAAATTTGCATGGTTTGTTTTTTGTATAGCATCATCTGCATAGGGTGCACAAAGCATATGAAACTCCAAGTTGATGGTTCTCATACTATCAGATTCATACTCACATGAGAAGGACAATGTCGAAGAGGAGAGAGACATCACTCAGTTCTGCTAAAGAATTCACGTTAGATCCAGGAACCACTGCCCGTAACCAGCTCAGCAATGCATGACACTTACCAGGATCCATGGCTCACAATTCCTTAAAATAAATAAAAAAGGAATAAATATTATTAAGTATATATTCAAGTGATATTAAATCTGATTATGATTCCAATACTTGTACATGTACATGTAATGTTTATTCATTTTCCTTTCTATCAAAGATAAGATAGCACAAGACAGATAGGAATATTGAGCTTTTTCAGTTTTGAAGGCTTTTATAGAGATATTTGGCACAAATCAAGACTGAATTTCTGATCTACCAATCAAGTAGGCTGGAAGTGTCAAGATATGAAGGAAACATGTTGAACATAGTGCCAATGGGTGGAGAGGGGAGGGGCTGTATTTGACATACCTTTTAAAGTGGGAGTCCAGCTACTTTTGAATGTGTCAAAAATCTGCATTCTATTATGTTCATAAAGGTACTTGACTGAATGATCACAACTATAAAGTTTGGTGAGGCTATACCTTGCATTAAGTGTTCATGAGCAACCCATTTGGCTTAATAGTAATGATTATGTTATTTGTTTTTATTTGTCTGTTCCTTATGAATGGTTTATCTGAAGACTGTTAGATGTTAATAAGGTACAGTACTTGCAAAAATATACCAAACAATACAATCAAATAGACAAACATAGTATCTTATGCATTTCTAGGGGCTAGGTATAGTAAAGAGATTATATAAGAAGTTCAATTACATTATACAGGGTAGGTTGAATAGAAATTCCAAAATCAGAATTTCATGTTATAATCCAAAACTTTGAAATTGGCAATGATTTGGATTGGGCCAGTATTCCAGTAAAGGCTCATGGCAAAATGAAGATTATATGGTTGAGCTCTGTTAGCAGAGTCAGTCAAAATGAATGTGAACTTCTAATGGCTAGAGTTATGTAAACCAAGTCTACAACTGTTGAGCAGTTATGGTTGAGGTAAGAGATTTTTCAAGACAGGTGGCTTATTAAGGTAAATATTCTTGAACCAGGCAGCCAATCATGATAAACAAATTCAATGACCAATCAGATAACAGGGGATTTCCCGGTATATTCAAACTTCAAACTGAATTAATATATTAAAAAATAATAAGATCGATCAGTGCAATCACAAAATTAACACTTAAAGTGGGGGATTTGGGATTCTTTGTTGGTAAGTAGATAGGTGAATATGTGGTGAAACTCAATATGCAAAAAGGTCCACAGGGGTCTTGATTGTGCTATCCTCTCTCTTTAAGTTAATGAGAGGACAATTTCACTGGCTAGACCACAACGCCCTACTCCTAATGATGATGATGAGGTTATAATATGTAATTTATAATATAATAACCTGATTTTTACCAATGATGATATACATGTATATGTATGACATATATACATAAATATACGTAAATATTCAATAAAACAGTTGATTAGTTATAGATCAAACCCATATATTAAATTACTTTTCTGTTGAAATATCGTGGTTCAAAATAAGCTGAATTAAGTGGTTATAAGGTAAATTTCAGCATTGTGTCAACAAGTACTGACAATGTTTTTCAACCGCAAGATTTCAATATAAAAGTAGCCGATTGTCAAAAGTCGTCGAGGTGATTATCCATGAAGAAGCTATGCTCATTCAAGGTCCTTTGGGATTGATGCTGTCTAACACGAGCTTATCACGAGAGTGATTCAGACCTTTAAAGCTTTCTGTGGCTAATGAAAATCATAAGGCCTACACACAAGGTGACATTTGTTCATGTCTGTTGATTTTTGAAAAAATTCAAAAATGAAAACAAACACTGAAACCGAATCAATCAATTCTGGAAACTTTAACGATCAAATGGTAAAAAACTACGTATTAAAATAATATCCAACGTTAAAGGAAAATATAAACAGGGGAATTAATACTTACATGCACGGTAAACAATGTGATAAATCCGTTTATCTTGAGCCAAAATACCTGCAACTTTTTAAAATGTAGCGGTTGCCTCGTTTTGAAAATTGGAAATTAGGTCAAACCTGCATGATACCCCTTATTGTAACTGTTGAATTCTGTTTTATTAGGGTAAATTATTCATCAAAATTATAAATACGAACTAAACTTTTGTTTATTTGTTAATCAAATATAATTTGAGAATTTAACTGATTATCAAAATAAAAGTGGAATAGAAATTCCAGCATCCGGGCATTTCCCGTTGTCGAAATAAACAAAGATGGCTGCAAAGTGACGATTTTTAGTACACAAATTTTTTGTTTTTATCCATTACAGTGAACACAGGTAGGAATCTTATATATGTATACAATACTGTACTTGGATTTTTGAATATTCAGCTTCGCACGAACATGCACATGACAAATTCTGGTCTAGCAAAGGGGAAGTTTTATTGGATTATAGTTCTGACACTAGAGATTTTCTGAAATTTCAAATCTAGGCCTATAGCTAACATAGGCTTAGGCGTAGATCATCTAGTCTTGGCCTAGGCATACTCTTATATTCTGTAGCCTATTACTTTTAATATAGAGAATATTAGAAAGGGAGGGGGTGCCTTACTCCCCGTGGGCCTAGGGGTAAAATGTCAGATACAGACTTCCCTAAAAAGCATTTAGACCTCTAAGAATGAATAAGATAAATGGTCAAAGAGTAAATTTTGAAAAAGTGGACTCCTCATCTAGCTTTTTCAATCTCAGATGCGAGTAGGTCATTACCAGTTTCACCACCAGATGAATCATTCAGGTCAGATAGCATGGCGGGTATATTAGAAAGTTCCGTTTAACATGAATATTCATCAGTTTTAAACCGTGGGCTTTCAAGAGAAAAATCATAGGGATGCTTTTAACCATTGCTTCCAACATTTTACACTCCTCCATCCTTTGCTGCCTTTGATGAATGAGCAGATGACAAGAGCTTTAATGACTTTAATGAAGGTCTTTCAAGTTTTAAATATTTCAATTCTATCTAAATACTAAACTGATCACTAACATCTGGATCTTGTGTTTGTATCCTTCAGAATTAATTCACCATGACGAGTCCAAGAGAAAAGACGAAGCCAGGGATTGATTGTGTTGCAAAAATTGATACACCAGTTGACTTCTCATTTCTTGAACTAACAACAGTCTCAGGTAAGCAGATGTACATGATGTAGTAAGAAAACATTGAAATGGTGTTGAATAGCCTCTTTTCTACAGAATCTATTATGATATAAAAAGTTTAGGTCAATCTTACTCTTTTGTTTAGAAATATTTTTTATTTATTTTACCTTTAGATGTTGAATTGAGTATACTCTTGGAGTATCCTCTCAAACACTAAGCCTATGTTCATTGATTTGAGTTGTTATTTGATTTTTATTTTATATGGTGATTTGAAGATTGAGTTACACAGATGAATGAAAATGGATGAATATTGGGTATGGCAAAACTGAACAGAACATTTTAATTAGCTCAGAAATGTACCAATTAACATTTACTTCCAGAGGCTTTAGATGAAGAACCAAGAGAAGTTTCTCCAAGAAAAGGCAGACCAAAAAGAACAAAAAATGACAAATATGACACTAAATGTTTAAAACTAAACAATAATTTACTGCAAGATCTTGGGGGTCTAACAGATCAAGTTGAAAAACTAGTAGAAGATCCATCTGAAATATCCTGGATTGATTTATCCTTCAATGAACTCACAACAATTGATCAGGTAAGATATCATCTTATAGAATAGTGAGTATTACTGTATAAAGAAATCAAAGTGGTGACATATTATAATAGTCTCCAACTTTTTTTTGTTGATGGCATTCAGCGTCTGTAACATGTCATTTGTAACAAATTACAGCTTCTGTAATCTGTAACAAATGGCAGGTGGTGACATTTTGCATGTTAATGCCTTGTCTTTAATTTTCCAATCTGTCAGAGGATACAGTTCTAAATTACAACTTTTAGGTGGCTACTTGGTATTGTGATTTCATTTACATTATGTACATTCTTAAATTTTACTGATGATAACTTAAGGATTGGCCCTTATGATATGCTGGACATGTTAGACATATCTATTTAAAACTTCTCTCAAGTAAATGTCCCTATTCCTCTACACCTTTTGATGATTAGGAAATCTTTTTGTAATTTTATAATAAAAATGTATTTTAATATATTGAATTTCAGGCACTTTGTAAATACCCAAAACTGAGGATATTGTATCTCCATGGTAATGGTATTTCAAACATCAGAGAAGTGGAAAAACTTGCAAAAATTCCAACTTTAAGAAAACTCAGTCTGCATGGAAACCCAATAGAAAATACACCAGTAAGTAAAAAATTAAAATTTTTCTTGGAGTGAGTTATTACAAAATTGATGTTTGGGGAAAAATGATCTATGGACTTTACACCAATAATATCTGTTATCATTTTTGTCTTCTTTGGTGAATAAAGTACCAAACAGAAATTGTTTCCAAGCAAATACAGATAACATTAATTTTACTGACAAAACACTAATATTTTCCAGGGTTATCGCAATTTCATCCTCACACACCTCACAGGGCTACAAGAGTTTGACTTTAGTGCTGTAACAAAAGCAGATCGGGCAACAGCTAACACTTGGAAAAAAATGAATGTAATGCCGAAACATTCCAAAAAGACTGAAGAGAAAAACTGACAGTTTTACATATGAATATTATTTTAAAAGCACACGACGTGTGCCCAAAGTTTTAAAACAGTAAGATATAGTAAAAGGTAAATTGGCAGATTTTGCCCAAAATTTTACTTGTATTAAGATCCATACAAAATAGGCCTACAGTAATTGTCTGTTTTGAAGACCCTCAGATGATTACCATTTTCTTTCATTTTGAGATGTATTTTTGCAAATCTAAAATGAAAAGAAAGACTGTTTTGTAGTGCTTCGTCAAAAACCATTTTCTTGTATTTAAGATGAGAATGAAAGAACACACACCGTCCTTTAGTATTTTTCATGCGTTCCTTAGTCATTCCATATCATTAACACTTCAAATGTAAGATCTATTTATACTTATTACCAGTTACTTATTGAATATGACATATTGTACTTCTACTTAGTTTGGTGGATTTGCTATTTTGAACATTTGGCGGCTACTAAATTTGGCAGACTGGCAATATTACAATGCACGAATGGTACTAATTTACATAGTACTAAAATAACTGGGGAATTCGGCGGCTACTTAATTTGGCGTACATCAACAATTTAGTAAAAGTTCAGTATAAACTTGGCGGTGTTATTCATAAAATTATTAAAAATATATGATTCTGTCACAGTATCTATATTGTATTATTAGTTGTATATTGTTGATAGTTAGATGTTGATGGATTTAGTCAGCAATAAAATAAAACCTGTATATATATTATAATGGACTTTTAATTGTCATTGTGAATTGCCTACATGATAGGCTGGTGAAATATGAAATCATCTGAATTCATCAATCATAATGAACCTTACTACTCTGGTGAGTCATGGACTATCCATGCATTTAAGGCCAGTGTACTGGTATGGTGATATGGTAAAACATGTAATGTGATATGCTTCAACGCATTTGCAAGTGGAACATACTTTTTCGAGTGGTACACTTCACAGTCCTGTGAGTGTCACAGTCCTCTAAGTGGAATACTTTACAATGGAACAGAGGGTGTTCAACTTACACAGGTGCTACAGTAAAACCTGTAAAGTGAAATGCCTCGATACATTTGTAAGTGGAACACCTATGTGAGTGGTACACTTCACAGTCCTGTGAAACAAGTGGAATACTTTACAGTGGAACAGAGGGTGTTCAACTTACACAGGTACTACAGTAAAACCTGTAAAATGAAATGCCTCAATACATTTGTAAGTGCAACACCTATGTGAGTGGTACACTTCAGTCCTGTGAAACATCTAAGTGGAACACTTTATGTGGAACATAGGGTGTTCAACTCACACAGGTGCTACAGTAAAACCTGTAAAGTGAAATGCCTCAACGCATCTGTATCAGTGAAATGTCGAAATGGAACACATAACAGTGTAACTGAGAGTGTTCCACTTACACAGATTCTAATGTGCAATAGTAAAAACACGTAACAAAAATAGTTATTTGGATTTCACTGCATGCACATATATATTTTACATCTTTTATTTATCTCCATGTGATTTGTATAACAAATCATCATATAAACAGTATGACTTTTCCTAACATGCGTATGGTTGATATTTTGATTTCCCAAACAAATATTAACAGAATATAAACTCATTCAAAAGACCTTGTATCAAATACATGCTTCACATGTTGACCATACAAAATACATTATCTATAGATCAAGCCATGGTAAGGACATCCTCCGAATGCAGGGTTCCAGATGTCATCCACTAAGTACAAGTTCTGGAGGCCTGTATTTGGAGGATGTGGGAGGGATCATTTATTATTATGCCGCCATGTAGGCCTGTGAGAAAATATATGACTTAGTGACTCAGATTTAATGAGAACCATATAATCGTGAATAAACCATGGCCATGATGGATTTAAATAATATTTTAGTTTCATAAACGATAAAGACCAACATCATACAAAATAAAAACACTAAATCAGGCTGATTCTCAGGCAATCGCACTGAATGTAGGCTGCTAACCAAAATCATATGAATTGAAAATCCAAACACAAAACTACTTAACACTGCTTTCAAAACAGTTACATTAAAAATAATGTTGGACGGCAAATACAAACAAAAAAAATTGAACAAAGTCACCTGAAGCAAACTCTATCAATTTATAACAAAATACACCCTAATATACACCTTAATATATTATTTACAAACAGGTGTCATTCCATTTTACGGAATGCTATCTCAACCATAAATAGACTTAATAACTGGACGGAAAATCAATGATGTTTTTACAATAGTGTATAATACATATATAAAATTAAAATATAATAAGTAGAGGTTATTAAACACTTTGAAACCACAAGAATCAAAAGGATCCCGGCAACCATAGTAACATTGTCAAAGAAACTTTGGCTCAACTTTTCTAGCTTTGCAAACTTGGATTCACTTTTGAAAACCTTTTTTACAATCAAAAATCCACAGGGCTTATGATATAATACATGTAAAACAGTTGATCAAATACCAAATGGCACATCTATGAGTCATTGAAATAACTCTAAATGGTGATTTTTGACAAACAGTCTGATATAGTACCTTTATAGTACTGTTGCCAGTGATAGGATACCTTACTATTCCTATTATGTACTGTATATGAATGTATTCAACATGTAATATATATCATGAAAAAGTGTGAATGTGTGTGCATGCTTGTTGTTTGTGTCTTATTTATTATACATCTAGACCAACCTGAACTACAATGCCAGTAAATGGTGGCTGAAATGTATAAATCAAGTGAGAAAATTAAACATAAATCTTGCATGTCCTGCATGGCAGTCAATCATAATATTCTCTATACTTTAACATGCTCCCAAGTCCTTTTGTCTTTTTGTACAGTGTAACTGGAAAGTCTGGCATTTAAGTTTGGTTAAGTAACTCAATAATTATACACACTTTGGTATGAAAATCACATTTTATAATTTAGTTTTTAATCTGAGTTGTATAATTAAGTAAATTATGATGTATTATGCTTCCAAGCATCTCCGTGACACCAGGAATGTAAATGAGTGAATGTTTCAATTCAACATCTTTTATTTCTCCATGACAGTCCTAGTCTGATGTACTGCAGTGTCATTTGACTCACCTCTATTCTATTGTACTTATTGGAACTGTATATTGTAATATCACCAGATTTGTATACTGCAATCTTAAGATCCTGATATGTATACTGTACTTTCAATGTTGTTCATTGTTATTTTTAACATCAGTGTGATTTATATTTATTGGATTCTGCAGTTCTGTAGCATGATGTTCTAAATCTCGATGATTCTAATTGTGTAGATCTATATTATTATGTGATTCATAAAATCAGTCATAGGGATATTATCTGTTCAGTCATTATCTGGAAGAGAAAGAATATTTCAAAACATCAGATGCCGAGTATTAATTGTGTTACCAAAAATACCTCTTAAAACTATTTGAATTCTCTAAATCAATAAAACTTGTGCAATTTTATTTTTCCAAATCCTGTAAAAGTTCAGTACTTTGCAGTAGAAACCAAAGTTTGGCTCCATTTATCAACAATTCTGTTAAAATCTATATTCCTTCCAAATTCAGTATAATCATTCTAGGCTATGGTTTGATTCCTTACAAAAATTGGGCTTCTCCACACATGCAAAATGTGGATTTCTATTTTGAATTTTGCCTTATTCATAATTGTCTATTATTCCTATGTGTTTATAATTACCTTCTGTGTAGGCACCATCAGCCATGACAAGTTGTAAAATCTTTGTGTAGTATTGTTCTTTACCATCTCCCAGTATTTTAGTTACCAACTTCCCACACTCCTCCAGACTTTCATCCTCATCTTCATGGATGGCCTACAATAGATGGCAGCATTAAACAATAGATATCCCATAATGCTTTGATTGATGCAGACATTTTGTAATATGTACAACACAAGTAAAGAAGATTTTTGACATTCAGAAGCTTTTGTGCTTTTCATAGAATGTTAATCCCCCACAATAATTAATCAAATTATTAGATTTATATAGTGGTAAGTATGTAATTAAATTGGAAAGAGTTGAAATGAAATACATAAATAAATATAAACAAGACACACAGTGATAAATATCGCACTTTGAAGAGCAAACTGGCCACCATGCAATTTACCCAGCATGGCAAAAACCTAATCAGACCTTGGCACTAGTCTGCTCTTGCATCTGTAAATATTTCAAGTTGACAAGGTTAGCGGTTTTCCTGCAATTTTGATGACAAGAATTTATTTGTAGTCTTGAACTTTGGGAAAATTTAGATAACATTGTTTGTGACCTTATTTGATGACCTTCGACCTTGAAAATGTCACTTTTTCAGACCTCAGTGGGTGTTTTGTAATTAAGCTGACCTAAATTTAAATCCAAAATATCAATTTAGAAAATCAAATTTTTGACCTTTTAAAGGTCACTGAAGGTCAACGAAAGGTCCAATCTGAAATCTAAGGTCAGATTTGAATTTCTGAGAACTTGTAGATGTTTTTAAAAAAAAAAATTGGTCAACTTGGAGCAAGTTGAAAAATTCAAAATGGCCGCCAAATTGAAAAATTCAAAATGGCCACCATGTTATTCAGCCAGCATACCCAAAACCTGATCAGATCTTGGCAATAGTCTGCTCTTGCATCTGTAAAAATTTCAAGTTGAACGGATAAGTGGTTTTCCTGGAATTTTGATGACAAGATTTGTTGAAAAATTCAAAATGGCCACCACGTAGTTTACCCAGCATGCCCTAAACCTAATCAGATCTTGGCACTAGTCTGCTATTGCATGTGTAAAAATTTCAAGTTGAGCAGGTTAGCGGTTTTCTTGGAATTTTGATGACAAGAATTGATTTGTAGTCTCAAACTTTGAGAAACTTGGATAACATCATTTGTGACCTAGTTTAATGACCTTGACCTTCGACCTTGAAAATTTCACTTTTTCAGACCTCAGTAGGTGTTTTGTAATTAAGCTGACCTAAATTTAAATCCAAAATATCAATTTAGAAAATCAACTTTTTTGACCTTTTCAAGGTCACTGAAGATGGATGAAAGGTCAAATCTGAAATCTAAGGTCAGATTTGAACTTCTGAGAACTTGTAGATGTTTTTAAAAAAAAATTTGGTCAATTTGGAGCAAGTTGAAAAATTCAAATGGCCGCCAAATTGAAAAATTCAAAATGGCCACCATGTAATTCAGCCAGCATACCCAAAACCTAATCAGATCTTGACAATAGTCTGCTCTTGCATCTGTAAAAATTTCAAGTTGAACGGATAAGTGGTTTTCCTGGAATTTTGATGACAAGATTTGTTGAAAAATTCAAAATGGCCGCCACGTAGTTTACCCAGCATGCCCTTAACCTAATCAGATCTTGGTACTAGTCTGCTCTTGCATCTGTAAAAATTTCAAGTTGAACAGGTAAGCAGTTATCCTGGAAATTTGATGACAAGATTTGGTTTATGTGCCGCCCGCACGCCCGCACAACCGCACGCCCGCCCAACAGCACAAGACGACGACAATATAGCACTTTTTCAAAGTGCGATAAAAATGAATGATTTTCATTTATTTCTTTGACACTGTATGCATGTATGTATGTTGAATCGCTTCCAAATCATTCTAAATGTATTGCTGTATGTAAATGTCATGTAAATTGATTTGTGAAGAAGCCAAATGTTTGGCTTGGAGCACAATAAATCTTGTATATTCCCTTTTAGTTGGAAAAACACAACTATTCTGTACCTGTACAGTTTTGTAGGCTTTGATAAAGGTATTTTCACCAAGAGCATTTTCAAGTTCAATTCTGGACTCTTCAAGACGACAGAATCTGTCATCTTCATCATCAATATCACCCTGACCTTCATCTGTATCATCTAAAAAATATGATATAAGTTACATTCATATATAAAGGTGGTCTGCTTTTTTCTGGTAATCGTAAAACTTAAAGGTGGTTTACATTTCTGAGTCAAGCTCACTATTCTGTGGTCATCTCATTTGGTTTGGTTTATCTTCAGATTGAGATTTGACATCTATTTTTATGGAAACAAATAATACAAGTTAGACAAGGCATTAACATAACAAAATGTCACCACCTAGTTGCTCACAATATTGTGACACCAATAGCCAATCACCATCACAAAAAACTGAGACCATATCAATATGTCACTTTTTACTTTTTATAATTTTTATATTCCAAATTAATTGAGATTATTTTAATGAAGAAATTATAAGATTATGAAGGAGGTTGTGACATACCAGAATCCCAGTCTTCTTTTCCTGGAATGATGGTACCAATAGCGCCATCTATGGAGTCCCCTTTACCAGAGTTTGGAAGTTTTGTCTTTTTAGTTTTTGGAGTTTTAGGTTTTGCAGGTGTTTTCTTATCATCATCTAAAAAATTATCAACATATCTAAAGATTTATAATTCTTATCTAACAATCTGAAATCCATTTTTCTTACATGTACAATGATATGTGGTAAGGATCCATTGAGGTATTAGATTTTTCAAAACATAAAAGTATGAGACTCCTAAACAGATTCTGTATTTCTCTGAACCTGAACTCTTGAACAGCCACTTTGCAATAAATTGTGTTCTGTACCAAGCATGCTAAAAGCTTTGTTTATATAAAGGCAGATACAGTCAGTCTGAAGTGCTAATAATATTCAATCCCTACCATTTAGCAAACTGCCCATAGCTTCTCTCATACTCTGCATGTCTTCATCTTCATCGTCATTTTCATCATTAGAGTCATCCTCACTGAAACAAGCAGGTTTTTATTTTAAATTCATTTATTAGATTCATGTTTAAAAAAGAGGCATAATGGCATAACTTGTATGGTGCATCCACACCCAATCATGCATGTACAATTGCATATAAATATAACAGTCAAAGTTAAAATGCAGCAGTTGTTGACACAAGTGTAGGCACATCTATAAAATCTGAGCAAAATGTTAATCATGAATATGTTTGAAACAATATTGTTCTTCACTGGCTGCAATCAAATCTAATATAGCATCCAAACATTTCATATTTTTGAATTAATGCATGGACACAAATGGACTGTCAGCTAGAAATTGTCAAACAATTCATACATTAATTCCTAAAACAAATAAACCTGTTACCATAGCAATGCCAGCAGATATCCAAAGTTACAATTACTAAATCTCACCTTCCATCCTCCTGGTCTTGATGTTCCTCATCATTTTCTTCTTGATCGTCATCTTCATTTTCCTCGCTGTTTGCTTCATTGTCATCATCTTCAACAGATTCTCTCTCGTGGTCACCACTTCCTAGTTCTTCATCATATTCATCTTCGTCCAATTCCTAAAGCACAAATTATTCTCAGTGACAGTCAATATTTAAACGCAAACTATTTGAACAGGATTTGAAAACCAAGCAAGCCATCTCAATTTAAATCCTCAAAGTCATTAAATTAAATGTTTAATTTTTGTATAAAGGCGAGGCTTTTTATTTTTCTTATATTTACCTTCGCCCAATACATTATACATACCTTAACATATAAACATTCCTTCAAAAATCTCCAAATCATACACTATTGTTGATATTACATAAAATCTATTGATATTGAACCTTAGATTTGTAAGTAACGAATTATTTAGAGAAAAACTGAATGTTTAAGTTCCGATAAATAAAATGTATTTGAAGTTTTGAAACAGCAATATTTACATATAAACCCATGGAACAATGAAGCACAAGCAAATATTACTGAACCTAAATCTTATGAGTCCTGAATCTCACTGATATTTCAAGATTACTACAAAGAAGAATTAAGAGATTTGGTGATGGTAAAAACATCCACTTACAGCATCAACATTCAGACTGAAGCTGACCTGGTCAGCTCCTAGGAAAGGGTTCTCTGCCGCAGTTCTAAACAACTTGCTCAGGTCTGGTAGTGAACATGTACGTAGCATCTGAAATAACAGTCACACATATTAACATATCTGACCTCAAACATTACATATCTTATATTGACCCAAGGGCAAATTGTGCATCTTTAATAGACCAAGGTCACTACACGTGACACATATTATGGATGCATGTGTATGAAAGATGTGATCATTGATCAATCCATATTTGCAAAACATGGTTTGGGGATGAAATTATGTGTACTACATAAAAGACACTCAGAAGATTAACTTTTCTAAATAGTCTCAGTTTTGGAATGTTTTCATTGGTACGATAATGAATCATTTTACATGTATATTTAGAGGGTGACTTAAAGTAAATCCATGAAAAGACCTTGATAATTCATTGCAGTCTTTTCAACGAGCTCCAAGAATCAATTCAAATCATTCACTTCATTTTAAATAGGGCAATAAATTGTACAATTAAACCAATTAAATCAATTCAAATCATTCACTTCATTTCAAATAGGGCAATTAATTGTACAATTAAACCAATTAAATCAATTCAAATCATTCACTTCATTTCAAATAGGGCAATTAATTGTACAACTAGATAACGGCAACTCCGCGGAGTAGCAAATCCCAACGAACAAAATATCAATTAGCGAATTCCAATCAATTATACTCATTACTTTGGTTAAAATTGAAAAAATTAGATTTTAGAATTGCGAATTCCTGCAAAGCAGCCATTTTGAATTTTCTGAGATACAAATCTGAAAAATAATACCATAATTGTGATCTACTCCAAAATTCCTTCAATTTGAGTATAATATAGCCATACTTTGAAGGGATCGAAAAAGTATTGCGAAATCGTACATTAGGCGGCCATTTCGAATTTTACAAGGCTCGAATCAGAAAAAAGATACAATATTTGCAATCTACTCTTAATTGCCTTTCATTTGAGTATAATAAAGCTATACTTAAGAAAGATCTAAAAATTAGCGAAAATTTTTGTTTTCCTGTCCCCCCATACACGGCCCCTGGGCGTCAGGATGAAAAACACAGAATATATGTGAAATAGACAAATGTTGTGAATATACTACCAAAATTTCATACAATAATATTAATTACTTTGGTTCAGAATGAAAAATTTATGATTTTTGCGAAAAAGTCCCATCATTTTTAAAGCGGCGGCCATCTTGAAAAAATTTTTTTTGCGTAAAACTATTCACCAATATACATCTTTCCACTAAATATGAAGAAAATCCATCTACTATATCTAGTATTTGAGTTATCTTCCGGACAAACGGACGGACTGACTGATTGACTGACGGATGGACAGACAGACGGACGGAGGGCTTCACTATATCCCTACCGAACTTTGTTCGTTGGGATAATTAAACCAATTAAATCAATTCAAATCATTCACTTCATTTCAAATAGGGCACTTAATTGTACAATTAAACCTACATACCCTATAGTATTGCTAAACGTATATATTGGTTCGAATTCATCATTAAAATATATATATGTACTGTACTATTCTTAGAGGTTATGTCACTATGACGTGAAATATGCCTGAGTTCTCCCAATATAGGCCGACCTTGGGAGGCTCTATATTTAGGCAAGAACGAAGGCATATTTCACGTCATAGTGACATAACTGATGTATTACATGCCTTTGTTCCCATGGTTATTTTGTATCAATGACGTGACGTCATGATATTATCATGGTTATTAAAGAAATCGAAATCGGCAAGCGGGCTATATCGGGGTAATCGGGCAATATCGGTGGATATAGCTCGCTAACTTTCCCATTGACTTCCATACAAATGCTTCGCTAGGTATGTAATACTAGTATATATTGACTCTCTGATGTCAATAGTGACATATTAGTCAGATATTCTTAAGTGTACAACAGCTATAGCTGCATTATTTGAAACACATGTACAGTAAAATAACATGAAATGAAATATCAAATAATATAGCTACTTTAACTCCCAAAGTGACATTTTTTATCATTCTCTTATCAGCTCAAGTGTATTATTATCATCAACTACATCAAGTTAGTAATAAATAATTCCAGTTAATCTTGCATTGCACCTTTTTGACTCTTTAGTTGAACCTATCCTAACTTATGCTTCAGAGGTGTGGATTAATGAAAAACATCTTAAGACAATAGAGACAATGCATTTATCTTTTCTTAAAAGTTTATTAGGTGTTAAAAAATCAACAGCAACACCAGCAGTCTATGGAGAATTAGGACGTTACCCATTAAAAATACGTTTTGAAATTAAGTTAATTAAATATTGGCTCCGTTTAATTCATCTATCACCTGGAAACATTCTTCATAAAACATATACGCATGACCGTGAAATGAGCCAACTGGGTTTTAAAGGCACTTGGTCAAACAAAATCACTGATATTTTGAAAAAATGTGATTTATTCTCATATTGGGAAACTCAAAAGATCGATGATGATTATATTTTTATCAAGATGATAACAAAAAAACTGTATCAGAATTATAAGTCTCAGTGGCAGAAAGATATTTTCAAATATCCTGTTTTAAGAACTTACATAACATTCAAAAATGTCTTTGAAAGAGAGGGTTATTTAAATATACAAAATAAAAATTACAGACAAGCAATAAGTAGATTTAGGCTTAGTTCACACAAATTACATATAGAAATTGGTCGTCATTTGAAGCCTAAGCCAAGACCTTTGGATGAACGTTTATGCAATATGTGTGGTATTTTAGAAGATGAACAACACTTTATCATGGTGTGTAAGAAAAATACAACAGAGAGAAAACTTTTGTTTGACACCCTTACGCAATTTAATTTTGTAGGAAGTCCTAACTTTATTTTCAAAAAGCTTTTTTCTCATAAAATTTCTTATGTAATTTTACATCTAGCAAAGTTCATTTATCATTCATTCAAAAAACTGGATTAATATTGTAACAATGATACATCACACTGATGTTTTAAATTCTGTCATGTTGTATCTGTATTTTACAATAATCTCATTTTTGTATTTTACATTTTGTGATGCTGTAATTGTATTTTACAACTTTGTATATTTCCTATGAAGTAGTTAGTTTAGTCTTAGTTTAATTTTGTATATTGTAGTTTGTAGTGACTAATATGTCATTGCAATGACATCAGAGAGTCAATAAAAGATATATATAATAAAACAATAAGGAAGTGATAGGCATGTGAATGTACATTGTTTTAAAGCAGTGTTTAAGTTTTGTGAGCTATTGTTGATTGTGTTGAAGAGTTTACATATCAAACAAGTACTGACATAAAACAAAATTGAGGAGTTTACTGTTTGCTGAACTTTTTGAATTTTGTATCACATGAATTTTTATTTTTAAGTCAACAAACTAAACTAGATCAGAGCAATGGCAACAGCAAGTGGAGATCGATATAAGGAAGCTCTTACATGTGGACTGTGTCTGGAAACTTTAAGTGACTCAAGGACATTGCCATGTTTACACCAATATTGTTTCAAGTGTCTACATGATCTTGTGGAGAAAAGTGGGCTTACAGGAGGAAGCTTCAACTGCCCTGAATGTCGCCATGTTTGTAATGTACCACAACAGGGGGTGGGAGAGTTCAAGGTGAGCCCTACAATATCATTCCTGTTAGATGCCTATAAGGACATTAATCAGACGGAAGAGCCAGAATGTAACAAATGTCTTGAATCTGATGAGAAGCACATACCAGCTAAAGTTCAATGCCTAGACTGCAACAAGAAGCTTTGTGGGAGCTGTCGAAAATTGCACGATTATTTTATGCAAGGTCACAAAATGTTTGATATAACAGGAAATAGTGAACATGATCTACAAACTGCATTTCAGTCTATAAAAGAGCGTACTGTGTACTGCCAAAAGCATCCTACCAAACCACTGGAGATCTACTGTAAGGTAGACAATGCAGTGCTCTGTCAACTTTGCTACACATTGGATCACAACAGCCATGCAGCTGAGGACATTAAACAAACAGCTGCCAAGAATATGAAGCCAATTGGGGCATTGATAACACAAGGTAAAGGACTTATTGACATTTATGAGCAGGCCATTCAAGATACACAAGCCTACATAAGTCAACTTGAGCAAGATGTAGATACTGTCACAGGAAATATTAACAATAATATCAACATGTTGATCCAGGTTCTACGTGAGAAATATAAGTCTCACACAGAACAAGTAATGAAGGAGAAAGAAACCAACGTAAAGCAAGTCGTTTCCCATCTTGGCCAACTGGAACTCCAGAAAACCATTATTGAGGATCAAGTCAAGAAACTCTGCACCATTGTTGAACATGGCCACCCTGTAGAAATTGGAGGACTAAAGGAACATATTACCACTAAAACAGAGCAGTGGTCTCAACAGCCCAAGGTTGATTTCAATGGTAAACTCACTATTGGCTTCACAGATGGATTCATCAAAGATGAGAGAGTTGATTTTGGAAAAGTTACAGTGAAGCAAAGAACGTTCACTGATGATGCAGGAGTAGTAAAGTTTACACTTTTGCCTGAACCCAATGTGCAAAAACAAAGACTTCAATCAGAAATGATTAATGATTTAACTGTAACACTTGCAGGGGATTATGTAGTAACAAGCATACATAGACGAAACACTTCAAAAATATATGATGCAAAATACAAACTAAAAAAGGACTTAGGTGAAATACACCAGATTCAGAATGTAACAATCATGAAAGACGGCAATATAGCATTTACTGATAAATCCAATACCATCAGAGTCTTCAATTCATCTGGGTATCATGAGCGTGATATTGTCTGTACCAATGTAAAGAGAATGTCTGGGATAACTAAGAGCAGCACAGGTAACCTAGTGATGTGTGATGCACAAACCAAGATAGCACATCATGTAGATCCAACAAGTGGGGCATCCAAATCTACAATTAAGCCAGTCATGATCCAAGGGCCATACTATATAGCATGCAATGGGAACGACACCGTTTTTGTTAGTGACAGTGGTGGCCAATGCATTAAAGGAATTGATAAGAATGGTGAGAAAGTATTCTCATATGGAGAGAGAGGTGATGATGATGGACAATTTTGCAGTCCCCGGGGCATCTGCACTGACGAGGCCAACCATATATTTGTGGCTGACAATAACAACCACCGGGTCCATATGCTAAGTGAAGATGGAAAGTTCATCCAGTATGTTCTCACAAAGAAGGATGGCTTGTTATTTCCACATGCTGTAGCAATCAACAATGAAGGACAACTGCTGGTTGGAGATGACTTTGGCAACATCTTCACTGTTAAATACAGGGTGTAAGGTAAATAAATTCATGTTCTTAATATGAATGATAAACACTACTTTGTAATTGAATCAACAATGAGGGACAACTATTGGTTGGAGATCACAAGGGCAACCTCTTCATTGTCAAATACATGGAATAAGGTAAATAATATCATTCACTTGGGGGTAATCTCATTATTAAAAACCTTAGTATACAATAATACACAGTATTAAGGACAAAGAATATTGGATACTAATACCTCTCTATATCTTGTTGCAGTCAACCATACACCTATATTCTGTGTGGAGGTCATGACCTTACATAAATGATTCATAAAATCCCTCAAAATTAATAATGAATACATGTAGGATTCTGCTTTAATCCTCATGATACACATTTATTCCAGCAAAGAACTTTTAATGGTGCAGACTGCAGAGTGCCACAAGATTACAGTCCTATGATATTAACACACCCAGCACATAGTAGCAAGGACTTAAACATTATCATTCTACTTGCTGAAAGATTATCTTGCTACACTAAGTGTCTTAAAGAGACTAAGTAATGTCTCTTTACTGACATTAAAGAGATCTCAATACTAGTGAATGCACAAAAATGGCCATTTGATAACCAACCTTCTTTAGAATAATATACACATGAGCCATAAATGAAGTAAAGTGGGTTCTTGTATCTTATAAAAAGTTTCATATTCTTACCCTGGAGTCAGGAATGTCAAAGTGTCCTGTAGTGAGGCCAATCATAACACCTGCTGATGCCATCTGGAATCTGCAATATAGAAAGCAAAATTAAGGACGTTAAAAAGGTTGTAAATTCTTCCAAACTGAAAAACTGTATTCACTAATAATGAGTGCACAGTGCAGTTTCCAAATTGAAATTTAAAGGGTAAGATATTGAGAGATTCACACATACAAAAGATTTCGAAAAAATATCGCCAATTAAAAGGATTTTAGTTGTTATCACTAAAGTTTACATACTCAACTCCTGTATTTCTCCGCATTGTGCTCTAATTAGAGAGAATACGATAATTTCTTTTTGAATGTATTTATCAAGACTCATGAATGGACTTGCCTGATTTGTATCTCTTTCTTTTGCAAGAACGAATACTGATATTGATATACATACTTGTTATCTGGTGTTTCTTCATCCTCTAGGTCTTCAACTTGAATATCATCAGCATCTTGTACCTTCTTAATCTTCTCATCATCTTCATCATCCTCATCTAGCTGAACCTTCTCAAACAGTGCACTCTTTTTCACTTCTGGAAATCATCAAAAATCCAATTTCAATATCAACAATATTTAAAACCAATAAATCATACAGGGTGTCAAATAAGCCCTGTCCCCCTGCTACAGCTAAAATAGATGGTATTTAGTGTTATATAACATTGGAAAGATCAACCAAGGTTACATCAACTCTCAAGTATTTTGATGAAAGTTACATGTATCTATATTTTCATTATGTCCTTGATAGTTAGTATATCATAACTTTGGATGATCTGTCCAATGAAATATCACACTTGGTACCATATATCTTGGTTTTGACTGTTGAGGGGGATGGGACTTATTTGAAATCCTGTATATGATGAAAAACATTATGGATCGACTGACACTGGCCTTATAAGTATCAAATGAGAATGACATGTTTTTTCATCAAAACAATAAGAAAAAAATCCATACTTAATTCATACATCTATAAAACATTACCTGATTTCATAGCACATAAAATATTTGGTGCAGAAACCTTTATATAAAACTTCAACCTAATTAGTCTCAATCGTATTCATAAGATATACTACAGTAAAACCTGTCTAATCCGAATGCCCCTGGGACCGGCCAAAATTGTTGAGATTAGCAGGTGTTCACATTTCAAGGTTTTATAAACACGTAATTCAAATTTTTGACTGAAATAAAATGTTCAAACTGAAAGGTGTTCAGATCAGAGAGGTGTTCAGATATACAGGTTTCACTGTATATGTATCCTTATTTTGTAATATATAATATATCTAAATCTAAACTAATGAACACAAAACACTTTAACACAAAACCTAATGTTATATTAGTATCGTATCTCCACAGTCAAAATCAAGTCATTAAATCTAATATTCCATCATAAATTCAAAGAACAATCTGCTTCTTGGTCAAGTTCAGCTACAGTTTTCAAATGTGATGCATTCTTGTCAAATATGTTAGTTGGCATGACAAAAAGAACTCTAAAAATCTTCAAAACCCCTAAAATAAATATGAAATGTTAGTTAAAAGCAACACTCCAACAATGCACTAAGTCCAAAAAGCATAAAGTGGCATTAGTTTTTCTCAAATATAAAATTTACCTGACCTGAGCCCCCCTCCCTCTTTTGTAACCAGGCTCAATGGATATTGAAATGACATTTAAGGTATCACCTACTTTGATCCCTTGACCCCTACCAAAATTAAATAATTTTCATGTAAATTGACACATTAGCACTTGATCCAGTCCCCTTAATATAAGAAATAAATGATATTTAGGGCCTAATGCAATCAAATCCACTTTGATACTTTTTAGATGCGCTACACTCTTAATGCAATCACCCAGACAACCAATCACACCTTCATCTTCCTTATTTGGACTTTTGTCCTCCTTTAATGGACTCTTAGGCTCTTTTGTGGAACTTTGGGGCTCTTTTGTAGGGCTTTTCAAATCTTTTGCGGGGCTTTTGGGTTCATTTGTGGGACTTAAGGAATCAGATATGGAACTCTGTGGTTCCTTAGAAGGACTTGATGTCTCAGTTGAGAGTTTGCTCTCAAGCATCTCTTTGCTAAGGCTTCTCTTAGGGCTTAGTTTCTCAGGGCTCTTCTTAGGGCTTAGTTTCTCAGGGCTCTTCTTGGGGCTCTCAATTTGTACATCCTGGTCAGCCCCTGGAGACGCTTCTTCATTACCTGCTTGATAGCGAATGATGTAATAATGAAAATTTGTGTCAAAAATAATTCAAACTCGCATGAAGTGGCAAACAAGAAAATTCCTGGCCTTGACAATTGCTTGATATGTAAGAGAATCGTATAAGAAAGAACATTGTGTAAATATTATGTATAGCATGATGACTTTAGTATTCATGACATTGTCATCACATCACAATTTTTTTCATTCTTGGAAATACTAAATGTGAAAATGATCTCTGCAATTAGAGAAAAAATAAAGAAACAGATGTATAAACAACAAAGCTGAATGTGATCTGACCACTATTTTAATACATAAAAATTTAGTAAATAAGGATCTTCCAATTACTTCCAACATGTCGCAACAATTGAAACAAAAACACAAAGCAAGCAATAACATAATAACATTAAACAAAACATATAGAACATGAAACATGAAAATAAGGATGCATCTTGTCTAAAGTACCCCAGGCCCATATAGGACAGGTGAGCTCTCTGGGTTGGAAATTAGGACCAACTTTGGTCCAGGTCTTCATCAGTATTCTGTTGACTGCATCATCAAACTCTGAGTCAGAATCTGTGTCCTCCAAGATCTCAATATCAGACCCTGACATGCTTGGCTTGGCTTCAATAATATTTCAAGGTGTTAAATATCAGACCCTGACATGCTTTGCTTGGCTTCAATTATATTTCAAGGTGTTAAATATCAGACCCTGACATACTTGGCTTGGCTTCAACAATATTTCAAGGTGTTAAATATCAGACCCTAACATACTTGGCTTGGCTTCAATTATATTTCAAGGTGTTAAATATCAGACCCCGGCATACTTGGCTTGGCTTCAACAATATTTCAAGGTGTTAATTATCAGACCCTGACACGCTTGGCTTGGCTTCAATAATATTTCAAGGTGTTAAATATCAGACCCTGACATGCTTGGCTTGGCTTCAATAATATTTCAAGGTGTTAAATATCAGACCCTGACATGCTTGGCTTGGCTTCAATAATATTTCAAGCTGTTAAATATCAGACCCTGACATACTTGGCTTGGCTTCAATAATATCTCAAGGTGTTAAATATCAGACCCTGAAAAACTTGGTTTGGACCACAGATTAGTTCCATGTCTTCATGTTGTATTTGTTCTAAACAGTCATCATGTTTATCTTTTATGACAAATTTAACATGAAGGTGATTCCAATTCTTGTAAATCTCAAGTCAAGTTCTCTTGTATAACTTGGAAAATAAAGGAACTATACATGCACTTACTCATATCAAAAGGCCAATTTTAATATACAGTAGTCATGTGACACATAATGAAACAATTGGGAACAATGTACACATATTAAAGATGTAGAGGATGCTGGGACTCACCAGTGTTTCTTGGACTAGATCCAGCTGTCTTTGGCCTCACAGATGCCTCATTGCTATCTTTGTTGGGAGTAGTGTTTGGTTCTGCAGTCTTTGGCCGAGGTTTATCAGCAATAACAGGCTTACCCTCTGAAGATAAAGTACTATTTTAAAACATATCTACTCAGTTGGGTTTTTGATTAAAATAAGAATTCATAGCATTTACACAACAATGAATGGATAAAATTAATGAAACAGTTTTCCAGGCCCGTAGCTAGGGTGGGGGTGTATGGGGTCAAGTAACCCCTCCCCTGGCCAAAAATTCTTTCAAAATCATGCAGTGTTTCAAAATTCTTTTCAAGTGATTTTGGGCAAAAGTTGTCAAATGTGAAACCCCTCCCCTTTTCTGATATTACATTTTGGTTTAGTGCAATAAACATTCAAGAAAAAAGATTGATAGTTCTGTAAAGAAGTTGTAATGTAACACTGTAAAAAGCAATCAAACACAAACCTTTCTCTGGTGAGGAAATAACTATGGTGTCTTTCTTGACTGGGGTTTTAGCTAATGTCACAGTTTCTCCAATAGGTGTCCCTGGTTTCAACCCCTCTGCAGGTGTGCCATCTATGAAAACATTATTAAAGATTGCCTGTATAATATGAGCACTAGTATGAATAAAACATAAAACAGAATGATGTAAGAGGGTAAAAGTGAAACTAACATAAATACTTCAATATCTTTTACACGCTATGTATTAAGGACATGTTCAGTAAATACTTGCATCATGAGCTAATCTTTTGAAACATTAAGCAACATCAGTGATTCTTTCAGTTTATAAAACTGAAATAAAATACTTAGTACCAACTGCCAACAAGTGAAAATGTGCTTTTCATTTTCCCTGAAGGAATATTCTATCCACTGACATGTTCAGACTGGTACAAATATTGTTAAATGCAACCAAATAAAACATTTACCTTGTTCATCCTTGGGTTGTATGGTCATGGTTGCCCCCACTGACACTTGTGCCTTCTGCAGGGCATTTAGCACTGTGCCTGGCGCACGTTTGGCCCCCCATTGCTTCCTCCCTTGGTCCATGTGCTTCTCAACAATGTCCCCAGCATTAGTAGCTAAATAACAGAAGATATGATGTTACAAGAACTCGTATTGGATTCTTTGGAGTATAAAGAGATAGCAATATCTCATACAAACTTTTTCAAATGTTCTTCAATTCTTTTTTACAAAGATACTTATCAAAGTGTTTTTGTAATATCTTATATTGATATAGTACTTCAACGTAAAAATCTAAAGAAAAACTTTTTTGAAGAAAAGCATTATAAAACTACAAAATCGACTTGATAGTTGAATTTTGACTCAATGACAAACTTGTATCTGAAAATCTATAGGTCAGGGGATCATACCTTCCATTGCAGAGGATGTTTCTTCTAGAGCCATGCCTCCAAGTATGTTAGTACCCTCCCCAGCCCACTTGGGTCTCTCCATAGCAGGGACAATGGGCTGCACAGGTTGACCCCACTTAGGGCGATCTGCATTATGGTTGGCATTTACCTTCTTTAAGATTTCATCTTTCTTTTTCTGCAGTGGAGACCTGAAATGAGTTGAACAAGACACACAGTGATAAATATCGCACTTTGAAGAGCAAACTGGCCACCATGCAATTTACCCAGCATGGCCAAAACCTAATCAGACCTTGGCACTAGTCTGCTCTTGCATCTGTAAACATTTCAAGTTGACAAGGTTAGCGGTTTTCCTGCAATTTTGATGACAAGAATTTATTTGTAGTCTTGAACTTTGGGAAAATTGAGAAAACATTGTTTGTGACCTAATTTGATGACCTTCGACCTTGAAAATTTCACTTTTTCAGACCTCAGTAGGTGTTTTGTAATTAAGCTGACCTAAATTTAAATCCAAAATATCAATTTAGAAAATCAAATTTTTGACCTTTTCAAGGTCACTGAAGGTCAACGAAAGGTCAAATCTGAAATCTAAGGTCAGATTTGAACTTCTGAGAATTTGTAGATGTTTTTTAAAAAAAATTTGGTCAATTTGGAGCAAGTTGAAAAATTCAAAATGGCTGCCAAATTGAAAAATTCAAAATGGCCACCATGTAATTCAGCCAGCATACCCAAAACCTAATCAGATCTTGGCAATAGTCTGCTCTTGCATCTGTAAAAATTTCAAGTTGAACGGATAAGTGGTTTTCCTGAAATTTTGATGACAAGATTTGGTGAAAAATTCAAAATGGCCGCCATGTAGTTTACCCAGCATGCCCTAAACCTAATCAGATCTTGGCACTAGTCTGCTATTGCATGTGTAAAAATTTCAAGTTGAACAGGTTAGCGGTTTTCTTGGAATTTTGATGACAAGAATTGATTTGTAGTCTCAAACTTTGAGAAACTTGGATAACATCATCTGTGACCTAGTTTAATGACCTTGACCTTCGACCTTGAAAATTTCACTTTTTCAGACCTCAGTAGGTGTTTTGTAATTAAGCTGACCTAAATTTAAATTCAAAATATCAATTTAGAAAATCAACTTTTTTGACCTTTTCAAGGTCACTGAAAGTGAATGAAAGGTCAAATCTGAAATCTAAGGTCAGATTTGTACTTCTGAGAACTTGTAGATGTTTTTCTAAAAAAAATTTGGTCAATTTGGAGCAAGTTGAAAAATTCAAAATGGCCGCCAAATTGAAAAATTCAAAATGGCCACCATGTAATTCAGCCAGCATACCCAAAACCTAATCAGATCTTGGCAATAGTCTGCTCTTGCATCTGTAAAAATTTCAAGTTGAACGGATAAGTGGTTTTCCTGGAATTTTGATGACAAGATTTGTTGAAAAATTCAAAATGGCCGCCACGTAGTTTACCCAGCATGCCCTTAACCTAATCAGATCTTGGTACTAGTCTGCTCTTGCATCTGTAAAAATTTCAAGTTGAACAGGTAAGCAGTTATCCTGGAAATTTGATGACAAGATTTGGTTTATGTCCCGCCCGCCCGCACGCCCGCCCACCCGCCCAACAGCACAAGACGACGACAATATAGCACTTTTTCAGCACTTTTTCAAAGTGCGATAAAAATGAGTACAAAATGAGTGGAATCAGGACTCATTTTTTTCAAATTGAGAGATCAAATCAACAGAAGTAATCAAATCATATTAAAGGATCAAATATTAAACTCTAGTTCATTGAAACATCTCTTTTAGCATATAATGTTTTGTATATGTTGAAATTCACCTACATTTTAAAATAAGATTCACAAAATTGATCTACACATGTACAGGGTGTCTATTAAGTGTCTTTACAAAAACAATACAAAATTTGTGTAATGTGGAAAGAAATCTTATGGTCACCCTTCACCCTACTTACTTTCCAACTTGCTCGAGAAGTTCTTCATCCGAAGGGCCAGCATCAAAGGCAGGCATATCAGCCCCAATGGCCTTCATAACATTGGTCATACCTATAACAGGGGCAGGTTTGGGAAGTCTATGGGCTGGGATGGCTTGCTCTTGGCCTACAGCTCTGGAACAGATAAATCATGTGAAATAAAATCAAAATCATTGAAATGGTGAAAAGCATCTTTGCAGAATGAACATTTATCTGGGTGTTTATAATACTTCAGAATTAATTAACATACTATCTAAGATTAGTTAGAGGTTCTGAGAAAATATCAATGCTTGTAGTGTGTAGTACTTTTGATATTAGAGGAGAGAAGGTAAAACATGCCATGCATTCAACACAACTGACAAGTCAGACCAATATCCAAAAACTTGAATGGTGAGAGGGGGTCTAATTCTGTTTTAATTACTGTTAGGAATTTTCTTTTGACCATCGAATCATCTGCATGTATATCACTTAAGGGTTTACTATTTTGAGTTATAAATGGCCCGAAGTTATGTAGAATAGGAGAAAAAATTCACAAAACATCTTTGACTGAATCCCTGAAAATTATCCTCAATGTCTACAAAGTGTTTACTATCATTCATCAAAATATGTAACTGAATCGTTTGTTTTGTACCTATTTGCAGATACAGGGCGGTCTGAGACAGCACGTCCTCCACCCACAGCTCTCAGTGGTTGCGCAGACACAGGTCGGGCACCAACTGGAGGTTTGTTAGCCCCAGCAGCTTGACCCTCAAGGACAGCTCTAAAACACAAATAATCTTTATTGAAATATCTACATTTTGAAATATGAACAATTGAGATCTAAAAAAATTGTAGAAATGGTTCACAGTCTTCGATTCAATACTGGAATTGGTAGCAGTGTGTGTTGTGTCACCCTGTACTTCTACCCAGTAAGTGAAGGTGGTCATGTTTGATTGAAGCTTTTTTTCAAATCAATACTTTAATGTGTACCTACTTGCCAATAAGAGATTTAAGGGCGTAGCCAGGGGGAAGGGGTGTGATGGGTGCGATCGCATTCCCCCACCCCCTCAAAAACAAAGAAAAAAGCAATATCTCAAAATTTGTTGAAAAAACGTTTACAAATTATGATTTGAAGTGCTTAGAATGCACCATATACAATGTCATTTTTTAAAAATTCAAGGAGTAAACCCTCAAGCTTGTATCCCCCTTTTTGGGACTCACTTTACTCGCAGCAATGCCAACTCCAAAAATCGCACCCCCTTGACAATTGCTGGCTATACCCCTGTACTGTGCTCAGATTATATATGTTAAATTATGACCATAAAAACGAGATACAAGGCATTAATATGACAAAATGTCACCACCTAGTTGCTCACAATATTATGAGTTCAAACTTAAGTCAGATTTGAATTTCTGAGAACTTGTAAAGTCAAATTTGAACTTCTGAAAAGATGTAGATGATTTTGAAAAAAAAATTTGGTCAATTTGAAGCAAGTTGAAAACAGACCTTTTTGACCTTTTTTGACCTTGAGAAGGTCATTAAAGGTCAAATGTCAAATCTAAAGTCAGATTTGAATTTCTGAGAACATGTAGATGATTTTGAAAAAAAAAATTAGTCAATTTGAAGCAAGTTGAAAAAAGACCTTTTTGACCTTTTTTGACCTTGAGAAGGTCATTGAAGGTCAAATGTCAAATCGAAAGTCAAATCTAAAGTCATATTTGAATTTCTGAGAACATGTAGATGATTTTGAAAAAAAATTTAGTCAATTTGAAGCAAGATGAAAAAATACCTTTTTGACCTTTTTTGACATTGAGAAGGTCATTGAAGGTCAAATGTCAAATCTAAAGTCAGATTTGAATTTCTGAGAACATGTAGATGATTTTGAAAAAAAAATTTAGTCAATTTGAAGCAAGTTGAAAAAAGACCTTTTTGACCTTTTTTGACTTTGAGAAGGTCATTGAAGGTCAAATGTCAAATCTTAAGTCAAATCTAAAGTCAGATTTGAATTTCTGAGAACACGTAGATGATTTTGAAAATTTTTTTTAGTCAATTTGAAGCAAGTTGAAAACAGACCTTTTTGACCTTGAGAAGGTCATTAAAGGTCAAATGTCAAATCTAAAGTCAGATTTGAATTTCTGAGAACATGTAGATGATTTTGAAAAAAAAAATTAGTCAATTTGAAGCAAGTTGAAAAAAGACCTTCCCCAAACAATCCGCAGTCTCATATACAAATTCAAAATGATCTAAAAAAAATCGAAGCCTGGTCTAAACAGTGGAAACTAGATTTTAAACCAGAAAAGAGCAGAGAAATGACCTTTTCTAAGAAAAATAATCCAATCTATCCACCAGTTATCTTAAATGATAAACAAATTGAAAAAACTGACATTCATAAACACCTAGGCTTCATTTTTGATAAAAAATTAAGTGGGTCAGCACATATAAATTCTATCTGTGCAAAAATCCAAACAGCTCTTAACCCCTTAAAAGCACTTAAGGGTAGACTAAAATCAAAACAATTAAATATTCTCTATACAGCTTATATTCAGTCCTTATTTGATTATTGTGATATCCTTTACGATTGTGCTCCTATTTGTGACCTTAACAGACTTGACAGTCTCCAGTACCAAGCTGGTCTAATAGTCTCTGGTGCTCTCCCAGGCTCCAGCACTTCCAAAGTACTTAACATTTTGAACTGGTCCACCTTAACTGAGAGGAGGATCCTCCACTTTAAAACAATTATGTACAAAGCCGTGAACGATTCAACACCTATTTATATCTCAGATATATTTAGGCCATTCATAAACCCTCAAGCAAGATTGTTAAGGAAATCTCGAGATTTCACTATCCCTATTCACTATCCACATAAGTCTCCAATATACAAAATGATGAACCTATGGAATGATCCAGGATCTGTTCCCTTGGAACAAAAGCTCTTGCCAACTATTGCATCTTTTAAAAGAACACTTAAATTAAATTTGTTCCCTGGTGTTGTTTCAACAATTTGTTTAAAATTAACTCGTCAACAAGAACTTTATCTGAATAGAGCCAGGGTAGATTTAATTTTAAAAGCCCAGCTCAAAGCCCACAATTGGAGCTCAGTTGAGTCATCAAATTGTTTATGTGGTTCCCCTGAAACTTGTCCCCACTTCTTTTTCAAATGCCCTCTGAAAGAACAACAAAGAAATAAACTAATAACAGATACTATAGGGATATATGGGGACTTATTAACTAATTTCAGAACTCAGCAAGACAAAATTCACTTTTTTCTTTTTGGGGATCCATCATTAACCCAATTAGAAATGGATAATCTATTTTCACTGGTTGCGAATTATCTCATTGAAAACACAACCAGAATCTAAATATTTTCCTGCCTATGACCTGTTTCCATTTTTCAACATACTACCCCTCCCCCAGGATATCAGCAGCCCTCCTATCTTTTGTTTCATTGCAAGGCATTCTACCATTTACAGGTGACATCCAGGTTAAAATGAATATTGTACTTTATTGTTTATTTATATAAGGGGACATCTAATGCTTACAGCGCTTTGCCCCTTGTAATTGTATCTAAATGACTTGTGTTTACAATAAATATGAAAGATGTTAAAAAAAAAAACCTTTTTGACCTTTTTTGACCTTGAGAAGGTCATTGAAGGTCAAATGTCAAATCTAAAGTCAAATTTAAAGTCAGATTTGAATTTCTGAGAACATGTAGATGACTTTGAAAAAAAATTTAGTCAATTTGAAGCAAGATGAAAAAATACCTTTTTGACCTTTTTTGACATTGAGAAGGTCATTGAAGGTCAAATGTCAAATCTAAAGTCAAATCTAAAGTCATATTTGAATTTCTGAGAACATGTAGATGATTTTGAAAAAAAATTTAGTCAATTTGAAGCAAGATGAAAAAATACCTTTTTGACCTTTTTTGACATTGAGAAGGTCATTGAAGGTCAAATGTCAAATCTAAAGTCATATTTGAATTTCTGAGAACATGTAGATGATTTTGAAAAAAAATTTAGTCAATTTGAAGCAAGATGAAAAAATACCTTTTTGACCTTTTTTGACATTGAGAAGGTCATTGAAGGTCAAATGTCAAATCTAAAGTCAGATTTGAATTTCTGAGAACATGTAGATGATTTTGAAAAAAAAATTTAGTCAAGTTGAAAAAAGACCTTTTTGACCTTTTTTGACTTTGAGAAGGTCATTGAAGGTCAAATGTCAAATCTGAAGTCAAATCTAAAGTCAGATTTGAATTTCTGAGAACACGTAGATGATTTTGAAAAAAAAATTAGTCAATTTGAAGCAAGTTGAAAACAGACCTTTTTTTACCTTGAGAAGGTCATCGAAGGTCAAATGTCAAATCTTAAGTCAGATTTGAATTTCTGAGAACATGTAGATGATTGGACGCCAACCACCAACTGCCGGACGCCAACCACCGACCGCCGTCGCAAAAAAACCGAGACCATAACAATATGTCACCACTTTTGGTGGTGACATAATAACCACCTTCTTTAAAGGTGACAAACAAAAGTACACAGATAAATACAAAGAGAAATGAGAAGAAATTTTTGAGCCTTGAAATGTGTCCTTGAGTTTGAGGAATTTTCTTCACATACTAACCTTCCTCCACCATCTCTGTTCCATTTCTGTTTCTCTTTCTCATAAGCATCCCTTCGTTTCCTCTCTAGCTCCTCCTTTAGTTTCTTGGCCCTGTCATCAGCTTGTTTCTGGAATAACATGCAAAAATACTGAACAGTCATCACACATACAGAAGGGTACAAGATGTAGTTGCATGATAGCTCTTAACAAGACATTAACATGACAAAATGTCACCACCTGATGTTAGAATTTGAAACAGATGTCGAACGCCAAACATTATCCACAAAAATCTTGGAGACTTTAACAACGATATGTCACCACATAAAAAGGGTACTAACCTTTAGAGCCTCTATCTTCTTTTTCCTTGCCTCATGATCAACCTTCATGTTAATGTGATCAGCTGCACCTTTATCTCTGTTAGCTCTCCTCTCATTAAAGTTTTGTAGTCTGATCTGGCGTAGTCTGGCTAGGTACTCCTGCAAGTGGAACATTAGGTTACTTTAAAATTCAGGATTACACTTATTTATTTGGTACTAACCAGACACTGTCAAATTGTCAGCTGACATACAGAATCCGATCTTAAGCGAGGGGTAACATGCATTAGAAAGTGAGGCCCCTTATTGACATTGTCAGTGCCCCTGTGAGTGTTTATTATATGTTCCAAAAACAATCAAAATTCCCAGATTGAAATACATGTATTCTATTTACATTGTATATGATTTATACTACAGCTAGGCCAATTGCCTAGGACATAGTTGTGACTGAATGTGCATAGGAGTCTTAATAAGTACTTTCTAGTTCCTACACATGCTCATGATTTACATGAGTAGTCATACCTGCTCCTGTTGGTTTCTCCCTTCATCTACTGCTGACCAAGGTCTCTTGCTGACTACAGGTTCAGCAGCCCTAGCCCCTGATGGAGGCTTATTGTAGGGGTTCTAGAATGCACAATAGTAATATGAATAAGCCTTTATTTGATAAACTACAGTACAAGATAGAGTGAGTCTCAGTGACAATGTAATTTTTATCATGATCTATTTTAATCCATTATGTGTTTTAAAACAACAGACAAAAAATTGAATTAAACATGGTCAAACATCAGGCCAGTATTCATTCTAATTTTATTGTGTCTTTATATAGCCTCAGTTAAACAACAATTTAAATTCAATTTTACATACCCCATAAATATCTGCGCCTCCCCTCTGTTTATTCAGAGCAGCTTGGCGTTTCCTCTGCATGAACTCCTCAACTTGTTTAGCTCTATCTGCTGCCTGGCCTGCTTTAACTCTCATCTCATTGGCTTGTTGGGCATGCCTATCTGCACCTCTAGCCTCATCCCATGCCTCCTTGGGAGCTGCAAGTAAAATTTTCATATTAATTTTATTCATATCATTCGTTTTCTATTATAAAATGTCCAGATACATTTCTTTTAATTATTTGTACATGTTATAATGAATTGCAAGATGAGTTATCTTTCATATTTTCTGTTATTTGGACTCAATATTTATGGTTTTTTAGAGAAAATGTTCTCTTGATTAATATAATTTTAATATTGTTAAATGAAAAAGATATGAAGCTATGCTTACTCTCTGCATCTGCAGCAAAGGAAACAATATAAGGAAAATATTTCAACAATCCATTCAAAAAGATTGATTTGAAAACAAAGGTCAATATCTGAATTCAGAACTTCATTAATTACATGAGTTTGCAATTTGCTACATAACAATGCTTCAATAACAGTTCGACCCAAATGATCTCCACAAAATAGACAAAAAGTGTCTGCTTTAAAGATTCTCGCAATCTTTATCCAATCAGCTCACGTATAAAAGGCGAATCCAACTCAAATCCATGCAGGGGTGTATGAGGTACTCGAATAGGAAAGAGCTCGTGAAATCTGAATTTATATGCACATGGTCAATGTTTACACATGTTTGGAGTTATTGAAGAAAATGTGATATGGGTGTGGTTTCTAATTTAAAGTCATTGCTGGAAAATATGATTTTAATACGTGAAATTATATCTATAAATACAGCACTAAATATAACAGTACACATGACGTACATGTTATGATTGTGTCCAGAAATGTTTGAAACCCTTACAAAAAATTCTGTCTGCATTTTGTCACCATTGCTCTTTCTTCCCGCATTCTAGTGCTGTTTGAATGAATATATTAATCAATGTATTTCTAACTAAAATATATCACATTTTTTTTATAAACCACAAACATTTAGATCATAAAAAAATTATTCAATACTTGAGTGAGCACGATATGCAAGGGTTACTAAGTTGACACAGTAAATGACCATGCACACGGCGTATTCTGCTAATACACATTTACTAACACTGAACACCCCTCACTTTCATAGTGAAGTGACTAATTGGTTTATGTTTACGTTTTAATGTGTTTTGGGTTCCTTGTTACAGCAAGGGGGGCCAGTAAAGTAGACTAACATGTTTGCATGGCAAATTTTGATCGAATATGTGAGACACTTTAAATTAAATTGCTAATATTAACCATCGTGAGAATAAGAATCGTCAAGGTAACGGGGACAAGGACTCAAATATATGGCAGGTCACGAATGGCTTCCTCTTCACTGCCATCTATTGAGAGCACTGGTGGATTACTCAAGGTTAATTTACCTAAACCAATGGGAGTTGGATCTGGAGCAATAGCCCTGGCTTTCCTATTATGATCTAGTTTCTTCAGGTAGTCATTGTAATTGTCATAGTTACCTCTCTCTCTGAATGGCTGGGCAGGATGCTCTGCAGGCTGAAATATACAATTTAAACTTTGTTGTATGTTATGTAGGATGCTATTGTCTAGGTGTAGCTAGCTATGAGGTAGGAGAGGTAGCTGCCTTAAACAAAAAACATACAATTTAAATTTTAATCATATCATAAGATACAGCTGATCTACAAAAACATAATAGATATATATATGTTTTTTCAAATAAAACTGGAATGATGTACCAAAAAAGTAAAGTATCTGGTAGGGTTTGTTTAAGAAAATTGAAATATGTAAAGTACCTTGAACACTGGAGCAGCAGCAGGGGCTGGAGCTTTCTTGTCATTGTTACCATGGATACCCTAAAAATAAATCGGTATAAAAATGAAAATGAGCAAAAGCGTACCATTGATTTTAATTACAAATTATATCAATCAGATATTAAATATTCCAATATAATATGAACCTGAACGTGAAACAATCTTTAGAGGTAATATCTGCTAAATGTGATGAGACAGATTTCTTTTGATAATTATTTGTACTTCAGAATTATAATTAATAGGAATTACACTTTGACACCAATGTGTACCATGAAGTTTATTCAATTTGGAAAATTTCTTTGGTTTGTCCCGGTCAATGAAAATCATTTTGGATTTCTCTGATCATAGTTTGGTATGCGATGATGTTCATATGTGTTGTAAATATTTAGTAAAATATTTTGTGCAAGATAAAATTTCTATATTATTGTCTACAGAAGATTCTATATTTAATACTAGAAAGGCAGAAAGCAGGTTAGTGAATAATGAGGAAAGCAAAAACAAAACTCATTGTATCAATTGCTAGGGGAAGTATACTGCAATTGTTTTAAATACATATGTATTCATTTTCTAAGTGCAAAATGCATTAAGCAAAAATTCAAAATTTTAAACTGAAAAATATACTTAAATTTCCAGTACAAAAGTAAGCATAAATCTTCTCCAATCTATCTTATACCTCTGCTTAACATAACTGTACAAAACAATAAACCCTGAGCTAGATGCTTAGATCATTTCAAAATTGCGTACTATGTTATTATCTAGTTTCTGTAATGTAAAGTATGACCAATTTAAATAAGTAATTCTTGTAGTGTTGTTTGTTTAGCATCTAATATATAAATATGATTACCTCATCAGAATCCAATGAGCTTATTAACTGTTTCCATCCCTCCTCACGTGCCTTATTTAACCTGGCAACCTACACAATAGAACAGAATCTAGACTTTATGTGATTTATAGGGGTTCTATTCTCATATACTAGGTCTTTAGTGTTTTCTTTCTTGTCATGAATTTGTAATTCTTAGGTTTATTGGCAACGTTAATCAGGCGAACTTTTTACATATATTAAATTGATAAGCTCAAAGATAAATTGTTGAATATTTATTTTTAATCAGAACACACAGCTTACCTTCTGTTTTTCTACTAGATCTTTGTGCTGTTGAATTGCATCCTAAAATAGTAGTGAAACATTGATAAGCTGAATATCAAATTGTCCTAAATGTTCTTATTTGTAAAAACTGTTAAAATATTTAATGTACATTGAAGATGGGCTCATCGAAAGAATTGTTGGGCTGAAAAAATTGTCCTAAATAGATAAGTACTTGTTTTAAAGTCCTAGTAGGGCAAATAACGGTAAATTGCCATGTTAACTGTTGACTTCCATTAACTAAGGGTCTGGGGATTATGGTGCTGTACATTATATACTAAGCATAGCCTAAATGGGGATTCTTAAACGCATGATGCGTCTTTTTTCTTCTCACTTAATTTAAAATGAAATAGCAAGTACCACATGCAGTTTTACCAAACATGTAATAGTAATAAGATTAAATCATTAACATTTCCTTGTATCAGTCTTTGAGCATAATAAAACATAAATAAATGTGAAATAAAGTTACTTTATTCTAAATGATAAGATTCTATATACCTCTCATAACTTCTATGAAATATTAAAATAACTGTCAAAAGCAAAACCATGCATCCCTTCAAATATGATACTAGTTTTAAAATATGACTAAATCTATCTATGAAATTAAGAATTAAATCTGTGATCCATACACACGAAGTACATTTAATTCAGAAAGTAAACCTTTTCCAAGTGAAGCTGATTATTATAAATGAAGTACATGTAGTTATTTGAATTCAAATTCAAAAGGAAAAATAGGTAAATAGCAGATCGGTGTACATACACAAGCTCTGAGCACTATGATATCAGCCATTTGCAAAAACGACCTTGACCTGGCTAAAAGCAAATGCAAGGAAAAAAGCCTGCATGCAATAAATATGATTTATAAACCTTATTTGATGATTTCTTTTTCACATTTTTCTTTGCCTTGATTGTATCCTAAAATACAATAAGTATTTTTCAATCTCAATTTCAGCCTTATTACTATAAAAGCAAACTAAGTGTACAATTATACATGTTTCAAAGGAACACTGAACGATAGCGATGAAAAAATGGCTGGAAAGATAGATTTGTTAAACTAGATTTGTTTTGAAAACTGTTAAAAATAGATGGATTCATGAGTATACAAAGATCTTTCAGATTTGTTGCAGAAACTTGTGAAACTGCAATGTTTAGTCATTTCTGTCATCCAGTGCCACTTTAAACTTTCTCATTAGGATCAACTAAGGAAGATTACACAACAATTAATAAAGCAAATCATTAAGAAAAAATTAGAATAACTCGGTGTATTATTTTCAGAAATGAATCAACACACAAATGAAACTTTTTACAAACCTGTTTTTTGGCGACAACATTTCCTCCTCGTCGCACATTCTCCTTGGCGATAAGTTCCGCACGTTTTCTGGCAAGATCTTGCTGGTAAGCCAGTGGCCCAGGATGAGCAGCTGGCTTCTTTCTTTCATCTGATTTACGATTTTCACGAGATCTCCTAGCAACTGGGACACCATATACAGAAGCTGGGTTATATTTAGGTGGAGCAGCTGCTGATGGTTTTGCTTTGGCTGTAAATCAGAAGAAAAATGGATTTAATTTAAAGAAAATTGAGCCCTTCACGGGAAAGCGAAGACTCTTATTATACTGACTGCAATATAAAATAATACAATTGTAGATCTGTCTCACTTATCTAGAAGTTAATGAATTGCAAGCAGATGTAATTCTCCTATGTATATTGAAACATTGACCTAAAGCCAAGATATTGAGATTTTCTTTGAGTAGGTTGTTTTCCATATAACTCTAAACAAACAATGAACTAATTCACTTACGAACAGCTCTAGCAGGAGCTAAACCAATGCCACCTGGTGGTAGAGCTTTCTTGATCTTCTGCCCATGCATGACTGTATGGCTGAATTCATCTTGTACTTCTGATTCATTCAAGAACTTTTTGATCCTTGCTTGGATGAAGTTTTTCTTTAAAATACTGTTTACAGATGGCCTGTCTCTGAAATAGATTTAATGACATTAGCAAAGACATTTACATTTCTAATTACATGTATTTATAATTTGAAAGAAAAGGGTGTTTTCACACATACAGTAGAGGGTGATCGAAAACATTGATATTGAACAAAATGTTATTTCTTTTCCAGTTTGAGGTCTATACTAGAGCATATGCATAAATAGTACAGACCTTTAATAAATTGATAGTACTTTTAGATTAATTTAATTTGAAATGAAAAGATTGCATGCACATTGACATCATAGTGTTATTAAATTGATTTTTTTTTGTTATATTCCACATGCTGAAAATTAGTTCATATTCAAATGGAAACCCATTGACTTCATGTTAAATTAGCTTCTGTAGCACCTCCCAAATGAAACACCTTTAAAGTCATTTCATTTACACACGTTTTACTGTTCTTACCTTGGATTTCTCTTAAGCAGTGCTGCTATGAGGTTCCTCAGTTCATATGAATACCTTGGAGGAACAGGAGGAAATGATCCTCTGATGATCTTGAGAACTAAATTCTTCATGTTTCCTGCCTCGAACTGAAATAAAACGCAGACATATTATAACACATACATAGTAAAGTATGATAGATCAAAGTAAAGCTAAATACAACATTGGAAAGCATAATAAAACACAGTAAAGCATAATATGACATGTTAATCATAATTTTGCCACTTTGTGTTTTTTCAACGATCAAATACTTTTCAGTTTTCAGTCCATATTTGAATTTTCATTTTCAATTTGCTTCATATCCTTACACATGACATTTGCTGCACCCTGTTCAAAAAATATGAAAATTATATGTTATTCAGGAAAAAAATCTGCACTCTGCCAAATGGGTAAAATCTGGAGATATTTTTGCCAAAATAGTTTTTCCTATTTCCTATGCAGTATAACATAATGAGGTCATTCAATGTCTTGTCATTATATAAAACTTACCGCATGCTTCAAAGTGGCCAGTTCATACAGCACACAGCCCAATGACCAAATATCACTGGAAAATAGAATTCATTGTAAAAATATATGTTCATCAAATCACAAGTCTGTGCATGAGGAGTCAATACATTAACTTCTTTTAAGTGATGTTATTGTGTACATTAAGGGAATGGAATTTGGAATTGTACAAAGATTAATATTTCGTAAAGATATCCCTTAAATTAAGGTAGGTATCGACGTGTGGAGCTACACAGTACACAAGCCAATATGTAAAAGGTCCAAAATACAGTCCTGATTCCATATAGCCTACCTAATGTTGTACACTTAACATAGGGTCATTAATATTTTATTTACCTTTTGTTATTGTAAGGTCTGTTCTCGCATATCTCAGGGGATAGGTAGTAAGGTGTTCCTATACATGTTCTGGCTAGCTCAACAGTACTAGAAAGAAAATGGGACAAAATGGATAAATAAATTAATTAGTACATGTAGTTAAATAGTCCACTTCATGTTTCACACTTTCTATTTCTTATCTTTTTTATTTTTAATTTTTTATCTTTGATGTTCAAAAAAGAAAGTGAAACTAAATGAAAAAATAGTTGTTACCTGTTTAGAACTTTGGCAATTCCAAAATCTCCAAGTTTTACAACACCATGTTTTGTGAGGAATATATTCTGAAATAAAAAACACATTTAAACTATAAGGATGTGTTAAATATCGCATTAACTTTTGCAAGTGTCTGTTGGTGCATTGCTTTATTGTAAAGAGTCCCTCGTTTAAGCAGCGTTTTTGTCCCCAGCTGTAAGAAGTTGTTCTCACAGCCGGGGACCAAAATGCCGCTGGGAATAGGGACTCTGTATAACAGAATAATGTTCCAACAGAAAGGAATTTTTGTTATGCTTTGAATGGAACAAGTTTGAAGAAAAACGGTGCAGTGTGAGACTCGTATTCCTTGATTTTCAAACATCTGGTAGGTCAAAAATTCAAATAAACGGTCGAAGTTAGTATACCTGCATGAAAATGCTCGGCAAAAATATTCAATTTTAATGTTGGTTGAAATTTTTTGACCATTAACTATTGCAATTATTTAATAATATCACTAGTGCATTGTAGGCTATTGTACTTACTTGTGTTTTGATATCTCTGTGGAGAATCTTCCTATCATGAATGTGTTTGATCGAAAGGCAGATTTGTACAAACCAATCAAGAATCTGAAATGTTGCATTATGGGAGTTAGATACCTCTTTTGTTAGGTTCTTAAGGATATTGAATTCCCCATTGTACTGGGCTAAATTTGATGGAGGTCCAAAAGAGATTCATAGAGAGGTTAGCATGAAAATGTATCATAGTTCAAACATACAACGCTTCTTCACATACATGGATAGGGTAGCGTACCAAATTGAAGAATTTAACCAGAACTTCAAGCAAATATGTAACCAGGGGCATAGCTGAGGATTTAGGCAACTAGAGGCCAATATTGAATGAAAACTTGATGTGAATTTGCTCTAAAACACCTCCTTATCACCCCCCTCCCCATAATAATCTTTGTTTCCCATGACATACCTGTATCTATTTACTTTTGTTGGTATTGATTTTCATATTATTGATAGAATTCAATAAAATTATCAAACGCATCATTACATGTAAGCTTTTAAAATGTATGCAAACGAACAGAAAGTGTTCCGGGAGAGTTCTACGAACTTATTACAGTCTAGGGTATTATATCAGAAGACATAGAGCAGTCAGTCTCTCTTCTTTCATTGTTGAACGCATTCCCGGGAGATTTAAGAAGATAAGAGATTACTGGCAAGGACAATTCAAGTGTTTTTAAACGTGAAAATTTGATAAAATGCATACTGTATGATAAATTATTTGAGAAGGTATGCTACATCGAAAGGTCTAAGTAAAAAGGTACATGGGAAACTTTATGAGGTTCTCATGTGTGTGGTGAATAAGTGATAGGCAAGATAAAAAAGATTTCTCACTTTAAATAGGATTTTCAACTAGACGCCATGGCGTATTGCTGTGCATTACAGCTACACCACTGGTAAGATGCATGCATTAGGCAAAATGCTCTAACTTTTTAATTTTTTGATTTCATTTTTTGTAGCTTCATGCTACAGCAGCTGCTACAGATGCAAGTCAAATGATAAGCCACTTATTTTTGGTCTAAAATTGCTAATTAAAATCCATAACTCCACAGATTATTACATATTATATACATATCCTTAGATGAATGTCAGTGAATATAACTGAATGTAAATATTATCTGAAATTATAAAGGGAGCATTGTAATGACTAAAAATATATAAATCAATTAAATTCATATTCTAGTTTAATAATCCAAGCATGGCAATTGTTACCGTGTCTTCAGGAAACAAAACTCCTCTCTGTTTGTTCATTCGGCCATACAAATCTCCACCTTCACAGAAGTCCATCACGATGTGGAGATTACCAGCCTCTGTAATATACGACACATCCAAAATACAGTGATTTATAAATGGGAGTTTCATAAACAGCTGGCAACAGACAATTTTCTGTTTGTGTTTATCAATGTTGACTGTTGTTTTCTATGAGGAATTTTGGGACTTTTTCTATTCCAAAATTATAATTTGTAACATTTTTTTGCATATTGTCAAAAATTTCAATGAAATAACTGATACATTATATAGGTAAAACTGAATGCTATACTGGCTGTATATCTTACACTGAATACACTTGTATTGGCAAACATTAACATGCAGGAAAATGGAGATATGGCATTAAGATTTACCAAACTTCAAACATCTCACTGAGGCGATATTCCCATTTGATCAAAGAAAGAAAATATTGCACGTATTTCAAGAACTGAATAAACAGGGTCACCTGAAGTCCATAATTTGCAGTATTGACTACAATAGCAACTCACCTTCAAAAGACTCTCGATAAAAGACAATATTTGGATGGTTCATTTGGGCCAGTACTGCCACCTGGTGTATAAAGAAAAAACATATGTTAAAATCTGTTTAAGTATGTACATGTTGAGTGGGATGCACCAATTAATAAAACAGGCATATTAAATCGTATCTTTAGAAATTGTGTATATACAAAGCAGTCAATTTCCAGGACAGAAAATACTGCTTTTAACAGGACTCCTTTTGCTTACTAAAGTTTCTGTTTGAATTCTTCCAATTAGATGTTCATCAACAACAAACAATTATAAACAAAACTTACCTCTTTCCTGGAATCTTCTCTTTCCTTTCTGCCCATCTGTAAAAATATCATGATTACAACCATGTACTGTTGACTGACACGAATATATGTATATAAATTTAATATGTATTTAAATTACAGTACTTGGTAAGTATCTATCAGTGTTTTAATCAAAATGAAGGCAAACTTTTGGCATCTTCTCAATCATTACTACATGTATTGAAAGAAAGACTGATTACGTCAATATCGGAGGTGATCCTAAATATGTCAACAACTTAAAATATTGCTAGTAATATTATCTTTCTTTTTTCATCTCAGATCAGGCTTTTATAGTTTTCATAAAGGGGGTTCACTTTTCATAAAATTTCAGTGGGTTCAGATCTAACAACTTTGGCCCAAAATCACTTAAAAAGTGCTCAGAATCATGATTCATGACACACTGCATGATTTTGAAGGACGTTTTGGCCAGGGGGGAGGGGGGCACTTGCACCACCTGACCCCCCCCCCCCCCTGGCTACAGGCCTGATAGACAGAGACTAAATAGCCTAGAATTCCTTAGTGCACACTTTATATTCACCTTTGATATGTTGATCTCTTTGATGACGAACTGCTTGCCATTTTCTTTATGTCGAACTAGCAAGGCTTTGCCAAAGGAGCCCTCTCCAATCTTCTTTATCCTTTGATACTTGTCCATATTGTTCAAGAGTTGAGATTTCAAAGCAAGCTATCAACCTAAAAAGAAAGTCAATTTATTTCAACATTTTACATGGTCTAATATAAAGTAATTTTCAAACACCAACCTAAACTGCACCAAAGATGTTAATTAAGTTTTTGACCCCAATGTTCACTAGGAAGTCTTTATAATAACATCCCCAATGGCAAGAACTATCTAACAGAACTTATAAATAATGGAGACTAAATAGGGGAAATGTGTAGAACTTCAATGTATGGGGTTACTTCATCATGGGGTTGTTTTGGCCATGAATGATAATTCAAATTTTTGGGGTCCGTCATCTTGGATTAAGATCTCAATTTATTTCTTAAATTTTAAATAAATAAACATAGATACTAGGGATCCCATGATTGCTCGATGCACCGATATAATCGCTTGAAATCACCTCCGATTCGATTAATCGATATGGATCCTCTATTTTCGATATAATCGATAATCGTTTTTCAGATCTACTTACCTCTATTAAACCAAAATTGACACAGCAAAACTCCGGGAAAAATTAAAAATTAAAAATATTTTGAAGAGCTAACATGACGCGCCACATATTTTCGTGATTCAAACCAAACGTGAACTTTTTAGCAATAAACAGATTTTCAATAATTTTGGGAACATTTGTGATTTTAGATGCCCTGTGTGCATTTCCACACCAAACATTTTACCATTAATTATCTTAATACATAATAAATGCGATAGGGCCCTAGACGTATCTTTATTTTAATGTTTTAAGATGTTAGAGTAGCTTTCCAATTTGAGTTATATTTAGCGAACGACAATCAACCATGACGGTCGAATATTTAATGAATAGCGAAACCTCGGCGAGATTTAAATCCCGTAAATTTGCTGATATTCGTAATATGGAGAACACCATTGCAATAAACACAACCCAAAAGGTAAGTCTTAGATGTGGAGGTCTTTTAAAAACCCAACATTCAATAACAACACAACTTTCTATGCTCAGAAGGGTAACTTTGAAAATTTTTTAGCGGGGGACTCGAACCCCCCCCCCCCATGTATACACAGACATTAACATGAATATGTGTATCGTATCGTTTGTATCGAATCGTTTTCATAATATCGAGATACGTATCGAATAGAAAAAAAATGTATCGTGGGATCCCTAATAGATACGTGAATTGAAAATATAAGGCAAAGTCGAAATAGCACGATGGTCAAAATAGCCAAATGACGAAGTAACCCCATTATATGGCGAAGTTTGATGTGTTTACTCATGGGCGTTCAACAAGATGAAAGCCCATGGTTTACTCTAACCAAATCCATATGATAAAGCTTATCGCATCCTACGACCCATTTAGATTGTGGTCGTACGCGCGAATAATTGGTCAGTCAATGTTTTTACAAAGTTGGAGAAAATACAACATATTGCACACCTAAATGACCTACCTCGATACATTCCTTAGTATTTTAGAATTCTTTTTATGTTGTAAGATCGCCAATTGTATGGGTTTATCGGCAGAACGAAGAGATTTTAGTTTTTACATCGGAAATATATCAGCAATTTTCAAAATGTCGGAAGGGGAATTCCCCAGGGATTTCCCTTATGACTGGTGCATGCCGGGAACTGAATGGAGGAATTTGACGGTTGAAATAAGTTAAATATTACACGCAAATATTGCTATCAAAAACGAATTATTCGCGCGTTATTCATCGCGAAGGATGCGATAAGATAAAGCATGCAAAACATCTAACCAAACCATGGACCAAACCCAACATCCATGGGGAGTAAGTCACCCCCCCCCCCCTCAATACGGAACAAAGCAATTTTCCATAGCGTAACAAAGGTAGGTGACTTCTCTCTGTGCCAACATCATGCAAACATGACTTCTGAGGAAATGGATTCAGGTTACTCACGTCGAGAGCTACCATGTTAGATTTTAAAAGTATAGCTCTCCATCGTGAGGATCTCCCAGCTGAAGAATTGTGACATCTAAATTTGATCAGCGCCAGTCAGCAGCTTGCTGTTTGTCTCAAACTGTAGCCTACATATGGGCTCATATGTGTCTACTTTCCCCGTGCATGTAGGATGTGCTTCTATGGCGATCAGGAGTTCTAATCGTTTTTTGTTCGATACCCATTTCCAATATGGCGGTTAAACGGAAATACTATAGACGCATGCGCAACTTGGGAAACGTCAAGCCGCCATATTGAATATACCTGGCCAAAACTTTTGACACGACCAATAAAATGAAGTCCTGATCGATACATAGGGCAGTGAGACGTTCTATAGTTGAGCTGAATGAAAGATGGCGATGTAGGATACATTTTCAGGTATATAATGTGCAACATGAATCAGCTGAATTCCCTGAAATTTTCTTTGAAGTCAGGATTCTTAAGCTGTTGATTCTAGCGATAGAGAGCTATACTTTCAAAATCTAAGTAGCTCTCGACGGGAGTAAGATTCAGGGAGAGGAAGAGTTTGGAAATTTCAGTCTTGTTTATTTTTTAAATTTTATCTGAACTCCACATTCAACTCAAAACCTTGACTTAGTCCATGTTGTTAATTTGTTTAACGTATTATTTACAGTTTTATTTTGTAAAAAAAATTCAAGTGTTGTTGAATTTCAACTGCTGCTGACTAAAGCTTGAATGGCAACGGAAATGAAAGCAAAATATCTTATTATGCAATCAATGTGAAGTCTCAATTATTATAAAAACATCAAACCTATATATTCATGCTATGCCCTGTACTGTAGTGATGGTTGAATACTGTTCTATTCCTATCAAATCAATCGATTAATCTTGGAAATTTTTCAAAATTTTCTCCGCCATTTTAAGTTGTATCTAAATGAGCAATCTCGGAGAGTAGATCTAACGAAATTACTGTTTGGAAAATAATAAAAAGGTATTTAATTGAAACCATGATTACATGATTAAATTCTACTTATGTTTTAAGTTTTGCTGTATTGTTCAGATATAATAATATAGATAGTAACTGGTAAATGCCCTGATATTTTTTATTCTCGGGAATTTCATGCAATATGTTTTCGTTTAGTGACTCAGCTGCTTTACTATGTAATGTAACACTGATTTTGAATTAATCTTGATTAAATGCTAAAGAAAGTAGTCAGGTAATCAAAAAGTAAGCAATAGAATTAGTGTTGGGAACATATAACTTGATAGAAAACAGTTTAAGATATCAATCGTTGTACTAAATTGCCAACTAAAAATAAGAATGCTATTTATTCTAGTTCGTGCTTAATAACATATAAAGAATAAATTTCGAATAAATCAAAACAAAATGCTTCTTGCAAACCGTCTGACATTTAAGCAAACGTTGATGTTGTTTGCAGGATTCCAGGGGATTTTTATCATCGTCTATGTTTCATCAAGCAATATAGACAATAACTGTCCTGAAAATAGCAATAATGAACACAAGAGAAGCATCCATGGCGCATTCAAAATGGAGCAAACAATTCCAGATGAACTAAAACTTTCCAGGTCATCTAAACTTGATATTCAATCATACAAAGGCAAATATGATGCAACATGGGCCTCTTTAGACACAAGGCCAATACCAGAATGGTACGAAGATGCTAAATTGGGTATCTTCATTCATTGGGGTGTCTATTCTGTCCCAAGTTTTGTTGACGTTGGAACAAAAGGTACTGTAATATACAGTACAAATCTTGTTTGGTTGGCTAGCTAATTACGTGCCACATGTAATATAGCATATTGCATGTGGTAAGTAATTTCTTTGGATATAAAGTAAACCTGATGTTCAGTGTACATATTTGGTTTAGATGTTGATTGGGACAAGAGCAATTACCTTGGATAAAGGTATATTAAGTGATGTTAATTTACATATTGTCAACTGTACCTACATGTACAGAAGGGGTGTACCCAGCTTTCAGTATTTCAGGCGATAGTGGCATAAGTGAGCCAAAAAAGAATAAGATTTATTTTAAACTTTACAAAATTGATGCAACTTCCTTCACGATTTAGCTAGAAGAGCAATTAAACAACGCCCCCCCCTTAACATGATATGAAAATAATACATAAAAAGATCTGGATTATACAGGACTATCCTTCTTCCAGAATTATAGATATATAGATATATATATATATAGAAGCTTCAAATAAAAAACATTTTAGCTCTTTTTCTCTTCTGTCTAATGATTATACATGTACATGTATTACTACAGGTATTAGTTATGTACAGTGTATCAATTAATATTCTTTGTGAAAGATACATAGGTACAAAGAAGTGTTGTATTTCCCTCATCAGAACAAAATATTTGGACAATATTCTTTCAATGATCAATACACATATTTAAGAATAAAGGCTAATAAACAATTTTTGTTGCAAATATTCAGGATTGGCAGAATGGTTTTGGTACAACATGAAATCTGGAATAGAGGGTGAAACTCAGAGTGATGCAACACGCAGTGTGCAGAAATTCATGAAAGAAAACTACCCTCCTGGAACTGAATACACTGACTTTGCTCCTAAATTTACTGCAGAGTTTTACAATGCAACTTGGTGGGCTGATGTCTTTAAAGGCTCAGGTGCAAAGTAAGTAAACACATCCTTATGGTCATATGTTTTATCTGTAACAACCCTGGATAGCAAGTTGCTAAAACAGCCCAGCTGTAGTTGATTAAGCCTTTATAGCTCAAGTGGTAGAGCATCAGGCTGGATCTAAAGGTCCTGGGTTAGATTCCCACACAGGGCGTTGAACTTAGCACACTTTCTTTGATCTTTGTTTCTGGCTGTACCATGAAATGTAAACATGAAGTTTACTATTCAGTTCAGGTAAAACTCCTCAGGCCTGTAGCCAGGGGGGTTTGATGGGTTCGAGCGACCCCCCCCCCCTTGGCCAAAAAATCTTTCAAAATCATGCAGTTTTTCACCATTCTGAGCACTTTTAAGTGATTTTGGCCAAATTGTCACAAGTGAACCCCCCTGGAATTTTTCAAAAAGTGAATCCCCCTTGGCAAATTCTGGCTACTGGACTGCTCCTTTGCTCCTTTACACTTACAGGTTCTTTGTATAAAACCATGACAAAAAGCAATACATTAAAACTATCATATTGTCATTTGCAAGTGCTTCACTAGAATTTCTCACAACAAGCTAAATAAATGAAAAAAACAGGCAAAATTAATGTGAAATCATAAATTGAATATGGAAAAATTGAAAAGTCCCTAAAAACATCAGGAGATTTTGTGAAAATAACTGGTGAAAATCGTCTGTTGCTTATGAAACCCCTGAGGTGGATGTCTAATCTTCTCCTATATGTTCTCCTATTTTCAGGTATGTTGTTTTGACAAGTAAGCATCACGATGGATTTACGTTGTGGCCATCTAGAAAGTCTTGGAACTGGAATGCATTAGACAATGGCCCTCATAGAGATGTCCTCGGTAGGTACTTTGTAGCTATTCTTGTAGGGTGAATCAGACAATTTACCTTTAAAGACATTATAATATTAATGATGTAGTTCAGTTTAAATTTGGAAATAAAACAAATTAGAATTGTTGTGAAAACACAGAATTATATCCTTATCACAGGGTAGTCTGTGTTAGTGTTGTTGCGATGTGCCATAATCGTACATCGATGCATCGGCAATTTTCAGTAGTAAACATCGATGCACATCGCGATGTACATCGAGAAAAAGTCTGAGAAAAGTGGACTGAAATACCGAACGCTAATGCACTAAAATACCGAACATCCGGTACATCCGGGACCTTCTAGTAACGGTGAAATGAAAGTAAAGTAATTTTTTTAGATTAATGGTTCATTTCGACTAGCTAAAACAGTTTTAAAGCCAAAGAATATCAGAAAACATTGGAAAATGAAATAAGACATGAGAAAGGTAAGCGATTTGCGTCAAAATAAGATAAGAAAGGGTGATTTTTAGCAATTTTTTTTTAAAACATCAATGTTTTGTTTCAGACATCGATGCATCGCCAGAATCAGCTTTGGCGATGTATATCGCGATGTATCGATTAATCGCGACAACACTAGTCTGTGTACCCCCCCCCCATGTACTTCACCTTCCCTTGTGTTGTGTTGGGAAGGTAAAATACACGGGGTATACAGTCTGGAGGCGAGACTACTATACTCATAGGCTCTTGAACTATACCATCTTTAAATTAAATTTATATTTTCTCCTTCAAGTGAAATGCTCTTAAATATATGTACTTACTCAGAATTTAAGTACTGACTTAAGAATGTATTTGTAGGTGAACTAGCTAGAGCAGTTAAGAAAAGTGGCATTCATTTCGGAGCCTACCACTCACTTTATGAATGGTTCAACCCTCTCTATAGAAATGACAAAGGCAATAACTACAAGACTGATGATTATGTTCAGGTAAATCATGTTGTCTTTAATTGATAATTTGCGATTGCAGGATGGATTCTATTTTGTAGTGACGTCACAATTAGGCCTTTCAGCTATAGATGTTTGATTTTGAGAGATTATCTTCTATATTTCGTGCTTTATTGATTTATTTTTCACAAAAGTGTTTGATTTGACTAGATCAACATTCATTCTAAAAAGGTCAATTTGCCAACTTGAAGTCAATATATTAATGTTGTCTAAGAAATCTTCTGAGTAATTTCTTCTGAAGTAGATGTACATGTAATGATCTCTCTGTACCTATTCTAACAAAAGATGCCTTAAATGTTGAAATAGGATTTTCTTGATTATCACTGTTTGTACATGTATGTCAATCTATATGTCAATATGTGAGCATATGGACTTTCAACTTGGTGCAGAGAAATTTATAATTTTTTTTTCTCGATAAACACCAAAGATGATAGTATTAAATAATTGACCTTTCCTAATTGTACTGTAACAGGAAAAGCTTCTCCCAGAGCTTATTGACCTTGTGACCAAATATGAGCCTGAGGTGTTATGGACTGATGGACATTGGGACACTGATTCCACCTATTGGAAGAGTAAAGAGTTCCTTGCATGGCTGTATAACAAAAGGCAAGATATACACCTTGTCTCATTATACAAAAAAGGACCAAAGTCCCTATAAAGAGCCTCAAACTTTTCAATATGGACCAGAGTCTTCACACTCTAAAAGAGTACTGAATATTTCAAATGTATTGCAGTTGCAATTTTAACCATTAAGAGTCAAAGCTCTTTTCCTAAAGGTACTAAGACATGGGAATGATTGGAAAGACATGTGAAAATTGCGTGGATGTTATGTATAATTTCTGATAAAATCACTACAGCATGTCAATTAACGTTACAATTTATTGGTTCATTTCTTAATAATTTTCCAGTTCAGGTGCACTTTACTTTTATGACCTTTTCTGACAAGTTTGACCTTGCATAACGAGAAAACAGTTTTGGGCATGTGTGGTTTTATTTCTCAAAAGTCCTACCTAAACCAATGTTTATCATTTTAACACTTTTAAAGGCTAGAATGTTTTACTGTAATTGTATGAACATTATATATAACACTTGCTCATTTACAGCCCTGTTAGAGCTACAGTGGTGATAAACGATAGATGGGGCACTGATGCAGATTGCAAACATGGAGGTTTCCTCACCTGTATGGACAGGTACAATCCAGGTATATGATTATCACTTTTAAGTATTTTAAAATTACACATTGCGCAGTAAGAGGACACATGTGAAAATACATTCTTGTGGCTTGCTAGTAGTCTTTCACTAAGCAACTACACTGCAAACATTCCTCAAGGTTGAATCAAGCTTGATATCAAGCTTGAATTAACCCTGAGTTGAATCAGCATTGAATCAAGCCTGATTCAACCCCAAGTGCAATTATTGCTTTATCAATCAATTTTTCATTAAATAAACATTGAGAAATGTGTAGGATTTTCATATCATCTTCAAGATATATGGTCTCAAACTTTTTTTGTGGTGGCGTTTGGTGGTTGGTATCTGGCACTCAGCATCCGGCATCTGTAACAAATGGAAGGTGGTAACATTTTGCATGTACGTAATTACAACCAGGGGTTGGCATTTTGTCATGTCAATGCCTTACTTGATATATTGTTGTATTTCTCGTTTTTTAGGCAAGCTTGTCTCTAGAAAGTGGGAGAACTGCATGACTATAGATAGAGAGTCTTGGGGGTACAGGCGTAATGCTAAATACCTGGATTACTATGATATGGATGGTCTTACTCAGATACTAGCTGAGACAGTTAGGTAAGAAAGAATACTATAAGATATCAGTAGATAAAGTAAGATATTATGTCATTATTGTGTCGGAGAAAGTTCGTGTTTCATAAGGCACCAGCTTTTTTTGTGGTCTAAGTATTTTATAAGTTATTCAATGAATTAAGTAAGATGCAAAAAATGCCGGAGAAAGCTTTATATTTTGAGAAACCATTATGATAACAATTTTATTCAGTGGTATCTTGCATATACAGTATCTTGTTGGCATGAAAATGGCATTAAAACGGTAAACCTTAATAGCTAGAAATATCATCATCATTGAAAGATGTGGTTTTTTTGAAATCTAATCCATGTCGCCTCCGTATAGATGTTCGAACATATGAGCATTCATAACCACAAATTACCAAAAGACTCATCATTGTATTGAATGTACATCTATGATTGCTACAGCTGCACAACTGATCATAACAACAAATTACCAAATCACTAAGACTCATCATTATATTGAATGTACATCTATGATTGCTACAACTGCACAACTGATCATAACAACAAATTACCAAATCACTAAGACTCATCATTATATTGAATGTACATACTTGATTGCTACAGCTGCACAACTGATCATAACAACAAATTACCAAATCACTAAGACACATCATTATATTGAATGTACATCTATGATTGCTACAGCTGCACAACTGATCATAACAACAAATTACCAAATCACTAAGACTCATCATTATATTGAATGTACATCTATGATTGCTACAGCTGCACAACTGATCATAACAACAAATTACCAAATCACTAAGACTCATCATTATATTGAATGTACATCTATGATTGCTACAGCTGCACAACTGATCATAACAACAAATTACCAAATCACTAAGACTCATCATTATATTGAATGTACATCTATGATTGCTACAGCTGCACAACTGATCATAACAACAAATTACCAAATCACTAAGACTCATCATTATATTGAATGTACATCTATGATTGCTACAGCTGCACAACTGATCATAACAACAAATTACCAAATCACTAAGACTCATCATTATATTGAATGTACATCTATGATTGCTACAGCTGCACAACTGATCATAACAACAAATTACCAAATCACTAAGACACATCATTATATTGAATGTACATCTATGATTGCTACAGCTGCACAACTAATGTTATTTTCATCTCTGATTATAGTTGTGGTGGTAACTTACTAATGAATGTTGGGCCAACTGCAGATGGGCGTATCTCCCCGATATTTGAGGAAAGATTACGCCAAATGGGAGAATGGCTTTCAGTAAATGGAGAAGGAATATATGCCACCAGACCTTGGTTGTATCAATCTGAACCAGAGGCTTCAGTGTGGTATGTTATTTTCCTTGTTCAGTATTTGACTCACTACGGTTCTATACTAGTTTTGAATGTGGTTCGATAAATTGTCATTATCAATACATGTACAGTAAAAACTTGTATACCTGAACACCTGACTAATCTGAACACCTCTCTAATTTGAACACCTCTCTAATTTGAACACCTCTCTAATTTGAGCACCTCTCTAATTTGAACAGGTCTCAATGTAAACACCTTCTTCTGCCCTATATTAGCATTGTTCAACAAGACTGACCATGTAGTATATGTAATCATATAGTGTATTACTGCATGACTTTCTACCAATAAATTTTATGTTTGTTGAAAAAGGAAAAAGTTTCAGTGAAGTGAAACATAGTGAGTGAAAACAAAATGGAAGTATTTAGCGATACTTTGCGGATCCCCATTCCCCAGTACAAAGATGAGGACGAAACTAAAACACACAAAATCTGCAAATCTTTGATTTGGGTTTATATTTAAAACTTCAAAATATGAACACCTGCCAATCCAAATAGTTTTAGCTTGTCTCTGTGGCATTCGGAATGGACAGGTTTTACTGTATGACACTTAAAGATGTTCAATTGGAATTTTGCATTGCTGTTATCTAGCATAAAAATTTCATTTTCAGGTACACAAGATCAAAAGATGGCAGCACAGTATATGCAATCATGCTAGACTGGCCTGACGATGACAACCTATCTCTCACACACCCGAAGCCATCAGATAAAACCAAAGTGACTTGGTTAGGATATACAGGGACGCTGAAATGGAGTAAAGTCTCAAATGGAGGTCTACAGATTCAGTTGCCAAAGGTCTCAATGAATAAGATCCCCTGCCAATGGGCCTGGGTATTTAAGATGGAGCACCTCGAAAATACAGTTTAATTTTAATTTTTTATTGTGCCATACCCGTGTATTCGATTTTTCTGATAAATCCTGCTTTTTTGCTACACCAACACTGTACAGTGTACTGGCTATATGGTTGCTGGCACTTTAAAAGTACAATGCCATTGTATGGCACCAGGTAGCATAAATTACTGGATTTATGTATGGGTTTGTTCATTTACTCCAGAGCATGAAATGTTCATTAATTTTTTGTTATTGCTTGGGTACTATCCAGTTTCCATCATATTCATGTATCATTGCTTCAGTGAGGCCCTTAACCTTACTTTCTTCTTATGCATGAATCCCTTCTTTTAAACTCTGATACCACAAGCATGCTGATGGTATGATGGAATCTGGATGTTCTTCAAGATGTGCAATTTTACCAGCTCACTGAGAAAGGGTTGTGCTGTTAATGCATATCATAAAATGATATTTACTGTTAAGGGGATTGTACAGATGGTATGTAAATAAGCTAAATAGCTGACTGCAGTAAAACCTGTATATAGTGAACACCTGTTCAGCCACAAAAAAGTGTTCACTGTAAGTAAGTGTTCACTATAGCAGGGGTTTCACTAGAATTTCTCATAACAGGCAAAATTAATGGAAATTATGAATTTAACATGGAAAAGTTTAAAACAACGGGTGAAAATCGCCTGTTGCCTGCTGCTAATGATTCCCCTGTATAGAGAGTTTTTTTACAGGAATCAATGTAAAATTTGTCTTGAAGTGGTGTTCACTAAACACAAGTGTTCAGTGGAGAAAGGTGTTCACTAAGACAGGTTTTACTGTATACTGATATGAAATCACTTTTCACTTCTATGATTTCCCTGTCTATGTCTGGGGAATTACCAATGCTGTTTATTCTATGATAACACTGTTGCTCAAAATGATTTTCCTACAGTTAACAATCAAAGAGTGAAGAAGAAGTCAATTTCCACTGAAATGCTTTATATTTCCACCTATTCATTTACATTTCCACCTATTCATCCAGGCACGTAGCCAGCTTTTGCCAAGGGGGTTCACTTCTCAAATAATTCCAGAGGGGTTTACGTTTACGCCCAAAATAGACAAGTGTTAAGCATTGAGAATGGTAAAAACTGCATGATTTTGAAAGAATATTTGGTCAAACAATCCTGAATATGGGCCTGGATCTCTGGATAGGTTGATAAACTTATAAAGGTAATGTTAAAAAATAAACTTATAAAGGTAATGTTAAATTATTAAATAAAGTACAACTGTGACAATCAGTTGCAATCATATTTAATGAGTGCCATAGAATCACCTATAGAAACCAATATTAGATTATTGTCTTGTGAAAGGTTTACATTTTGAAATGTCAACATACATATATTGTGTTTGCTTAAAAGTTAAAGATCTGTTTTATAGATAAATATCACCTAATATTAAGGATTTTTATTTTAGTACATGTACATGTACCATTCTTGTATTTTTATCACACCATCGGTGGGATATAGTCGTCATACTGGTCGTGGTCGTGATCGTGATCGTCCCTCTTTTTGTCATCGCCGTTTAAGGAAAACTGCTCATCAGATTTTCTCCAAATTCGCAGAGATGATAGAGCATATGAAGTACTAGAGCTGATTAACTTTTGGGTGGCCATCTTGTTTTCTGGCGGCCATTTTGAAGGTTTTTCGAAAAATCTTGTTATCGCCATTTCAGGAAAACCGCTCATCGGATTTCCTTCAAATTTACACAAATGATAGAGGATATCAAGTACTAGAGCTGATTAACTTTTGGGCGGCCATCTTGTTTTCTGGCAGCCATTTTGAAGTTTTTTCGAAAAATCTTGTCATCGCCATTTCAGAAAATCCGCTCATCGGATTTCCTTCAAATTTACACACATGATAGAGGATATCAAGTACTAGAGCTGATTAACTTTTGGGTGGCCATCTTGTTTTCCGGTGGCCATTTTGAAGGTTTTTCGAAAATTCTTGTCATCGCCAATTCAGGAAAACCGCTCATCGGATTTCCTTCAAATTTACACAAATGATAGAGGATATCAAGTACTAGAGCTGATTAACTTTTGGGCGGCCATCATGTTTTATGGTGGCCATTTTGAAGGTTTTTTGAAAAATCTTGTTTCTTGTTTTTGAAATTTGTAAACATAATAGGAGAACAGTTTTCCTGGTTCATAGTGTCTGCCTATTTGATGGTGTGATCTCGTTCACGTCCTGTGCCTTGTTTGTATATAGATAAAAGTGAGAGGCTTAGAGGTAATTTTTACAAGGCTCCCTAGGAGTAATGCAATATTAATTATGCTTTTGCTTGTTAGACTTTCAGGTTCGACTAAAGTTAATATTCCAACAATCAGATAGACTTGTAATAAAACGCAGTATTAGTTTAGTTTATTGTGAAATCACTTGTGCTATTCAGGAAGTGAGCTGGTTAGATTATACTCATTAACATATTTATGTTTAATTTGGATACATGTTTGGCCCAAGGGCATTAGTAAATATACTGAAAGTCTTGTAATACTGTATATGATAAGACAATATCATTGTAAATGGCAGTATAGGTAGCATTATGTTTTATAACTAAACTTTTCACTCTTTTGTAAATGCCTGTATCACAAGTGTGATTTATGATATTGTATGATTTTGAAGATAAACATGATTAAATCATGTTAAATTAAATTAGTTTTATTTCCTGGGTCAAACATCCTAATGTTTAAGGTTTCACATGTCAAGGAAAGAGCTTTATGTCTGACCAGCTAGCTCCCTTAATATTAAGGTAAAATATTTGTTAAGCTTTTCAAAATTAAAATCTTTTTACATTTATACTCTTCACATTCCAGCAGTATTATTAACTTATTGTGATGTAATTTGTCGTGTGATAGAACGAATTATTTTTCATTTTTTATTTCCTATGTACTTAATTGTATCGTATGATCTGTAAAATGAAGCCCTCTGATTGGTCAGTTCTTGTGCTGTACCAATCTGTATTGCTACTGAGATTGTCCCCATTGATCATCTTCATAGCAAGACAGAAAATATTGGTGCGGAGGCGGGACATCTCAGTAGCAATACATAAAATACAGAATAATTCTTAGGGATTATCTCCTGAGTAAAATGTATTGGCCTAAGACCACACGATAAAAACGTTATTAAATGATTTGAAGTGCAATACAGAATATATTCTGTCTCGATATTCTGTATTGGCACTCGAATGCGTCTCGGTTTAATACAGAATTTCTCGAGCAGAATATATCCTGTATTGCACTTCAAATCATTCAACAACTTATAGTATTTTATATATAATTGATGTCAAAACTTCTAAAGTAACTTACTTAGTAACTGAAGTACTATGTTGCTGATAAAAAAATTGCACTGATTGTTATGGAACATAGCACTGTATGTTTATATTTTGACTCTTTTAGAAATATTTGATTTGAAAAGTAAAAAGAATATTTTTATCGCACTTTGAAAAAGTGCTATATTGTCGTCGTCTTGTGCTGTTGGGCGGGCGGTCGGGCGGGCGGGACATAAACCAAATCTTGTCATCAAATTTCCAGGATAACTGCTTACCTGTTCAACTTGAAATTTTTACAGATGCAAGAGCAGACTAGTACCAAGATCTGATTAGGTTAAGGGCATGCTGGGTAAACTACGTGGCGGCCATTTTGAATTTTTCAACAAATCTTGTCATCAAAATTCCAGGAAAACCACTTATCCGTTCAACTTGAAATTTTTACAGATGCAAGAGCAGACTATTGCCAAGATCTGATTAGGTTTTGGGTATGCTGGCTGAATTACATGGTGGCCATTTTGAATTTTTCAATTTGGCGGCCATTTTGAATTTTTCAACTTGCTCCAAATTGACCAAATTTTTTTTTTAAAAACATCTACAAGTTCTCAGAAGTTCAAATCTGACCTTAGATTTCAGATTTGACCTTTCATTCACCTTCAGTGACCTTGAAAAGGTCAAAAAGTTGATTTTCTAAATTGATATTTTGGATTTAAATTTAGGTCAGCTTAATTACAAAACACCTACTGAGGTCTGAAAAAGTGAAATTTTCAAGGTCGAATGTCAAGGTCATTAAACTAGGTCACAAATGATGTTATCCAAGTTTCTCAAAGTTTGAGACTACAAATCAATTCTTGTCATCAAAATTCCAAGAAACCCGCTAACCTGTTCAACTTGAACTTTTTACACATGCAAAAGCAGACTAGTGCCAAGATCTGATTAGGTTAAGGGCATGCTGGGTAAACTACGTGGCGACCATTTTGAATTTTTCAACAAATCTTGTCATCAAAATTCCAGGAAAACCACTTATCCGTTCAATTTGAAATTTTTACAGATGCAAGAGCAGACTATTGCCAAGATCTGATTAGGTTTTGGGTATGCTGGCTGAATTACATGGTGGCCATTTTGAATTTTTCAATTTGGCGGCCATTTTGAATTTTTCAACTTGCTCCAAATTGACCAAATTTTTTTTTAAAAACATTTACAAGTTCTCAGAAGTTCAAATCTGACCTTAGATTTCAGATTTGACCTTTCATTCACCTTCAGTGACCTTGAAAAGGTCAAAAAAGTTGATTTTCTAAATTGATATTTTGGATTTAAATTTAGGTCAGCTTAATTACAAAACACCTACTGAGGTCTGAAAAAGTGAAATTTTCAAGGTCGAAGGTCATCAAATTAGGTCACAAACAATGTTATCTAAATTTTCCCAAAGTTCAAGACTACAAATAAATTCTTGTCATCAAAATTGCAGGAAAACCGCTAACCTTGTCAACTTGAAATGTTTACAGATGCAAGAGCAGACTAGAGCCAAGGTCTGATTAGGTTTTGGCCATGCTGGGTAAATTGCATGGTGGCCAGTTTGCTCTTCAAAGTGCGATATTTATCACTGTGTGTCTTGTTTTAATTAACGTTTCCAGTATTGGATATTATTGTCTCAGTGTCATGTTCTTATTCTGTGATTGGTTGAACATGCATCACGTGATAAAATATCCTTTGAGATTTTCCCGTAATGCTGTAAGTTTGATACTTTTCATCGGTAGATAAGTGACCCTTGTTTTGAAGTGCAAATATTTCCTCCCCAGCTCCAGGGGAATATCACTTATGAAAGATAGACTGAATTTTTAGTTCATATTCAAGGTGATATAGTCCTACCTCCTGCTGTACAGTATATGTCAGACTGTAATATAACCAGATGGATAAGGGTAGCCCACATTTATTCAAAATGACATTGGCGCTAGGTAAGGGTTTAGGTATTTTAAAACTACACTGTATCACAATTGTTTTACCAGAAGTGGTGACATATTGTTACAGTCTCCAAATTTTTTGTGGATGGTGTTCAGTGTTTGGCTGTTGGAGTTTGGCGTCTGTATCAAATGACAGGTGGTGACATTTTGCATGTTAATGCCTTGTTATATTTTTACTAAGATCTCAATAGAAATCGAACAAAACTATCTGAAAAAATTTACTTACAAAACTGTTTAATGTTCATATGGATGTAATTTTTACTTGGTAGTTGTGTAGGCTTTGCTCAATATGATAATTACCAAACCATATCATATAGTAGGCTAGCAACTTATATAATGTTTCTTCTGTTTTGTATATGTACTTATGTTATATATGGCTACTGTACAAATAATATCTGACTTTATGGGAATAAAGCTATTAAATGGTGAATGTGTTTATATTTAT